TAATCTATTGTGACTGGTGCACACAACATGTAGACTAATCTATTGTGACTGGAGCACACAACATGTAGACTAATCTATTGTGACTGGTGCACACAACAGGTAGACTAATCTATTGTGACTGGTGCACACAACATGTAGACTAATCTATTGTGACTGGTGCACACAACATGTAGACTTATCTATTGTGACTGGTGCACACAACATGTAGACTAATCTATTGTGACTGGTGCACACAACATGTAGACTTATCTATTGTGACTGGTGCACACAACAGGTAGACTAATCTATTGTGACTGGTGCACGCAACATGTAGACTAATCTATTGTGACTGGTGCACACAACATGTAGACTAATCTATTGTGACTGGAGCACGCAACATGTAGACTAATCTATTGTGACTGGTGCACACAACAGGTAGACTTATCTATTGTGACTGGTGCACACAACAGGTAGACTAATCTATTGTGACTGGTCACACAACAGGTAGACTAATCTATTGTGACTGGTGCACACAACATGTAGACTAATCTATTGTGACTGGTGCACACAACATGTAGACTAATCTATTGTGACTGGTGCACACAACATGTAGACTAATCTATTGTGACTGGTGCACACAACAGGTAGACTTAATCTATTGTGACTGGTGCACACAACAGGTAGACTTATCTATTGTGACTGGTGCACACAACAGGTAGACTATCTATTGTGACTGGTGCACACAACAGGTAGACTTATCTATTGTGACTGGTGCACACAACAGGTAGACTAATCTATTGTGACTGGTGCACACAGCAGGTAGACTAATCTATTGTGACTGGTGCACACAACAGGTAGACTAATCTATTGTGACTGGTGCACGCAACAGGTAGACTAATCTATTGTGACTGTTGCACACAACAGGTAGACTAATCTATTGTGACTGGTGCACACAACATGTAGACTTATCTATTGTGACTGGTGCACACAGCAGGTAGACTAATCTATTGTGACTGGTGCACACAACATGTAGACTTATCTATTGTGACTGGTGCACACAACAGGTAGACTAATCTATTGTGACTGGTGCACACAACATGTAGACTAATCTATTGTGACTGGTGCACGCAACATGTAGACTAATCTATTGTGACTGGTGCACACAACAGGTAGACTAATCTATTGTGACTGGTGCACACAACATGTAGACTTATCTATTGTGACTGTGAAGCTATAATGTGAAGCTATAATCATTAAAGTTTGTTTGTCCTGGGGGATTAGCTTATAAATCACCCACATTTGTTGAGTTCTCGATAATATCTATTACAAGAGATTTTAACATTTAAGCAGTAGCAGAAGTGTGTGGTCTTGCTTCTTCATGTTGTGACTGGTGCACACAACATGTGACTTATCTACTGTGACTGGAGCACACAACATGTACTAATCTATTGTGACTGGTGCACACAACATGTAGACTAATCTATTGTGACTGGAGCACACAACATGTAGACTTATCTATTGTGACTGGTGCACACAACAGGTAGACTTATCTACTGTGACTGGAGCACACAACATGTAGACTTCTATTGTGACTGGTGCACACAACATGTAACTTATCTATTGTGACTGGAGCACACAACATGTAGACTTATCTATTGTGACTGGAGCACACAACATGTAGACTTATCTATTGTGACTGGTGCACACAACAGGTAGACTTATCTAATGTGACTGGAGCACACAACAGGTAGACTTATCTACTGTGACTGGAGCACACAACATGTAGACTAATCTATTGTGACTGGTGCACACAACATGTAGACTAACTATTGTGACTGGTGCACACAACATGTAGACTAATCTATTGTGACTGGTGCACACAACAGGTAGACTTATCTATTGTGACTGGTGCACACAACATGTAGACTTATCTATTGTGACTGGAACACACAACAGGTAGACTAATCTATTGTGAACTGGAGCACACAACAGGTAGACTTATCTATTGTGACTGGTGCACACAACAGGTAGACTTATCTATTGTGACTGGTGCACACAACAGGTAGACTAATCTATTGTGACTGGTGCACACAACATGTAGACTAATCTATTGTGACTGGTGCACACAACATGTAGACTAATCTATTGTGACTGGTGCACACAACATGTAGACTAATCTATTGTGACTGGTGCACACAACATGTAGACTTATCTATTGTGACTGTGAAGCTATAATGTGAAGCTATACTCATTAAAGTTTGTTTGTCCTGGGGGATTAGCTTATAAAACACCCACATTTGTTGAGCTCTCAATGTCTATTACAAGAGATTTTAATATTTAAGCAGTAGCAGAAGTGTGTGGTCTTGCTTCTTCATGTTGGTGTTTTAAGTGACGTGATATATCTTAAATAATAAATTATCTGATTATTTCAGTCAATTTAGTCTCAATTACAATATATTGTATACTTCAAGTCAATTTAGCAAGTTTCATTTAAAATTAATGTATCTAGATAATAAAGTGATTGTGTAAAGTGTGACGTTTCTGTTGATAGTACAAAATATATTACCATCGTATTAACAATAACTATTAACAATAACCACATTGAGTTCAACATTGATTGTAGTTTGGTTTATACAGAATTTATTTTAGTTCGACTGTGTAGGAATTAAGCTATAAGCTTATATATAGACACACTTTCGAATCTGTTCCTGGAACCAACCAGTACTGAGCAATGAGTGTCAAGTTTCTTGCTCAAGGAAACAACGACTTGCCCTTGACGGGGTTTGAACCCATGCGGTTAGTGGATCATTTGATTACTAGTCTGAAGCGTTAACCACTCGGCCATGCCGCCACTGATTGTAGTTTCTTAGGGTAGCATAGATTATGGGAACTGGTTGTGGTGTAATGTTGGATGAACTTGGATCCCCCATATATAGATTGATATTGACCATGATAGTCTATATATTTTGTTGGAAAAAAATCTCGAAAGTTTAGAAGAAGTGAGATTTTAAATACAAATTATACAGCAAATATAATATAAAGAATTGCAGACTAAGTTGGACTGAGTCTATTCTTTCATGCTCCCCCCCCCTCCCCTCAGTCCTCCTGCTAGCATGGGCTAAAGCAGTAATGATTCAGTCTTTAACACTTTAAAGTATTGGAATCCATGATAATTAAATGATTGACTAGAAAAAAATATCAACACTAATATGCAGGGCAAATGTATGATATTGTACGGATTTTTGTGCAGGAACTGATGCAGAGTAATTATTATTGTCATCTTCAAAGTCAAAACTTTGGTAGGAACATAATGAATCTGTATGCATATAAAATTACAACAATAAATTTTAATAAAAATAGTCAATAAAGATACAGAAGATGAGAAAGTTTATATAGAATATATTTTAGTAATTTATAGATACATAAATAGGAAAGAGGTGATTGTTAAGGTACATTTATGTTAAGTTTGTGAAAAATTAGTAGTACATTTCACCATGTCTTCTAAAGATCAAATAAGTTTTCCATTTTGAAACAGGGAGGCAATAATTAATTTGCAACAAATGTATTTTCAAGTACATTTTAGATTTAATAAAGTTGAAGGGATCCATTAAGTAATGTGCAGTTAAGATCACTGCTTTAGAATTACTCCCTTCTCATGGCAGTCATGGGTCAGAATCCTGCCCAAGGACAATAAATTCTTTCGTAACTTTATTATGGATAGGGCCTACATGTATAGTCAGTGGTGTGACTACTCTAGTGCCCACTAGTGTGCCCTAAAATAATGCAAGAAGGGGCTTCTCAGAGGCCTTCATCTGCCAGAAAAGAATAAAAGCTTCAATATGACCTTTTACAGTGTTTGAGTGTTATAAACCCCAATATAAAAAAAGAAAAGGAATATATGAAACAAAATATTGAAAGACACACAAAGTGAACTGAATTTATACGGCAGCTTTTGATATAGAGATTACCTTAAATGGTTGGCAGAATAATAAAGTGGATTTTATGAGATAAAATTGATCTGCAGAATCTGGTCATGTCTTCCTAGAAAACCATCAATACGTAGCTGATTCACTCACTCACTGTAAAACATCCATGATGCATTCAATCTTTCCCTGAATTTTCCTCTTACATAACATGCTATTTCATCATATGACTCAGAGAAAATTTTTAATGTTGTCTGAAAACCATGATAAACTAAATGATTTAAATGCGAAAAAAAAAAACCTGGAAGGAAAAATCTAAATCTTTGCGTGTAAGGTATCAAATATTGATTTTTATTGTTGTTTATTTTTTGCTCTACAAATTTATGAAAGCCAGTCATGAGGATTAGAATGATGTTTTGAAGAAAAAAAAGTATTTTGATGTTTTATTATTGATTTTTGCTAGAATTTTTTAGTTAAGTTGATATTGGGGTTAAGATTAAGTCTATTGTATAGGTTTTTTTCTATTTTTTACTTTTTGTCAAAAATAGTCAAACAGAATTCCTGAAGTATGCCCAAATTGACAAATTGACTAACAAACATCACCAGACCAGATTTAATATTGTAGATTTTATTATAATAAACCTCTTAAACAATTATACTTATGTAGACAGTTGTAAATTCAAGACATTTCCATTATAACTATATCACATGGTGAAGGTCATTGTGGATGCTATAGTAATTATGTCCAAGTTTGACCAGAGTTTATTAGTTTAACATTGTTTATCTTACAAACCATTGTTTATCATTGTATTGATTACAAAGGTAAATAAGATGGGGGAACATGTATTGACGTAAATTAATGCGATGACGCAGACATATTATGATATGTTATGTAATGCCATTTCATAAATTTATTGTTGATAAAAGAAAGGGTGAGAGGCCAACATCTATTGTTCAAAATAAAGACAAAACAAATACCCTGTATTTGACATATTTTATCTAAGTGAAGGGAAGTAAGTCTTGCTTGCAGTATTACTATCAGTATTCTCCCTTGATAAGAACTTATAATATTTATTATGTGTATGCATGTATTTTCAGGTACGATTAGTACAGAAAGTAGATACGGGTCACATTTATGCCATGAAAATACTCCGCAAGGCTGACATGATTGACAAAGAACAGGTAAATAGCGAAAGATAAATATTCATGTATCCCAGCTTTAATGGACTTAAAGACTGTATTATTCAGCAGTTTAAAATTATATCTTTTCCATAATTGAGTATATGTTTCTAGATAAAAATGACCACTGGAATAGAACTATGAGCAAAGAAATTTTTACAATCTTCATATAAAATTAGGTTCACATTTGACATTGCCCTTTATATAAAAATAGTCACTGTGTAAAGACATGCTAAACTGTAGGCGCGTCAATGAAAAATGTTTCTTTTGCACTTTACGTAGTCTTTATTTTGGGTATGTGATAAATAGAATATTATAGTCATGTAAGTTCATTACTGAATTTATTGCACTCGTTGAATAAAATAATATTTTGCTCGCCAGAGGCTCGAATAATATAATTTTATTCAACTTGTTCAATAAATTCAGTATTGAACCTTCACTCATTCAATATCCTCTATTTATGTACAATTTAAAAATCAGTCATGAAAAACATGTTACAACAATTTATTGCATAGACAGACAGGAAGACACCATATAGCTAAGTAATGTGATATTTCATGTATGACAATATGTATAGTTAAAAGCTTACATTAATTTCAGTGTTCATAGTTACTGCTTAAAAAAAGTAGAATTAAAGAAAAACCTGAATTAATTTATCACACTCTAGTCACTGTCAGACAATTTTTCAGTTTTATTACTCGGCATATTGATTTGCATGTCTCAACTGGTTATATATAAAACCATCCCTGGTTATCTTTAAGATAAATGTAACCTCACAAGTCTGTTTGTCTGACATAGAAACCTGTTCGTATAAAAAAAAGATCCCACATATTATTTAGGTATTGCATTTTTCGCTCCTCTATGGTGTCAGGTTTTCAAGTCATACACTTTGAAGGTCCACCTACAAGCTTTAGTTTTTAGCTCGACTTTTTTTTTGTTGAAAAAAAAAGTAGATGTATTGTTATAGTTATATATATTGTTATTGTTGTACCTGAATCATAACTTTTTTATTTCTTGGTGTATTGTCTTCATATTTGGCCACAACCACCCTTGGGACAAGACCTTTCAGTAGACCACACTAACCTTGACGTTCATCCATAAATGACCTTGACCTTCAAGGTTAAAAGTCCAAATTTTGCTTGTTCATGCTGTTATTGGCTATAACTTTGTTATTTTTGAATGGATTGTCATCAAACTTGAACATAATAATCTTCAAGGATATCCCTTAAAAATAACCAGACAGACCTTGACCTTCACTCATAAATGACCTTGACTTTGAAGGTCAAATTATTGAAATTTTCATTTTTTTGGCTATTATTGGCTGTAACTTTGTTATTTGCTGTAACTTTGTTATTTTTGAATGGATTTTCTTCAAACTTGAACACTATAATCTTCAAGGATAACCCTTAAAAATAACCAGACAGACCTTGACCTTCACTCATTAATGACCTTGACTTTGAAGTTCAAATTATTGAAATTTTCATTGTTTTGGCTGTAACTGGCTGTAACTTTGCTATTATTGAAGGGATCAACTTCATATTATAACAGAACATACTGAAGGACAAGACCTTGTTGTGACTTCACCACGTGACTTTACCACGTGACTCCACCATGTTACACCACCACATGACACCACCACGTGACTTCATGTGTCTTTACCACGTGACACCACCATGTGACTCCACCATGTGACTCTGACTGCATCACGTGACTGCACCACACGACTACCATGTGACTTTACCACGTGACTCTACCACGTGACTCTACCACGTGACTCCACCACGTGACTCCACCACGTGACTCCACCATGTGACTCCACCACGTGACTCCACCACGTGACTTTACCAAGTGACACCACCACGTGACTTTACCACGTGTACTATTTACCACGTGTATCTATTTATAGAATTTTCTATTTATAGAATTGCATGTTTCTATTTATAGAATTTTCTATTTATAGAATTGCGTGTTTCTATTTATATATATTATTTAGTATATTTATATATACAAAATATATAGACAAAACTTATGTGACAAGACAGACCGATTAATTTTATAAAAAGGAAACGTTAAGATTTTGTTCAAACATTTTATTGTTTGCTTTAGAGAAAGTAAAAAGACGAGCGTTGCCCCGGCCCGGCGGTGGCTCTTGTTGTTTTAATAGCTCAAATGTTATATTTGTTACATTTCTATGAACATTTCCTATATAAGTTCAGCTTTACAGAAAAAGTCGTAAGTTTATTCTATGTAAGTCGTCGCCTATTATTTGCTATTTTAAGATGCTCTAGTGTTTGGTTGTATTAAGTACTTAATTAATATTACTATTTTAGGTTGCTCATGTACGTGCTGAACGTGATATTCTGGTAGAAGCTGACCACGAGTGGGTGGTAAAAATGTATTATTCCTTCCAAGATGCTATAAATCTTTACCTTATCATGGAGTTTCTTCCTGGTGGTAAGTCATTCTAACACATGCAGGTACATGTTTATATCATACATTGTGTTCAGTAAAATATGTTTTACTCATTTCTGGCAAAATAAAATAGAAACAAAATGCCATATCTTGTCATGAAAAAAACAAAGTCAGAGAATTCCTTTGGTAGGGTCAGTTAAATGTTTAACTCTGTTATGATGTTGCATTTTTGCTGACTGTGACACCCCTAATTGTGTATATGATTGTGTAAATGATGATATTGTAGGTGATATGATTGTGTAAATGATGATACTGTAGGTGATATGATTGTGTAAATGATGATATTGTAGGTGATATGATTTTGTAAATGGTGATCAATACTGTAGGTGATATGATTGTGTAAATGATGATCAATACTGTAGGTGATATGATTGTGTAAATGATGATACTGTAGGTGATATGATTGTGTAAATGATGATACTGTAGGTGATATGATTGTGTAAATATGAAACTGTAGGTGATATGATTGTGTTAATGATGATACTGTAGGTGATGTGATTGTGTAAATATGAAAATGTAGGTGATATGATTGTGTAAATGATTAAATGTGAAAATGGTGATACTGCAGGTGACATGATTGTGAAAACGGTGATACTGTTGGTGATATGATTGTGTAAATGATGATATTGTAGGTTATATGATTGTGTAAGTGATGATCAATACCATAGGTGATATGATTGTGTAAATGATGATCAATACTGTAGGTGATATGATTGTGTAAGTGATGATACTGCAGGTGATATGATTGTGTAAGTGATGATACTGCAGGTGATATGATTGTGTAAATGATGATACTGCAGGTGATATGATTGTGAAAACGGTGATACTGTTGGTGATATGATTGTGTAAATGATGATATTGTAGGTGATATGATTTTGTAAATGGTGATATATTGTAGGTAATATGATTGTGTAAATGATGATACTGTAGGTGATATGATTGTGTAAATGATGATACTGTAGGTGATATGATTGTGTAAATGATGATACTGTAGGTGATATGATTATGTAAATGATATGATATGAATATTTCAGGTGATATGATGACACTGCTAATGAAGAAAGACACTCTGACAGACGAGCAGACACAATTTTATGTAGCAGAGTCTGTGTTAGCTATAGATTCCATCCACAACCTTGGCTTTATACATAGAGATATAAAGCCAGATAATTTATTATTAGATTCCAGGGTAAGTTTACAATGTATGTTTTATTTGAAAGGTTATTTTATTATTTAGTTACAGGTTTGTGACGGCCGGTCTGTGCAGGGCTAAGGTTGCAGTATTTCATTTTTGCATCAAAGATAGTTAGTCAGGTAACTTATAGAAGGAAGATGGTTCAACTCAAATGACTGCTTGTGTAAAGCAGAAACATCCCCTTGTGATTTGATATATGTTGATATGACTTAAAATTCAAGACATTTTAAACATGTATGTCTGAAAACATTCAACAAAAGAATGCAATTCATAGTGACTAAATTTTATACCATGTCTTAGTAGGTAGTGTTCATAAAGACATAAGGATAAGTACAATTCAATTCAACAATAAAATGTTTTTTGTTTTTAGCTCACCTGTCACAAAGTGACAGGGTGAGCTTTTGTGATCACTTTTCGTCCGGCATCCGTCCGTCCATCCGTCGTCCGTCCGTAAACTTTTACTTTAAAAGACATCTCCTCATAAACCACTGAGCCAATTTCATCCAAACTTCACAGGAATGTTCCTTTGGTGGTCAACTTTAAAATTGTTCAAAGCATTTAATTTCATGCAGAACTCTGGTTGCCATGGCAACCGGAAGAAATTTTTTTAAATATCTTCTCTTAAAATAAACCCAAGAGCTAGAGCTTAGATATTTGGCATGAAACATCTTCTAATTAGTGTCTTCCAAGTTTGTTCAAATAAAAGCCCTGGGGTCCAAATTGGCCCCGCCCCAGGGGGTCATTGATTTTCCCTATATTCATATAGTAAAAACTTAAAAAATCTTCTTTTAAAGAACTGTAAGAGCTAGAGCTAGGATATTTAGCATGAAACATCTTCTAGTGAGTGTCTACCAAGTTTGTTCAAATAAAAGCCCTGGGGTCAAAATTGGCCCCGCCCCAGGGGGTCATTGATTTTCCCTATATGCATATAGTAAAAACTTAAAAAATCTTCTTTTAAAGAACTGTAAAAGCTAGAGCTAAGATATTTAGCATGAAACATGTTCTAATGGGTGTCTACAAAGTTTGTTCAAATAAAAGCCCTGGGGTCAAAATTGGCCCCGCCCCGGGGGTCATTGATTTTCCTTATATGTGTATAGCAAAAACTTAAAAAATCTTCTTTGAAAAAACCCATATAGCTAGAGTTTAGATATTAAGCATGAAACATCTTCTAGTGAGTGTCTACCAAGTTTGTTCAAATAAAAGCCCTGGGGTCAAAATTGGCCCCGCCCCAGGGGGTCATTGATTTTCCCTATATGCATATAGTAAAAACTTAAAAAATCTTCTTTTAAAGAACCCAAAGAGCTAGAGCTAAGATATTTAGCATGAAACATGTTCTAATGGGTGTCTACAAAGTTTGTTCAAATAAAAGCTCTGGGGTCAAAATTGGCCCCGCCCCGGGGGTCATTGATTTTCCTTATATGTGTATAGCAAAAACTTAAAAAATCTTCTTTGAAAAAACCCAAATAGCTAGAGTTTAGATATTAAGCATGAAACATCTTCTAGTGAGTGTCTACCAAGTTTGTTAAAATAAAAGCCTGTTAAAATAAAAGCCCTGGGGTCAAAATTGGCCCCGCCCCAGGGGGTCATTGATTTTTCCTATATGCATATAGTAAAAACTTAAAAAATCTTCTTTTAAAGAACCCAAAGAGCTAGAGCTAAGATATTTAGCATGAAACATGTTCTAATGGGTGTCTACAAAGTTTGTTCAAATAAAAGCCCTAGGGTCAAAATTGGCCCCGCCCCGGGGGTCATTGATTTTCCTTATATGTGTATAGCAAAAACTTAAAAATCTTCTTTGAAAAAAGCCAAATAGCTAGAGATTAGATATTAAGCATGAAACATCTTCTAGTGTCTACAAAGTTTGTTCAAATTAAAGCCCTGGGGTCAAAACTTGCCCCACTTCAGGGATGTCATTGTTTTTAACTATATGTGTACAGTAAAAACTTAAAAAATCTTCTTTTAAAAAACCCAATGAGCTAGAGGTTAGATTTTAAGCAGGAAACATCTTTTTGTTGGTGTCTACCAAGTTTGTCCAAATAAAAGCCCTTGGGTTTAAATTGGCCCTGCCAAAGGGGGGGGGGGGGGGGGAGGGGGGGGGGCGGAGGTCATTATTTTTCATTATATGTGTGTAGTAAAAACTTAACATCATGAAACATCTACTAATGGGTGTCTTCCAAGTTTGCTCAAATAAAAGCCCTGGGGTTTAAACTGGCCCCGCTCCGGGGGCCTATATACAGGTGTGCGACCTCAGGGCCATCATGGCCCTCTTGTTTTGTTTGTTTTTTTTTTACAAAAAAAAAAAGGAAATTGATAGTGCTGCTTTTGGACAACATTTTCCCATTTTTGCAGTAAATAATGTATACAAATTGAAATTATACTGTATATAATATGCCTCTGAAATTGCTGCAGTTAATCACCTCAAATAAAACACTTTAATAAACAATTACTTTGACGTAATATTGGCTTGTTGCCAAATTAATTTCCTTTTATATTCAAGTAAATGGTCTATATTGCTTCAAAATAGGAATGCACCATGTGACATTGAAATGCAATTTGTGTCCATTGTCGTTGTATAAAACTATAGTGCATTATAATGTTCAACGACTATAGACATGAGGTACCTTTAAGAGTATATTGATATATATATATATATATATATATGTATATAAATAATATGTAAAGGTAATTCATATGGAAGTTCAATCCATTTTCCACTGATGTTGTGTAATGACGTACATCTCCTTATTTGAAAGGGAACAGTCTATCACTACTATAAGAGATTTTTGATATTTAAAATAGTGGCCAAATGTTGGGAGTTCATTCAGACTGTATACAAATAGAAAATATGTTGAACAATATTCTGTAATGATACAGTTATGGCTTGTGACTTCCTGTGCTCAACTTGTCTCATATTTGATGTCATGATGGTATACACAAATTACAATCTTCAGTACTTCAGTGCATACCAGTTATATAAAACCTTACTAAGCAAAATATTCAACTGCTATCAGCAAGTTGCCGGGGCAAGCCTGTTTCATTAGTAATATTAGTTACATTCTTCTTTCTATTTTGGTATTATTATTATCATTATCAAGAGACAAGTTTATTTACAGGTTTCAGATAGTCTAATATAGCTTTATACCTTCTAAATATGACATATATAATATATTACAGGGACATATCAAGTTATCCGATTTTGGCCTATGCACCGGCCTAAAGAAATCACATAGAACAGAATTCTACAAAGATCTCTCTCATGGCAAAACTGGTGATTTTAGTAAGTAGATTGATGTCTTACATATGCCATTATATGTGTATGCTTGTATATATGTTAATCACAAGAAACTTGTAGTTTAAGTGATAAATAAACATTCTTCTTCTTCTTCATACTTGATGTATTGGTACCTTTCATGGATATTTACATTTGGAAGGGGTTTCAAGGGCATTTATGCTTAAATACACTTTCTTACCTTTCTCGAAAATACAGCCATGTTAGTGGCTTTGGCTATTGGGTGGCATCCATATTGGATTGTTTACCCATATAATGCTATACATCTTAAACAGACTTGTCCATCTTTCAATTAGGACAAAACCATTCATCATTTCTAGGAAAAATTTTGACATAACTGGTACTGACTGAATAGTGTAGACCATGATCTTGGTCTGCAGTTGGCGTGTTTGATGCAAAGTTATTCCTACTTACATTTCAATAAATAACACTAAAAATTGGTTCATAAAAGTTTATGTTTATTTCTTTGATATGAAATTTTGATTATGTGTGTTAAAAGATATATTGTAGCAGTGGAAAATAAATTTAGCAGTGATTAACAAGGAACCCTAGTAAAGAAATGATTTATTTAAGTATTCTTTAGTTCTATAGATTAATTCACATAATTTGTATATTAAATTTTGCAGATTTAAATCCTATGGATTCCAAAAAGAGAATGGAAAGTTGGAAAAGAAATAGGAGAGCACTGGTATGTAGTTATGTAGTTGATGTTTTATTTTACTAGTAATATTGAATAATGATTATTTGAGCCGTGTCACGACAAAACCAACATAATGGGTTTGCGACCAGCATGGATCCAGACCAGCCTGCGCATCCGCCCAGTCTGATCAGGATCCATGCTGTTCGCTATCAGTTTCTCTACTTGTTATAGGGTTTGTAAGCGAACAGCATGGGTCCTGATCAGACTGCGCGGTTGCGCAGGCTGGTCTGGATCCATGCTGGTCGCAAACCCATTATGTTGGTTTTGTCGTGACACGGCTCATTTAATCCTTAACCTGCTGAAACAAAGTTTTTTTTATAAGTCTTTGCAACCAGTATAGAGCCAGGCCAGCCTGCACTAATGTTGCAGTCTGACCTGAGGCTCTATACTGTTGGTAGCTCAAGTTCTGTATTTTGATATATAAAAGCTATGTAACTGGATGGACGGTTCCAAATGCCAAGCAGGGCAAAGCCGGTACACAAATTGAGGAGTTAAAAGGTTTTTATACACATGATATTTTTCATTTTACAGCATTCATGGTTATTAATAATTATGTGATTAAGTAATGTAAATAATTATATAATTATTAATTAATGTAATGGAAGTGGTATAGGGGTGTGCCAACTTTGTATATAACTCAAATTACTCATATAAATTCCTAATCTATTTTTACTAATTACAGTAGAAATTTCTATATTTAGGCAGAAAATTATGGAATATAACACTACATAATCATTTATGTAATTTCAAATACATTGTTGAATTTGTTTGTTCTATTTACTTTTGGGGGGTCTTGTATTAAAATTTTAATAAAGTTGTTTTCTTAAGTTTGTAATAAAGACCTACTGTATGATTTTCTGCATTTAAATGTGACTGAATTCTGTATAAACTTTGACAAAGTAGCAAGGCATTTACCAAATACAGTACAATTATTTAGTTTGTTTCAAAATATTGTTTGTATAGGATTTTGAGAATTGTATATTTCTATATAATGGTTTATTACAGGCATATTCCACTGTAGGCACGCCAGATTATATAGCCCCTGAAGTATTTATGCAAACCGGTTACTCTAGTTCCTGTGATTGGTGGTCACTAGGGGTGATCATGTATGAAATGTTAATAGGTAAGTCTGCTATTGTACTGATACTTAAAACTATTGAAAATATAGTTTTGATGAGTTTAAAAGAGATAGTAACTCAGTCAGCATATGAAGTGGCGTGGTTTTTCTTTGGTGCCCCTTCGCACCTCCGATTTTCCTTTGCTAGTAAAGCTGGAGAGTTACCAGAATTAGTAATTTTTACAATGTAATTGGGTGTGACAAATCAGCAAAACAAAGACAAAATACCTTTGTCAGCTGGTTATATGTGATAAGGCTTACAAATTTTAAAATTGTTAACATATTAGGAATATAATATCTACATACATTTCAGCTCGTTTATCTTTAGATATGTTATAGTCTATATTTTGTGCAGGTTTCGCCATTTCTTTTCTAGTAAAATAAAATATTGTAAAGTTTACAAAGAAAATAATTAACACATTGCAAACGGCATTAACATTCCACATAAATTATCAAAAAGAGGTTAAAATTTGTAAAAAATGCCCTTACTGTGTTAGTCATGCAATAGAAATAAGGTGAAAACTACTGAAAAATCAGTCATTAATTGCGTCATGCTTGACCAACTTATTTTTGTAAATACGTACTAATAAACTTTAACCTATACTTAAATCTTGAATTTTCTTTCTTTTAAATCTTAGTACATTTCTCTAAAGTTTAATTTTCTTGAAATATTTTGACTCATCTAGAGGTATGTAGCTTTAATCTAGGATTTTTTTTCATATGATTTCAAATATAGAAATCAACTGCAAGAAAGAGAAATTCAGCTTGTATTTATAAAAGGAAATTTAAGTTTTCTGTTTCAGATTTAAGACAAAATTTACATGTGTATATTTTATGTGATGAAAGAGAATTATATAGGATTTTTTGTTGCAGGTTATCCTCCATTTTGTTCAGAAAATCCTCAGGAAACTTACAGAAAGGTGATGAACTGGCGAGAAACTCTCATTTTCCCTCCAGAAGTCCCAATATCCACTGAATCCAAAGATCTCATTCAAAAGTAAGTGAGTCTACACATGCTTGTCTATTTATGTATATTTCAAAATTTTGGGTAAATACAGATTTCTTGTTTGGGATTGTTTGTCTTCAGTAATAGGGATAAAGTCACTTACTGAAATTGAAAACAATTTCTTGGTTAAAATCATGAATGAGATTGAGTCTTTAATTTGGAAATAGGTTTCATTTTGATAACTTAGGTCAATGGTTAGACTCCTATAATGCAGGCAGTCTGACCGAACTCTATATAGATGGCTGCTCAGTTTTAGTATTTTGATATTGATAAACATTCAGGAGTATGTTTGCTAATGAACCTGTATATAACCTGTTGTATGCTGGGTAATAAACATGAAGGTGCTCTCATCTTCATTTAGCAGTTTTCATATGACCTATTTTTAGTACATTTTAGAAGCATAAGAGGGTGTTCTACTTTCTGACATCTCCATTTGAGGAAATTTCCAAAATAGCAGCTCAGTGACACACTGATTATGGTCTTGTACCACTAATGGAGTGATGTAAATTCAAAACAGGACAAAGTTGATAACACAAATTCAAATTCAAAATGTTAATTATTCATCTGTTCTCTGCAAATATCTGTCTGCTTGAATTATTTATGGACAATGTTAAAAAATGTTTTCCATAGTTTGAAGTGAGATCAATATTTATATGGATGTTATATGTTTATTTTAGGCTATGTTGTGATCATGAACACAGGTTAAGTAGTCGAGAACAAATCCAGGCCTGTTCCTTCTTCCGAGGATGTGATTGGGAACATATCAGGTACGCTAACATAACCCATTGTTCATTAGTACATGTGTATTGTTGATATGGGTCAGAAATTTGGTACAAGTGCATATATGAAGTGGGACATATTTATGACTTTTAGCTGGACTGTTTAACTGTTAAAAAAAGATAGGGCTACCCTTGGCACCTGTGCACAAGGGAATAGTTAAAGTTCTACATGCAACTTCTTGTACATCTGGATGTCCTATCCACTATAAAGATTTTTAATTGTAACTTCAGATTTGCCTTTGATATTATTATCTTTATAAAGTTTTTTGTGCAAGATAAATCTTAAAAACTATTGAAGGTGTTTACTTTTAAACTTTGTGCATATTCTAGAATCTTTATTGTAGTTAAATTTTCAAGACTCTGAACTATGATATGCAATAAAAAGACTTTTTGTAAATCTCTGCATTATAAAGGCTCTTGTCTCTTTGCTTATCTTAACTATCAAGCGCTGAAGATAGTCGCGATCCTTTGTTTAATAATTGCACATCGGTCGTGATGTATGAATAAAGTTTTACACTAAAGAGACACAATTATATTCATTATTTATAAAAAAGGAAGAAAATATAAATTGATTGTTTATTTTTTACTTATTGATGAACAAAAAGTTTTAATGATGAATGATATATATATAGTTAGTGAAACTGATTATGTTTCTCTGATGAAAGTTATACCACACATATGGAAACCAGTACGTTTTTCATGGACTTATTCATGAATACTTTGATATGAAGCAGAAATTTAAAGTGTGATGTAATGGTGTGTAATTTTGCAATGTCATGCTAATTTGTCATTCCTAAGCAAATTAAACAAATTATATATATATGATATATTAAAGCATATACATTCAGTTTTTGATAAAATTATGCCACTTTGCAAGATTTATACATTTATTTCATTGCAATCTCTAAAACATTTTACTTCAAATCTAATTTTTTAACAAACCTTAGGAGTAAAAAATTGTTTTAGGTTTAAAGCTTATAATTATGTGATGTTGATTTAAACAGTAATACAAGAAGAAAAAAATGAAAAGATTCAAGGGGACATTATGGCAAAGTGGCTGAAGTTTCTGACTTAATATCGCTTGTTTCTTTGTTCAAGGCCTTCTGATAAGATGTGATAGTGATAAGTCTCTCTGTCCTAGCAGTATGAGGGGCATTTTTGAGTCTGCCTTGACCAGTATACATCTAAACTGGCCATTCCTTCAACAATATTCTTATTATACCTAAAATCCAACCACAGAAAGGGAAGGGAACTCTTCTACAATATAGATTATTAGTTAAAAAAGATATTTTACAAGTTATATGGTCCAGTATAAAAAGTTTTAAGCTGAAGTAGCAACCAGCTATTTATACTCGTACATATAATCATGTCAAACTTCTTGATAATGAATTTGTAATACTGCAAAATTCCTTTATCAGACGAAAAATTTAAAAAAAATCATAAATTTTCAGCAGCTGGGTATATAGATAATGTGGTTACAAATATTCAATATAAGTCAACATTACAAACATTCAGTATTATAAATTTGTCTAGAAATACACATTACTAGTTTATGGTGTTATCCATAGTATAATTAAAGGTTGTTACTTTGATGTTATTACAGAGACCGCCCTGCTGCCATTCCAATAGAAATTAAAAGTATTGACGACACATCTAACTTTGACGAGTTTCCAGATGTAGACCTCAAATGGCGTAAGTGTATAGTATTAAGTTACATAGAATTGTTAATAGTGATTAATGCTGAGAAGATATCAGTAGCTTATCCGATGATCATGCTTTTACTGTGTCTGAAAACTTGTAGGCCATCTGATAATAGGTATCTTGAAGGATAGCCGAGTCAAAGTTAAAGTCTGTCTCTCATCCCATACATCATTTGTTGGAGGGCTTCTTGGCTTCGACTATGTTGATATACATGACACAACACATGACACAATACATAATACTATTTATGACAATATGAATGTTCTCGTAAAGATGTTTTTAGTACTGTAATTTTCAAGGGCAGATAACTCAAAATCAAGCATGCTTCAGGTATCATGCAAAGTTTAAAACAGTTCTTTTTAAAAAGGGGTATAACTCAAGAAAATTTCTATCATTTCACATACGCAGCTAAAGAATATAATCTTTCCCATAGAATTTTAGCACATTTTACTTTCTGACAGGAAATAAATTAGCAAGCAAATGTGCTCCTAATAACCCAAAGATTTTTGTCCCCCGCCTTTTCGAAGAAAAAAGGGGGGATATAGAAATACGTGGCTAAAAAGAACAATAGAGAGAACAATAGAGTAGCCACATAATTACTGTCCTGTGAGAACGTCCGTCTGTCCGTCCGTCACACTTTGTGTCCGGTCCATAACTTTTTCATTTATCAAAGGAATCTGAAATAACTTGGCACAAATGTTTGTTATAATAAGACGATGTGTCATGCGCAACAATCAGACCCCTACCTCTAGGGTCAAGGTTGCACTTGCTCATTTAAGGTCAACATTGTCTATTTGATGGTATATGTTGGGTCCGGTCCATAACTTTCTTATCTTTGAAGGGATTTTGTAAATACTTGCCACAATTGTTCACAATAATGAGACGATGTGTCATGCGCAACAACCAGTCACCTACCGCCAAGGTCAAGGTCACACTTGGAGGTCAAAGATTAACATAGTCATTTACAGGGTATATTTTGTGTCCAGTCCATAACTTTTTCATAGATCTTATTATTGTGACTATTTGTGCCAAGTTATTTCAAAATCCCTTGAACTATAAAGAAGTTCTAGATTCAACACAAAATATACCCTATAACAGACTATGTTAATTTTTGACCTCTAAGTGTGACCTTGACCTTGGAGGTAGGGATGCAGGTGTTGCGCATGACACATCCTCTTATTATAGTGACTATTTGTGCCAAGTTATTTCAAAATCCCTTGAACTATGAAAAAATTATAGACCTGACACAAAATATACCCTGTAACAGACTATGTAAGTATTTGACCTCCAAGTGTGACCTTGACCTTGGAGGTAGGTGACCGGTTTTTGCGCATGACACATCATCTGATTATTGTTAACAATTATGGCAAGTATTTACAAAAGTCCTTCATAGATAAGAAAGTTATGGACTGGACACGACATATACCCTCAAATAGACAATGTTGACCTTGAATTAACAAGTACGACCTTGACCCTGAAGGTACGGGTCTGGTTGTTGCGCATGACACATCGTCTTATTATAACAAACATTTGTGCCAAGTTATCTCAAATTCCTTTGATAAATGACAAAGTTATGGACCGGACACGAAATATACCCTGTAACAGACTATGTTAATATTTGACCTCCAAGTGTGACCTTGACGTTGAAGGTAGGCAACTGGTTTTTGCGCATGACACATCGTCTGATTATTATGAACAATTATGGCAAGCATTTACAAAAACCCTTCATAGATAAGAAAGTTATGGACCGGACACGAAATATACCCTGTAACAGACTATGTTAATATTTGACCTCCAAGTGTGACCTTGACCTTGAAGGTAGGCGACTGCTTTTTCCGCATGACACATCGTCTGATAATTGTGAACAATTATGGCAAGTATTTACAAAATCCCTTCATAGATAAGAAAGTTATGGACCGGACACGAAATATACCCTGTAACAGACTATGTTAATATTTGACCTCCAAGTGTGACCTTGACCTTGAAGGTAGGTGACTGGTTTTTGCGCATGACACATCGTCTGATTATTGTTAACAATTATGGCAAGTATTTACAAAATCCCTTCATAGAAAAGAAAGTTATGGACCGGACACGACATATACCCTCAAATAGGCAATTTTGACCTTGAATGAGCAAGTGTGACCTTGACCCTGGAGGTAGGGGTCTGGTTGTTGCGCATGACACATCGTGTTATTATAATAAACATTTGTGCCAAGTTATTTCAAATTCCTTTCATAAATGACAAAGTTATGGACCGGACACGAAAGTGTGACGGACGGACAGACGGACGGAGCCTATTTCTATATCCCCCTTTTTTCTTCGAAAAGGCGGGGGACAATAAGACGATATGTCATGCACAACACCTGTAACCCTACCTCCAAGGTCAAGGTCAGACTTAGAGGTCAAAGGTTAACATGATAGAATTTTAAATTTTGTGTTTCATTTTACTAGTATTTCTTTTATAAATTTATTGTTGCATTGGCAGATCTAACTGATCATAATTTTGGACTGAAAGTTCTCAAATCCATACCTCAATCTTTTGAAATACGATTAAATGTTGCACAATTTTATGCTTCATATAAAACTTCCCCGAGGCGGGGGACGTTGGTAACGCTGTTACAAATTCTTGTTATTTATATTTCAGCAACTTCCTTAGCCCAGAAGCCAGACATTGCTAAAGAGCAACCAAATAATAAAGACTGGGTGTTTATAAACTATACATACAAACGATTTGAGGGACTTCCAAAGTCCTGGCAGTCTAAAAGTTAGCAATAGTCAGTTGTGGAGAGTTGTACAACACTTGTGGAGAAAATGAACAACAATGGTGGAGACACTACCAATCATCCATCCTTCATTCATTGTGTGATTTACATGTATAATAAATTTGTTGTTGAAAAAAAAGAGGAAATTCCAATGTCAGGATTGTGAACTAGGTTTAACATGGGAAAAACAAATTTAACATTACACAGTTAGATTTAGTGTTTTGAGAAAAGAGACTTGAAATGAGTCAATATTGTACTATACAATCGACATGCTTAAACAATGGACACTTATGAAACATAGACACATTTATAAACAATTGACTTTGTCATCCGTCTAAAACTGTAATAACTTCAATTATTAATGATTAATTGATATAAACAATTGTTTAATCTGGAATTATATTTCTGTTTAGTCACAATGATTTTATCATATTCTTTATAACTAATTTGTTACCGTATTTAAAATTTGGGATGCATTTTACCATGTAGATGATGACTGGTATTTTGACTGAATCAACATTAGTGCATATTTTAGTGCATATTTTCAGGGGTTCACTGTAACACTTTCATAACTTAAGATTTGATCTTAACTCTGCTGAAATTTTATAATGAACTTGCCCTTTTTTGAACTTTTAACTTTCCACAAATAGTTTAAGACAGTGGTGGGTGGGGGGTGTATCAGATTGAGCAGTCAACAGTATGGAGTCCAGTGAGACAGTACTGATGAGCAGGCTGGTCTGGCTAGGTGGCGTAGGTCTTCTTTTACTGCCATCAGCCCTCCAAGGGTTAGGTTTGTTGAGATATGAAAGTGATGCACTGAACACTCTGTAATTTATTTTACATCAGACGAAACTTCCACTTTTTTTCCAAGTGTGAAGTATGGAAAAGATAAAATAACATAGCTATTTGAATAGTGCTTTTTTTTTTGAATTGTGAAGATTTTACAAGTATATTGTGAACTTTCACAATAATATTTTACAAGCTTTGTTGTTCAGATAAATAGTAAAATATAAAATATAAGGTAATCAGAAAGTGCTTTTAAGTGAAAGTGTAAAGTGTCTAAATTTTTGTTTAAATTTATATCAATTCATTGAAGGTAGTTTTTTGTTGTTGTTTTTTGTTTGTTTTTTTTTAAGGAAAAAACAAAACATTTTTTTCGTAAATTCATTGTGGAATTGAAAATTTATGTCATTTCATTTTTTTTTATTATTATTATTGATAACATTTATTTTAACACATCAGTCAGATTTAAGCAATAATTTGAGATGATAGAAAAAAAATAGCTGTGAACAGCACTTGCCTTGCTTCACGAAAACCAAATATTTCTGATTATCATTAAACTGTGTCTCCATGTTTATTTATTTACTAAATATAGTATATAATATTTGACTTTTAATTCATTTATTAAACAACATTGGCTGCATTTTTTTATATACAAGGAGGCAAAATCTTTTTTTTTTCGATTTTTTTTTTTTTTTTTTTTTTTTTTAACTTTATTATCTTTACCTTTCAAGTTTTTGTGTTATCTGGCTTTGATTGGTAAAATGAATAAATTAGATAAGTAAGTGGATAAGTGGAATGCAAATTAAAGAAATAGATTAATATTTTTAGTTTTGTTCTGACATTTCGGCTATCACATGGACTTTATCAGAAAATATAAAAGTTCAGGTGCATGTTACTATAGTGGCCATTTTTTTTTGGTAAAGAATGTAATGTAAGATAAAGACTGTCGTTGTTTTAATGGAGATGTCGAGGTGTTTGTATATACTGTGAAGAGTCTTTCATTTATATATGCTTCATATCATTACTTATTGTATATTTAGCAATAAAGCATGTACATTTGAGCCGCGCCATGACAAAACCAATACAGCGCGTTTGCGACCTGCATGGATCCAGACCAGTCTGCGCATCCGCACAGTCTGATCAGGATCCATGCTGTTCGCTTACAGTTACAAACCCTATTTCAAGTAGAGAAACTGATAGTGAACAGCATGGATCTTGATCAAACTGTGTGGATGCGCAGGCTGGTCTGGATCCATGCTGGTCACAAACACACTTAGGTGGTTTTGTCATGGTGCGACTCATTTCTCCTATCATTATATCACTGTCGTTCAAAATTAACCATTTTTTTTTTATTAATTATTTTCCTGTATTTATTTTTTAGCTCACCTGAGAATTGAAATAAGCTTTAAATGACATCCTCTTTTAAACCGTTCAGCAGATTTTGATGAAACTTGGGAAGAATGATCCACGGGTGCTACTGTACCAAAATATCTTTTTATTATTTTAGTTCGCTGAATAGGGATATTTTTTCTGGAGTTGTTGCCAACATGTGAGCGATTTAGGGCCATCATGGCTCTCTTGTTTTGATGTAGTGCAGGTAGTGTGTAATTGTGCATTATGTTTGTTTTTTTACATTTTTACCTGGAATAACTTTTTTTGCTGGACATAAAAGTGGGAAAGGTCTTTTATGATAAGTTGTAGACTAAATTTTCTACAATGTAAAATAAGTTTACTTAAAATTTCAATTCCTGCAAATCTGCTTAACTTTCATAAACTTGATTTTTTTTTTCAAAAAAAGGTATTTATGATCTTATTTAAACATTCTCATTAGTAGAGTATAGAAAAAATCAACATTTATTTCATTGGATATTGTGCATATTATTTATTTTGCAATAAGTTTCACTTTTGTAGCCATTTCACTTACACACACACAAAATACATTCCATACATTTTGATTGTTGTTTTAGTAGAGGAAAAAAAGGTTTCAATTGTGTTTTTAGGCTGACAACTTTGTCATGTTTTATTTTAATGCATGTTTTAATCATACTTTAACCGTGGCAAGATGTGATATATCTTGTTACCTTAGCAACCACAGATAATCTTGTTACCATAGCAACGACAGATAATCGTGTTACCATAGCAACTACAGATAATCTTATTACCATAACAACTACAGATAATCTTGTTACCATAGCAACCACATAATCTTGTTACCATAGCAACTATAGATAATTTTGTTGCCATAGCAACCACAGATTATCTTGTTACTATAGCAACAACAGATAATATGATGTTTTGTAGATGATTGAATGTGTTAGGGATTTTACAGAACTGAAAAAAACAAAAACAACTTTTATATTTGACCCTCTGTATTAAGGAAACATACCTTCAATGTGCACAATGATTGCTTTTTATAACACATTGATATTTATCAGTGGAGAATACAGTTCCCAGTTTGTACAGATTATATAGAGATTCTTGTTTTTGTACCCAAAAAAGCTAATATAGCATTTTGTATCAGATAATACTTGAAACAAATTGGGTTTTTGGAACAATTGTCCAAGTTGATAGTTATTTATAGATCTATTTAACATGACAACTTTGTCTTTTGACACTAAAACAAAGATACAGTTGAAGAATTTTAATCTTTTTTGTCACTGATTAAAAAAACAACAACAAAAACAACCGGGATTACAACATTTATCTCTCTCTTGTCAAATTGCAATCTAAATTGAGATGCTCAGAAACTAATAACATGAAGAAAATAGTTCATTTATAAACGAGTTGGTTTTTGAATGTATTTTGTGTTATTTGATAAAATACTGGATTTTATCAGTGAAATATATTTAGTATCACTTTCTACAAGACATTTGTCAAGATAATCAACTTTTCTTCCATTGATAAGCATATGATTGAGAAGATTGACGCTTCTGAGGAATATTTAAATAGATTTTTTTTATCGTCACTTTCACCATGCATGTTAATGAAAATATAAAATATATCTCACAGTTGTCAGTGAGACACTACCGTGTTTATTCAAATAGAATTAATGTCTGCTTCCTGTTATATACTTTGATGTTTGCAGTAAAGGAATATAGAGAAATGTAAATGTTGTGCATGCCTATGAAAATATATGAAAAATATCTCACAGTTGTCAGTGAGATATGGAAGAGGATGAATATATTGTGTAGGGATACTTTGAAGTTAATTATCCGATCTCAGAAAACGGGGATGTGATACAACATTGTAAGTTGAATTAAGAAATGCCATGAAAAAAGTTTTGATAATACAAAATTGTTATTTATGTAAACATGGAGATGTGTGCCATGAAGTGATTGTGTTTAAACATTTTATTTGTTACTTGATGCTGAATAACTTATCACCTGTTGATTAAATTTGCTAAAACTAATACTTGTTTTCCTTGTTTTTATACTTGTTTTTGAACAATTTTACTTCTAGCTGTCTTCGATGGAGACGATATCGATGTATCCTTTATATTTTTCTGTCGATCAATAATCAAAACACATTTTTAACAAATCGATAATTTTGATTAATTAATATAATGTCTATAAATTATGAAGATTCACCCAAAAACAGGAGGCCATGTCTGACACTAAGCTGTTGTTACATTATGAACACATTTCATAGCAGTGATGACTAAAAATGATTAGGTAAAAATCATGCAAAGGACATTTATAAACCGGACACAAGAAATTTTTATGAACAGAAGTCAGAACATATATAGTAGTAGTTTTATTATTTGTTTGGGTCGTCAGACCAAACAAATAATGGTAGCGAAATTTCAGAGTCTGATGCAGTTAATTGCAAATGCCGAAAGTAGGCCACTTTTTTGAAGCGGTTCTTTCCCTTTATATGTACACTAACGCCGAAATTATTCAGGGGAGATCACTGCGTAAAGATGGTCAAATGACAGGCGCATTAATTTTCAAGCAGAATAATTCCCGAATGGTCGAAGATTTCTAATATTGTTTTATCCTTTATAGATATACATGCTTATAATAAACTCCATGATTATTAACATCTGTGTTAAACAACAGTTAGCGTCGAAATAATTAGGGTTACAAACCCTAATTTAGAATAATATGGTTTTCTTCAGGCCTTTTACATATAACTTCACCGTGGCCGAGGTGTCTGGAGTTCAAATCCAGGAAGGCAACTCTTTTTTTTCAAGTTGTTTAAGTCAAATAAACATTGAATTGAATATCAGTGTTGCAATTAGTCTTAAAGCCAATTAACTACAACTAAAACGCTGGAAAGCACTGGTGGCACTATACAAAAACAAATTGGTTTATAATCTCACAACCTTCACCTTTCTGACATTCTGAGACCCAAACAAATTCAGCGCCTTCTGTGCTTTGATTCGGTAAAAGTGTACATGACATGGCAATGACATAATGATGCATAATGATACAATACATATAACAATAATCAAAATATTAAAGAGACTAGATATATGACATGACATAAGTATATGACAAAATATAAATATATGAGTCATGTAGTGGCCACCAATACCAGGGATAACACAAAAAAGAGGAAAGGATTCCTCTTATTTCCATTGTGGTCCCTGACATTGGAGGCATGACACAGAAAGTCATGTTAATTTGTATGAAATTGAAATAAATTCTTGTATTATTTAATAAGGCATTAATTGCAATAATTTAGTTGAGATCACAATATATCACAGTCCAAGTTTGTATCACATTAAAATCACAGTTCAAGTTTGTATCACATCAATAAATCATGAAATAGTGCATCACAGAAATTGTCAGTCAAACTGTAAAATTTTAATAAAAATATTATAAAACGTTAAATGTGCAAGCTAAAAATGGGTAAATTACTAAAGGACACAACATATGTGTGTTGTGCTTAAACTTAAGAATATGTAAAATCTGGGACTCTATTAGGACTATTAAAAGATTCAAATACTATTGAAAAATAAACTAAAATTAACTGGCCATTAAATGGGCTTTGATGGCATGCTTGAAGGTGTGGGAAGATTGAATATTTCTAAGATTTTGAGGAAGGCCGTTCCATAGTGCAATACCATTAAAAGCAAAAGATTTTCTACCAAAGCTTCCTACCTTTGGTAAAGAAAATCGTCCTGTGTCACTAAAAGAATAGCCTCCATAGGAATCTGATGATGAAAGTGCAGACACTCTGGACCTGGTACAGAGGTCATGGACCTGCTTAAAGGGGTACTAAATGCTCCTTAAGGTATTTTGCGGCTGTGTCAGACTTTATTTTATGGACATGGCAAAGAGTTATCTGATCAACTCTTTTGGAGACCGGTAACCAGTTAAGAACCTTAAATTGCTCTGGCCCAACATGTGACCTGCTGTCCATATTCAAAACAAAACGAACCAATTTATTCTGGGTTGTTTGGAGCCTTTTCTTCCAATACTGAGTCAAACTTGGGTACCAAAAAGAACAAACATAATCAAAATGGCATTGAATTAAGGACATGACCAAGAGTTTCCTAGTGTGGAGATCCAAGAATTGACTATTTCAGCCGGGCATTTGCTTTCATAACCACTGACCGTGCAATTTCTTCACAGGAAAGGTTCTGGTCCAAAGTTGCACCGAGATATTTAACTGAGCTGGTAGCCTGGATATTTATACCATTACATGAAATATTTAAAGTACCTTTTGACCTTAACTTTGGTTTTGAACCAAACAGAATAGATTCTGTTTTGCCAAGATGAATTGAAAGCTTGTTATAGACAAGCCATTCACTTACATACTCCATCTCAAGTGATAAAAGAGATTCAATGTCGGAAGTACTTTTACCACACACAAGAATCCCAGAGTCGTCGGCATACAATAAAAGTTTGTTTCTGACGACAGCACATAAATTAAAAATATGTATAAATATAAAATATGTTTATATAAAAATATATTGTACTAAAACCATCTAAACAGGTATGAAAGTGAAATATATACAAGAAATTAGAGTAAATATTGATGTATCGCTGATATTCGTCATCTGATATGATGTATGGTCAATATGCTTTGCTATAAATCAATGACGGCTCTAATCTGACACACCATTAATAGGCAGGCATAGAATCTGTCACAGAGATGCATCACCTTGAATTAAATTTTATTTCATTTTGGGTAAAATAGTGCATGTTTGTTAAGTTTATGTAACTATTAGTTTATATAACCCTGGTCTGTCAGGTTGTTAGCTTGTTATATTTAATTGAAATTTATTATAAAAAAATTTAATCATTCATATATGGCTGCAAATAAATGATTGTCATATATGCTGGGGTTATGTAAGTTTACAAAAGTGTACACTTTGGACACATAACCTGACATACCTTGGTAGTTATTTGGACATTACTAGAGCAATAAACTCAGATTAATCTATTTGTTTACTATACAATTTGATACACTGTCTGTGGCATAATGTGTATAGTGCAGCATATATAATGCATACTGGAGAGCATAAGATGTGCACTTACACTTTAGAAAATTGATTGATTTGACTAAATTAATAATGTAAGGGAGGTAAATACGCTAGGTTTCAAGGTTTATTTGAATACGTCAGGGCCCATATGGGCATGTGACAACATAAAACAGTACATACATACAAAATAATACAAAATGGCAAATAATATGTAAAAACAAAATACTACAAAATGGCAAATTATAAATGGTCATACAACTCCATGATGTAATAAAATTACAGTAATAACTGACAGATAATGGAGGATTAGAGAGAAAAATCAAAAATCATTGCGAGAAAAAACAAAGAGAAAAGACATAAATAATAAGCTAACATTATTTAAATAATAACATAATATTTTTGCAAAATATGGCAAGTTTCAAAAGGATATCTTTATTACTATGGTTCATTAATTTTTCAAATTTTAAAGCACTTGGACGTTCATAGAAATATTTATCAAGATACAGCTTTCTTGTATTAACTAAATGTAAACATTCAAAAAGATAATGGAATTCGTCGCCTAAAGAGTTACTGGTACATAGGTTACAAGTTCTAAGTTCTCTTAGAATATCATCAAACCTTCCTTTTTCAATAGGAAGTTTGTGATTCATACTTCTAAATTTAAAGAGAATTAAAGCTAAATTCATATGTAACTTGCTGAGGTATGGCTCAAAACAAAAATCCTGTTTATAAATCCTGTAATTTAGACATTTACTGGAATTATTAATTGTACTTCTCCAATTTTGCATAAAATGATCACGCAGTCTTAAGTTGACAGTATTCTTGAATGAAGCAGGAGATTCCACATTTTGATTTATCCAAAAATGCGACAATCCAAGATCATAAACAAAACAGACCCAATCTGATTTAATATTATTCAGAGTATATAAATTATGAGTTGTTCTATATAGAATGCTGATTATCTTATCATGTTTAGAATTAACTATTTTACCCCAGTAATTGAGAACTCTACTTTTAATTTGTGTTGAAAGTGGGGTAATACCCAACTCTCCATAAATCATAACATTTGGAGTACTCTGTTTCAGCTGTAGAATTATCTTTAGGTATTTTAATTGAAATTTATCCACAACACTCACATCTTCAACACCCCAAACTTCACACCCATACAACAAAAAATGGGTGCTATCATTGTATCAAACAAGTGTAATTGCATATCTATTGGTAAATTAAGTATCCTAGATTTCCTAATTACAGAAAACATGGCTTTACGGGCTTGATCAATAATGAATGTTTTAGTTCTGCTGAATTTACCATTAAATGAAAATTGGACACCTAAATATGAGAAATGCTCAACAATTTCAAGGACAGTCCCCTCATAGTGAAAGTTAGGCATATTACGCAAACCTCTCTTGGTTTTCCAAAATATAATAACTTTGGTTTTATTTGTATTTACTTCAAGATTCCAAAGCTTGCAGTAGTCAGACATAGCGTTTAATGCTAACTGAAGCTGCTGCATGCGAGCTCTCTGACAATATTACAGTGTCATCTGCATACAATAGTAAATACAGTTTAAGATTAACTTCCATTTCATCATCACTTAACATATCATTTATATGTTCTTTTAGAAACTGCAAACCTTCATATTTATCAGACATAAAATTAGTTAGATCATTCAAGAAAAGAGAAAACAATATTGGAGATAAGTTTTCACCTTGTCTTACTCCAGTATGACTAGTGAAAAAATCTGAAATTGTATTATTCGAACTAACACATGACTTAGCTTTGTCATACATATTGTGTATTATTTTAAAGCATTTCCCATCAATATTGTAACTTAATAATTTATGCCACATGGCAGTGCGATTTACAGAATCAAAGGCTTGCGATAATCTACAAATGCACAATACAATTTTTTTTCCATGTGCTAGATATACGTCCACTAGAAGTTTTAATGAAAATATGTGATCAACAGTACTATAATGCTTCCTGAAACCTGCTTGTTCTTCACATAGAATGTTGTTTGATTCCAAGAAGTCATTTAATCTGTTTTTAAGTACCGAAGTGAAAAGTTTTCCAAAGCAACTGAGTATTGTTATGCCCCTGTAATTATCCGGATCATTAACATCCCCTTTATTTTTATACAATGGTAAGATAACTCCCTTGCTCCACACATCCGGAAAGATACCAGAGTCTAATATATAATGTTAAAAAATAGCTTAAGTACAGCCAGCAGATTATCAGGAGCATTTTTGAGATACTCATTAATAATATTATCAAATATAGATGGACTTTTATTATTCTTAAGCGCCTTTATAGCCTTATCTATTTCTTGCTCAGTAAATTGCGAATTCAGTGCCTCATTAAACATTGGTAAGTTGTTAACATTAAAATTATCTACGTCATTTTCATTTCTTAAAATATCTGCATTCAAATTACTGAAATGCTCATGGAAAACCTCATTAGAATGATTAAATATGCACTGCGGAGTTGTCATGCCTGTTGAAGCTTAACACAGCCGTTACTTAATAAAATTTCTATAAAGCCCGCTATATTAAATCAGTGAAATGACCCTTTTACGATAATAATTCGAAATTTCATACCAAATTTCATACCGAGGTAACAGATCATAACATAACGTTCATAAATACCTACAACGTGTCATACACGGATGGAAAACTGTCTTTTGGAAAAAAAAACACCAGAAAACTGGACTGTTACAAGCTTCAAACTCGGCAAACATCTAGACATTTCATGATTTCGACAGTGCTTTATGTTATTAACCATCTTACTGAAGGAAACTGCTTTTCTTAAATACATGTCATACTTTAACCCTTTACCACATATATACGCGAAACAACGCACTTTCGACCCCCCCCCTTTTTGGGGCCTCAAATAGTGAAAAAATGTCCTATTTGGGCCCTAAACATAGGGGGGGGTTTGAAGGGGGGCGGAGTCCCCCTCATCGCCAAGAAAATTTTGGACTTGTGAGAGGCTAAAAATGACCCCAGGTCGACCATAATGTAACGTTTAACCAAAGCTGAAAAGCCTTTGACTCTATCTCAATCCCTTGAGAAGTTGCAGCACTTTGAAATAAATTTTGATGGAAAAAAATCGAGGCAAAATAGTGATTTTTGGCAATTTTGAGATGTCCCCTCGTTGCCATGGTAACAGGAAATTTAAGACTGAGCATGTCGTTACAAAGGCAATGGTCCAGTCAACATTTGTGCCAAGTTTGATTAGTATTGAAGCATTTTTCATAGTTTCATAGCAGTTTGAACTTGTAACAGGAGGCTTTTCAGTGAAAACGGCCATTTTTCACAATATGCTCATGGGGGAAAGGGTTAAGAAAATGTTGCCCTGCCCGTGAATTTGCAAAATGTACAGAAAAATGACTGTATCGCTTTCAGTTTTATTATACCAATGTTTACCTATGTTTCATGGCAAAGTAAAACATGTTTGCTCACAGATCGAATTTTCTGTTTGCTGACAGAATTTTAAACTACTTCAAGAGCCGATTAACTGAAGGAAAATTATTGGATAATGATAAATCATGTGCGAAACTGGGATATTTAAAACAACACCACCACCAACAGAAAGCCACAAACAACATGCAGCAGCACACAACAACAACAACAACAACAACAGCAGCAGCAGCAGCAGCAGCACTTCCACCCATGTTATTATGAACGAAACAAACATTTTTATGTTCTTTATGGGCTATATACTATAGTAAGATATCTTAATATACATAATTATACGTGACTAGCACCTGTGGAACGAACATTGTGTTTAATTTGAACATACCTATTATAAAGGTAACATAAAACACTGCGATTTTCATCTTTACCATTTATGTTCAAGTTTCTCAATAAATGATAAATCGTCGACTTTTTCAAAAGATGCAACAACAGAGCCATTTATCAGGTGATCAAGGTCATGTGATCAAGGTCAGGTGATCAATCTCACGTGATTAAGGTCACGTGATCAAGGGCAAGTAGTCAAGGTCATGTATTTTCACTATAAATAGGCGAAAATGTATAGTTTCACTATTTCATGTAAATTTTTTCAAATGAAAAGCACGTGATTTTTCAACGGGTCAAAATGAAATGTTATACCGGCGGGTACAGCATTTCTTGAGCAACATACCCGTCAGATGCCCACATAACAATGGGAGCAGCGAATATAATGTACATGTATCGACTCTACATATATATATTTGTTAAAGATACTATTTTGATGAGTCCACCAAGACCTATTGCATCTATTTCTTTAAAAGTAAGCCATTGAAACAACTTTGATTATTTTCTTTACATCAATTTAAGACACATGGCGCTAATATACATATGGCATATGCCGGTAGTATATAATAACACAAGTTATTTTCCAGACCCGTGACCTGCCCTATATATATTTCCATGCTAAGGAGGGATATTGGCAATGCTAAAGTACAAATGTTTTGATAGAATAAACAATATATTTGCAGCCACTGTTGAGATTTTTAGAGTTCTTTTACTGGTTTATAAAATACGAGGAAGTGGTGATGGCAATTTGAATGCACGTCTCTAGCATGGTCCTCAATGTTACAGCGGCAATACCGACAAATTGTAATAATAAAATGCATTTACTTCATTGAGTTACATATCTGGGATACAGTGTTGTATATTTATTTTTTAAAGTACACATGGACATGAAATTTTTAGTAAATGCAAACACATTTCTGTAAGACTTTTTCTTTTATTCAGAGACTTATATGTGTATAAACAGTATACATAGCTTTTTTAAAAACATATTATATGTGTACATTTATACATGTACTTGGCAATATGCAGAAAGGAATATTAAACAAAATGTATGAAAATTAAAAATTAATATCATTAATATTACTTAATAAAATGCGCAATTCAGGTCTTATATGCTTATACGAACAAACCTGTAAACAGAGACCACTCTTTTAGGTGAAAATGTGAAAACATGGTCTTTCAAACAGAATTTGAAAGACCCTGGTGAGAATGATGAAATAAAAAAAAAGGCACGGTCGATTAAAACTTGTGAATTTAGCGATGTATTATAACCTGTCAATTAGTAAATGTAATAACAAACGTTTAAAATACAATATTTATGATTTAACAATTGGTCCCTGCCAGAACTTGTCGAAGGTTTGACTCATACAGTGTTTATTATTTAACAATTGGTCCCTGCCAGAAATTGTCGAAGATTTGACTCATACACTATTTATGATTTAACTATTGGTCCCTGCCAGGCTTGTCGAAGGTTTGACTCATACAGTGTTTATGATTTAACAATTGGTCCCTGCCAGAACTTGTCGAAGGTTTGATCCGAGTTGCTGGACTCGGCTGGTAGCTGGAATGCTGGGATTTCTTCCGCTTTCTGTTTCAGTACCTCGTGGTGTTTTCGCGCCTCTACCTGTTTTCTGCAGCACCGGATACAACTAGGAATATAATCAGTTTAAATTAAAAAAAACAAAAACAACAACACCAAACAACATCAACAGCAGCAGCAACAACAACAGTATTAACCACCTCCAAAAAAACATCAACAATAAGACAACAAACAACAAACAAACAAACAAACAAAACAAAAGAAACGAAATAAAAATACCGCATAAATATCCTGACTCATGCTTTTTTAGTTTGATACTTAAAAATCTTGAAATGGGCCAAGACCACTGAGACTTGGTATTTTTGGTATTTTACTTCAGGAAAAGGAGTTTATGTGGCTTTAATGAAAATAACCAGTTTGGTGAGCACCAAATTAATAAACTATAACAGTAACTTCACTAAAATTAATCGTTTTTTCTGTTGAAAGCCTTTCATAAGTACAATATATAATTGTATCATAGTTTGGGGACCTTTCTGTTGAAAATGTGTCAGAGTTAAATCGTATACATATACATGCACAGTGCGTTAACTGGAGTGCAGGTATTAGTTACCCGCACTCCAGAGCATGCCCATTGACTGGCTCATTTTTGCTGGGGTTTACTTATTGTGACGGAAAAGAAAGGGAAAGCGACAGAAATATCATATTCAGATGCTCGTTCATTGGTTACTTTTTCCCGGGGTTTCATGTTGTGACAACAGGGAACGTGTTTTTATGTTTGACTATGATACAAAAGAGAAAGAACATCAAAACACTCGGCAATCTGATTAATACTCGGGGGGGGGGGGGGCTACGCCCCCTCGTAAAAAATCAGATAGCCTCGTCTTTCGATGCTCTTTCTATTACTTATTTATCATTCCATCGCATTTTACCTTTTCTCAGTCAAATTACATAATGCAACAACGACGACATGGCAGGTATCTAGAAAAAGAGGTCCATGACCCACCAATGTCTTTCGCTGTTATCTTTTTTCATCTTCTTAGACAGTGGATGCAGACAGTGCTACGACAAAAGAGTATTTTTGAGATACGTGCGACACAAAATGAGAATGGACGGACGGATGGACGGACGGACGGACAAGGGCAAATCTATGTGCCCCCCTAAAGTGGCGGCACAAAAATGTAATAGTTTTTGTAAGATTGTGCCCACCTGCAGTATCTTTCCTGTGCAACATATACTTTTTGAGCAACGTAATCGGTTGCCCTGGATACTCGCTTATTCTTTCTGCACCAGAACCAATAAATGAGAAAGGCGGCCAAGGTGACCGTGATTACACCAAGACATATACCTATCAGACGAAACTGTTTCCAGCTGAAATAAAATAATGATGGTTGTTATGTATTAAAAAGCTTTATAGATAAACATAAAACATTTTTTAAACAACTTTATTTTATAAAGGAAGGTCGACCATTGGGACTATTTAGAAACCGTTATGAATCTTAAGTAACCAATTTTGTTCTATGCATTGATCTATCTCGTTTTTATATTTTGTTTGTGCTGTTGGGTTTTTGACGTACCGTTACTTGAAAGGTCATATGGCGACTTTCCAGGTTTATTGGTGCTCGAAGAGAGCTCACACGAGCCCCTCAGTGCATTATTCAGGCACGAGCTGGCAACTGAGTACACTACTTCCATGCCATTACGTATCTGGATAGTTTCCTCACATGAAATAAGTTCCTTGCGGGATTTGAACCATCAACTTTGCGGACCAGTGGTTCGAAGTCAAGGACCTTAACCATTGAGCGGTGGATGAAATTGTAAGCTTAATTAATTTTAATTTCTTTCTTCAGAGCTTGGTTAGCGCCTTATTCGCGTTTTGAATTTGAGTATAGATCTGAAGAGCAGGTTCAAGAGCTAGCTAGATATTCTCTCATTTAATAAATTCTGAATGTCGATCTCGCGCTCAGAACTATTTCTAAATATTTACGATATTTACTTAAAAAAAGGTAATACTGATCTACTACCCCGACAAACGGCAATCGCCCGACTAATGCATGTTTTATAATCGATTTTAGATCTAGTTCTTAGTTCTATGCTGTCTTTTAAAACTTCATTCACAGAGCTAGTTCGATAGTCGACCTAAAAATGAAGTTCAAACCTCAGGATAGGCTCTGAATTCTAGGCCATATCCATTTTTATGCTTAGTAAAATGTGTATCTTAATTTCGGAAGTTCAATTCTGAGCCCCGACTGCTTGCTCTAAATTATTTTAGAGACACTGTTTGAAATGATGGAATAAAAAAAGTTGGGTGTTCTACTAAGGATATACATGTACATACTTTCCTCCGGGTTCGCAGCAGCCAACTGCATCGTCTATCTTACAACACTCGGTCCTACCCATCTGTACCTGTAAGTCAGTGCTACAGTCCATGTAGTTTGAACCATATGGTTCCAAATTTTTGTCCACAATACAATCAGGATCATCATATTCTGAAGAAGTTAATGAAAGTGTTTTAATTTTAATCGATTAGATATTTTTTATATAACTAACTGCCTTTTATTTATTGCCCATCTTACAAATCCATCGTCGGATACCCACGGTTGATTAACATGTAACTTTTTAATAGTTCGGCCGTGGGTATCCCACGATGTAAAAATCAGGTATGTAACATTAGCACAAAAAACGACCCGAACCTGTTACACGATGAAAGTTGGACCGATGTTTTCATCCAAGATAAAATATCATACTTTGCTTTTTCATGGAAAAGTTCAAACACCGCGAAAATCTGTAAAAATCTTATTTTGACTTCCTTTACGAAAAAAAGATGTAATATCATTTAAACTAAAATGGAAATATTCTGGATTATTTATTTCATAAGAAAGACAAAATATTTATTAAACGGGTGTCCTGTGTGTGTTTAATCAATTTTCTGAGAGCCATTATCGATGAGTCGGTTTAAAGTGTCGGTGACATTTGTAAAGTCATACAAGAACAAAAACAGCAACAGCAGTAGCGGGAAAAACAATAACAATAATAACAACAACAATTAATAATAATAATAATAATAATAATAATAATAGTAATACATTTTAATAATAATAATAATAATAATAAAATAGTAATAATGATAATACATTGTAATAATAATAATAAGAAGAATAATAAGAAGAAGTAGAAGAGAAGAATAATAATAAGAAGAAGAAGGAGACGAAGAAGAAGAACAACAACAACGTGTTATTTACCTGCTGCTGATGTAAATGTCAAAAGTAATAGGAATAATACACAGGTTATTCCAGTCATTCTGCTGCAACCACTATGTCCACTAGTCGTTGAATGTTTGTTTTGTACAATTTAACAATTTAATTATTCTAAATAAACTTTATTATCGACTTTCAATACTCGAAGAAAGGCTATTCTGTATACTGTAGAACTGTAATTGTAGAATTTAGTCAAGCGGGACGGTCAAGAGAAAGAACAAAACTAACGATATGTCGTTAAAATCTTTACAAACATACTTGCAGTGAGATTTAGTTTAAAGTTTCAAATGATTTGTTCCGGGTGATAAGATAAAGAACACATGAATTTGTGTCAGTAACAGTAAAACTAGCATCCCTCGTGAAAATACTATATTACTTTACTGTACGAAATGTTACGCCCCCGAGTTGGGGCAGAATGACAGCACGGATTTCGTCCAGAAAGTTAAAATTCCTTTATAATTTACAGCATATGAGTAGGGTTCATTTTAGGGGCGGATTCCAGGATGAAATGGCACGGAATCTGGCACAAAATATGTTAATGAGCAGAAAAATGTCCGTGCAGAATTTTGAACGGATTTTTAGGCACGTAATATTTGGCTCGGAATTTTCGGCACACGGATTCCAGGCGGAAATTGTACGTAATTGGGCACTTAATATGAAAATGAGCAGAAAAAATACCCTCGCAAAATTTTAAACGGATTTTTTTGGGGCACGGAATTCAGACTGAAATGGCACGGAATCTGGCATGAAATATGTAAATGAGAAGGTAAAAGTCTGTCCAGTATTTTTCACATGGACTCCAGTTGAAATGCCACAAAATATTGTCCATTATAAACAAAAATCTTGCTTAGCACATGCACCTACATATAGCATATTTGAGTCATTCTTCTGAAAAGGAGTATTGTCTATATAAAACATACATGTTTAAAGTTATGTCAATAACTGATACTTTTGGGTTTTCAGATTCACTTAAGATTTGCATTACAAAGATACATTTTATTAAATAGCTCGATCTTCTTAAAATGGGTTTGTTAAATAACAAAACCTACCCGAGGACAGCACACTCAACTTTTCTCAGTGTTCTATATACATAAAACTCTGAGACAAAAAAAAACACATAACGTTGCTAAAAAATTGGTATCATCTGTCGTTCATGACAATTAAACATACATACCAGGTTTAAAGTGAATAACTCAAACAATGACACAATGAACCTTCACATATTGGTTAACCGACGCCGGGGCTTAAGCAGAATTCAACATTTAAATGGTGAAACATTGAATTTAGAAACATCCGAAGATGTGTTCACACGGCTGTTTGAAAGCGGTGTAAGGTCCCCAAATAAAAGAATGAATGTGCCCTATCCGTGATAACAATGGTCGGAACTAAATAAAATGGAATTTTGAAAGGTGATCTGAAGTTATGAAGGATGCATACCATAGACAAGACATCAAAAGACAAAATTTAAAAAGCAGGCAACATACTCGTATATCCTAAGGGTGATTATATACAGTTTTCAAGTAGGAATACTTGAACCAACCAAGATAATAAAGGCTAAATAGAAGGAACTAAAAATACCACAAAACATGAATACACTACAATAATGTGGTGCTGAACAATCCTCAAGGATCGAAAATATAACATCTTTGATTAAATGTACCGTATTGAATGTAGCCTGTATGTCTATAACAAAATCCATTAATACGGTCCCCGCAGTTTAAACATATCAAATTTGATGACAGCGGTTTGAGATAGAAAATGAATATACTTGTGGACATGTGGATGTTTGTAAAGACAAGTACATTAGTGATTGGTGCATATACATGTAGATTTATCTTACTAGAATAGCAACTGTGGCCATACATTCATTGCACACACACAGCCAGGACAATGCTAGATATCTGTACATTTGGATAAGACTATATACTAATTATAAAATATGAAACGAGTTAGTTTAAAGTATGTAACACTGGCTTGGGTGACATCGAGTCTGCTTAAAAAAAAATTAAGTTTAAATGTGTTCTTACATGCTTGAATATTTGTATGTTTAGAAGTCTTAACATAGAAAAACTTGAGTAGTGACTACTTATAAATTTTAAAAACAGAATAGTGTTACCTGCGTCCGATTCAGTTGTTTTCAGAACAGTCATAAGCAATAGGCTCACCTGAAATATAGGTTAGGTCCTGGTCATTTTAACATACGAGCCGCGTCATGACAAAACCAACATAATGGGTTTGCGACCAGCATCCGCGCAGTCTGATCAGGATCCATGATGTTCGCTTACAACCCCTATAGCAAGTAGAGAAACTGATAGCGAACAGCATGGATCCTGATCAGACTGCGCTGGTCTGGATCTATATATGCTGGTCGCAAACCCATTATGTTGGTTTTGTCATGACGCGGCTCATATGAGCATTTTACAACATTACAAGTTTAATATCTGTTATTATAATTGTATTATGGGCAATGATTCTATTCATACTATTGGGATGATAATAGTAAATAACAGCTTTTATTCGAACAGAATATCATTTCAGAAATCTGATTGCGTATTCAACTCTCAAGGTTATTTAATATCATACTCAAAAAGTATGTACGGAAATTAGAGATTCACTGACTTTGATGAACACAGATGATGGACTTTTGAGCGTATGACAAGAACATGGGTGAATGTATTAAATGAAACCAATGTCATACCTAGGAAGGAAACATCAGCGTCCTTTACAGATTGACATTATTCATAGAAGACAAAAAAAGTGAAATCAGAGGGTTTTAATTTATTCTGAAATTAAAAAACAACAACATATAATTATGTTAATCTGCATTACACAAGTGTAAGAAAATTGTTGAACTTTTAACTACAGTATGTGCACTTCCTTGATAATTTGTGGAATCTTAGTTCTTTGTAGTATTTTTCTCCATCCATTTGGAGCAATATCGCTTCATTCGGAATGCTCCGCAGATTGTTAATAATCATCTCAGAAATAAGATTTGAATCACATGGCTTTTGTTTTTGTAAAGCACCAGTCGCAACTTCTAGGTTCTTTCGTCAAACTTCGGGATAAGGAATATGGATGCATAATAATTGGGAGATACAATAATCTTACTTTGTCCCAGATACAACGGGACTAACGTATGACAACAACATTTAAACATTATAAACATATAGTCGACTTATGTAAAATAAATGTATGCAGTAGATATACAAGTAAAGACAAATGTTTTAAAACTTATTATGGTGTTAAAAACTATTCATTTAAAAAGTAAAAAGTTTTTTTCATGTACAAATTAGCGTTTTGTAAAAACCGAATGCATAAAATGTTTACTCATTGACGATATTTTGGAATGGGCTTTAATTGTATTTCAAAAGACATGTTTGAATTAAACATTTCAATTGATTCTGATTACCAGATATGTTTGTAAGCATATTATCTCCGAAAAAAAAAACCCACATATCTTCCATTTACGTCTATTCATTGTATTCCAAGTCTTTATTCGAATATTGATATACTCGCAATGAGTAGTATTATATTACTTTTTAACATTCTCATAGTTATTTTTATTGTAATTGCCATCTTTGTTTTACTTGTTTTCTTTTATGAACCTAAATATCGAGGTTTTGAGCTGCTATATAATGTAATCTTTAGGCTAGAAAGGATAATTGATTCTAAATTCTCAATAGATAAGTAGTTTTCTTTTGTTTCCCATTTTCATTTGTAACCCTGATTGACAACAGATTAAAGGTATTATGGTATTGTCGCTCTCAGAATTTGGTTTAAGTAATTTCATTTATTTTCTCAGACACTACCGAATTTACTTTAAATGTGGTTTATTTGTTTACTATGATCATATGATGCAATATCAAAGGGCAGATAATCCTAGATATTTCTAATTACCTCCCTTTATTAACATGAAATGTAAATTCGGTAATATCTTTACAAATATACATGCTAATTTAATGCTTTTTGGAACTTACAATATTGATAAATCTTCATTTGAGCATTATATTAAGGTTATAAAACCATTTAAAAAATTGAGTTACAGGTCCTTTAAGAATTTTAAAGATAATTATAGCTAAATGCGCATGATACAAATCGCAGCATAATTGGTGAGAAAACGAAATAGCCAATTACAAGAAGATCAGTCATACTAATCCTTTCAGTCTACTAAATGAAAAGAAAAATCACTTTTTTTGTTGTGGATGGAAAACCATTATACCGAAAACAAGCTAATGGGCACATATGGTAAATAACTTGGACTCGCAAAAGATATAGAATATGCGCTTGGAATCATCAATTTTGATAAACCGGAAATTAAAAGCAATTTTGCTTTTAACAAGGATCGCTAGTTTGTCAGGAAACAACACTTTTAGAGGAGTTACACTAAGGTCGAACAGTCTAAAAAAACATTATAAATTGTTTTACATAGATTAACTTGGACACTTAACGCAGAAAAGAATGCACAACATAATAATTAATTCGATTCCATGCGATTTCTAACATGATTTGAGTTGAAAGCGTTTAAACGCTTTGCACTTTTGGGATATTTTGGATATTTTGCGTAATTAAAATGATTATTCTATAAAGACGAAGTGAGCAAATGTTTTGAATTCCCAGACAAACATCAAATGGTACACAAATCTCGATAGAATGTTTGTCAAAAATCTGAGACAGTTAAGTCCCTTTAAGCATTTACAAAAGGGATAGGACACTATGGTTCCAACCAGCAAAATTATTGCAAACATAACCAGAAAATAAAAATAAAACCCCTGAAAATCTAAATGGATACGGGTTTTATACAATGATTAAACATAGGTGGTGCTTGGCTATCTAGCAACTTACCACGTGTACCACTTATGTATGGAGGGCGATCGTTGCCAAAATTCCAGACATGTAATGTGTTCCTTTTGAAAACTACTTTTGAAAATGCGAACATGTATGTCTAGCATTTTTTATTGCATTCGTGCACAGCAAATGATATGCCTCTTAATCCAATCTTTTAATTGAAGGCACCCGCTTTTAAATAACACGTTTACATGTAAATCTTAACAACTGACCTAACATGGAGAACAACCACACATTTACAAGTTCGTATCTACCATTGCATATAATACATAAGCATGTTTACACACTTGTAAATATATATCTGTACCTGAAAAACACAAATGAAATGTAAAACTCGAATGCAGAAAATATAATTTAATAAAACGTGTTCCAGTCGTAGAACTACAACAGTACGTTTACACAGTTACATGTTTAAAATGACAAAAGTAGATTCACAAAGTTAGACGATTCTAAGTCATGCATGACGCCCCGCCTCTCTCTGAGTATTTGCGATCTTCTATCACGGAAATGTACGGACAGGTATAATACCCGTCGCCTCACTCCTATTTCTCAATAAAGTGAAGGAAAACACGGCGTCCATTCTAACTTTTTTTATTTCTATAAAAAGTCCAATATTATTGGTATCAAATGAAAGATTACTCCATAAGCTTTCTATGAGTGCCTCGGAAATAAAAATGAATTAAATAGATGTATGGAATTTTTAGGGTTTTTTTACTCTGAAAATAACACTCTCGAATTGGTTAGAAAAACACGGCGTTCCCTCGAAACTTTTTTTTAAGTTCGTAATATATTTTGATAATTTTGGATTGAAATAAAAGTGTGCTTCATACGATTTATGATATATAATTATATAATGCCTAAAAATAAGAATGAATTAAATCAAACTGAATTAACTTTCGTTAAAAAGTTTATCATGTTACTTTTTGTAAAATAGAGAAAATAAGAATCCCTAAAGAACGCTCAAAACGACAAAATTGAGAATGTTGCAGGCCCAGTTTGATTGAGCCTGCTCATGGACGGTAATGGAAAGAGCAAGTTATCGTCCACGCCCCCTAGCACCGGCTTAAGCAAAATTCAACATGAACTGGTACAATTTTGAAACATCCGCAGATGTGTTAATATGGCGATTATCATGGAACCTTCAATGTGACACGTAAGTGCCATACCATGAAAAACGGCATATGATCCCCAAGTAAAAAAAAAATTCAGTAAGAAAAAAACATGGCGCCCCCTACTTACTTTTTTTATTTCTTGGTCAATTTTGATAATAAACAAGATCATCAAGGAAAGGCGGCGGAAAATTACATAAGAATTGCAGATTCGGTTTGATTGAGTCTGCACATGAAGGATAATGAACAAGTGACGATTATCATGGAACCTTCAATGTGACAAGTAAGTGACACGCCCCCTAGCACCGGCTTGAACGGTACTCAATTCTCAACACTTAATAGCGCTGGCATCAATGATCCCGAAGGACCAGAAAAACACTGAAGTGAAGTACGGGGCAACTTTTTACAACTGCCACACGGCACTTGGCACCTGCTGTTGTGAAGTATTAAAATCTGGAAACAAAATGATCCCTCGGAAGCATTAATCACTACAAAATTACATAAGAATTGCAGACTCGGTTTTATTGAGTCTGTACATGAGGGATAATGAACAAGTGCAAAAAGGTTTTATTCATACTGTAAATACCGTATTAAAGATTGTAGATATGTGCTACGGATAAGTATTTTCTTGATTTCGGAAAGGAAATCTCGGTGGCCGCTTAAAAATCCTATTTTTGCAAATACTTGCATAGTTTTTGTTGAAAAAAAAATTTGTGCCAATACATTTTTCAATGATACCAATTAGAATATTGGATGGTTTTTACATTATCAATAAAATTACTCCCTTGAAGTTGGTCATTGTTTCCCCTAAAAATTTCCAAATCGCCGATGTTTCTCAGGAATATATGATAAACAAGATCAACAAGGAAAGGCGGCGCTCAATGAACGCAACCCTACATGACCCAGCAACAAGAACAAGTGGCAAGAAGCCCAGGCGGGCCCCAGACAAAACACAGGACAGGGCACTAGGCATAGCACGGACAGGCTAATCACTAAAATGATAAATAATTTGTAACTGATAAGAACACGATGTTAAATAATAAGGTAATGCACAAGTTATCTTCATCATAAATGGTAAAATCGGCAATTTTCAAGTGATGTTGCTAGTGACAAAACTTTTGTAACAAATGCAACATATATATGTTATGAAAAATGCCGTATGTTGTCCTTCAGTTTTATTTAAAAATATGGGAGAGGCGCCGTTTTATACCTGTCCGCAATAGAAGGTCGTAAATACTCCGAGAGGGGCGGGGCGTTATGCTTGATTTAAAATCGTTTAACTTTGTGAATCTACTTTTGTCATTTTAAACATGTTACTTTGTTAACGTATAATTGTAGTTCTACAACTGGTAACACGTTTTCTTAAACTCTATTTTCCGTATTCGAGTTTTACATTTCATTTGTATATTACAGATCTATAAGTGTGCAAACATGCGTATGTATTGCATGCAATGGAAGATACGAACTTGTAAATTTGTTGTCGTTTTAGATGTTAGGTCAGTTGTTACGATATATATGTAAACTTGTTATATAAAGGCGGTAACCTTCAATTAAAAGATTGAATTAAAAGGCATACAATAAAAATGGTAGGCATACAAGTTCGCATTTTCAAAAGTCATTTTAAAAAGGAACACTTTACATGTCTGGAATTTTGGCAACGAACGCCCTCCATACTTATGAAGTGACACAAGATAATATATTATATAATCAGTTCAATGAAAACAAACGCTTTTCTTTAGCTTTCGACGTTTAATCTTCTTCAGAAAAAAGTACGTTTTTTGTTGTTTTTGTTTCTAAGATAATATATTGTAATGCATTAAATAAGCTCTGTGGTGACATAATAAGTACAATTAACTTGAAAATGTTCACATATTTTCTTTAGCCATAGATCGGTTTGCCGGAAATAATACGTACGGTCATAACTGTGCAAAAAGATCAACGTTTTTATTTCTTCACAAAACTGTATTGGTACTCATCGACGACTCTCTTTGTGAAGCCCTTACGTTCGAGAAATTATCTTTGACATTAGTAAAGCATTCAACAAAGGTCTCCTTTCATATCAGGATCTTTATTGCTTTTGTCAGAAGATAACCTCTCTGACAGAAAACGAAGGACATACTACTCTTGTTTAAGCAGGAGCATCTCAACATCTCTATACTGGCCCTTTAATCTTTATTAATATTTTATAAATGACATGGTAGGCGAAATAAAATCGTTCATTAACCTCTTACAAGTCTTTCTGGAATAGTTGAACATGTATAAATAGACAGAAATAGTGAGTATCATTTAATACTTTTGATATATTTTCTCCGGACTCAAAAAGAGTGTCTACAGATCAATTTCTAGATTATCACCAATAAAAGCTACAACATTGTGAATAGTTTAATAAACAAATTCAGTTATCTTATTCTAGAAATTACACATATTATACATGTTTTAAGTCATTATATGTTTGTTCCTATATGAATGTTCTGTTGTTTTGGTTTTCTATTTCAGAAGGCCACATTGGAAATAAGATATATATGATAGCTTATTATAGATAGATGATATATTCTTAATGTGATACCTTCTCTAAATAAATATATTATTAAAATGATAATTATTTACTCAGTCGAAATCGGAATCACTTCTTGTAACCAGAAAGCAAAACCGTCAGAATCGTCCCTTTTTACAATGATTCCAGAAGTTCACACATTGGCGTCTTCCTTTTCGATGATTATACATGGCATATACATATTAAATTCATCACATATTAAACTTCGGACATGGTCAACATTATGTATAAATTGAATTTCTCTCTTGAAAAAATTATTTACATTGCATTCAAAAGATCAATTTTGGAATATAGTCATATGCCTTGGTGTAATTGTACCCAATACGAATGTGAATTATTAATAATATTTAAAATGAATGTGGACATCAGGATTAAACAAACTTCACACAAACTTATTATGTTTTACAATATGCAGTCGGATATCTCTTTTCTTTTATATTAAATCCTGAATAATCCTGATCCCGATATAATTTGGGAAACTCTCAAAGATATAAGAGGAACACCCTCAAGGACTACCCTGTACCTGCTTGTAGTTTTTATTTGTTTGGGTCGTCAGACCAAACAAATAATGGTAGCGAAATTTCAGACTCTAATGCTGTTAATTGCAAATGCCGAAAGTAGTCCGCTTTTTTGAAGCGGTTACTTCCCTTTATATGTACACTAAAGCCGAAAAATTCAGGGGAGATCACTGCGTTAAGATGGTCAAATGACAGGCGCATTAATTTTCAAGCAAAATAATTCCCGAATGGTCGAAGATTTCTAATATTGTTTTATTTTTTATAGATATACATGCTAGTACGCGCCATGATTATTTACACAAGTGTTAAACAACAGTTAGCGTCGTTACAAACCCTAATTTAGAATATTATGGTTTTCTTCAGGCCGTTAATATATAGATTCACCGTGGCCGAGGGGTTTGGAGTTCGAATCACAGTTAAGGCCACTCAGTTTTTTTTTCAAATTGTTTAAGTCAAATAAACATTGGATTGAATATCAGTGTTGCAATTAATCTTATAGCCAATTTACTACAATTAAAACGCACGAAAGCATTGGTGGCACTATACAAAAACAAATTGGTTTATAATCTCACAACCTTCACCTTTCCGACATTCTGAGACCCAAACAAATTCAGCTCCTTCTGTGCTTTGATTTCTTTCCGATTGGAACCTATTGTGAGTTACCTACGTGAAGATCAATGTTCATTAGGATTTCAGCAAAAGGAAGCAACAACGAGCAGTCTGTAGATACATTTTCTTGAAGAAACAACAACAACAACAACAACAACAATACACTATTCTTAGTTTTATGACATATAAAAATATATTCACCAATAGAAATTGTTAATATACAAAATCAGACAAACAAGCATATATTGGCTGTATAAATACAAAAAAACAACAAATTCTTTATGTACATATGTAAAGCATATCTCAAATATAATCAATTTATTTTTTAGAAAATTCTTTTAGCCATCCACTAAAATATACATATATACATTTTTTGTTTTAATATATATTTTCACTGATATACAATAAAACAAGGATGTACAATAAACTATCATTATCATGAAAACACAAGATTTCCTCTTAGAGAATCTTGAATGAAATCGTTTAATGTTTTACTAAGATAAATTACAATGTGTTCAGATGTTGTGCAACACATTTTGTCCAGGAAAGCGTTGTTTTCTAGTAATAGAAAATATCAAACATCAATATCAAATTCATAAGTATTGTGTGAGATGAAGGTGAAATGAGCACCACGGTAAGTATAAACGGACCAGTATGTTTCATTATAACTCAAATTGAACAAAATGAATTATTTACCGCTGAAAAATAATTTTTAAAGTGAAAATACGGAAACTGAAAATACGCATTTATTTCATCAATGTTTCTCAATATTTCATTTTTAAGTATAAATAATGATATAATTATATCTCCGTTATTTGTGTCAAATTTTATTGTCTTTTCGGTCCTTTCCTTCAAACTTCGGAAAGGGGTCGATGTTGTTGTTTGTTTTGGTACATTAAAAAATTAACAACAAAAGTAACACATTTGTCTCAGTCTATGAAAAACAGCAACATGTGAACTTCCATTTCCGTTTCTTTGACTTCAACTTTAAAAAGTTCTTTTTTCCATAGACTTTAGATTGTTTTGAGAAATGTTTATGGTTCATTTTTACCCATTCGATTCTGACTGTATTGGTGGTCATGTTGGCGCGTACAACAGGATACAGTTGTGTTTCCTCTACAGGTGCGAACATAGTTGGTTGTTCTCGTATCATGTTAGGGTAGTAGCTCTTCATCTGAATTAAACGGAAAGATGTTTTCAAATGGCCCAAAGAGAAACAAAGCTTAAAGCAACATGCCTCCAGAATCATGCTAATTTTCATGAAAAAAATGTATTTAAAAGTATTATATTGTGTGATGAGAAAAGAAAATGATTTACACATTGCAAACAGTACTTGCAATTCATTTAAATTCCAAAAAGAGGTCGAAATAAGCAAAAATAGCCCTTACTGCAGTAGAAATATGGTGATAAATACTGTAAAATCGCACATAACATGTGAATTATTACATGAATTTTAAATCTTTTTATTGTTCTTAAAACCTTAGAACATTTTTTACAAGTTTAGTTATCATGAAATGTTTTGGCTAATCTGGAGGCAAGCAGCTTTATTAACATGGTTAAAACTTTAATCTTTTCGGAAGTTATTTTTCCATTTTGCTAGGTCTGCCATCTTCTTTGTTTTGTTTTGTTTTTACATGATTTTGAATCTTTTTATTTAACTTCCTTTTTTAAGGTCCGAACAATGATCTTATCGATTATATATAAACAGTTTTAAGTAAGAGATGACTTTGTACCTGTTTACATTTTTATCAAGTTTTGTGAAATTAGATGCAATCTAGAATAATTACAGATAATAGTTGCATATTTTTTATGAATATTTTCATAATATTTTTTTTTCATTTGTATTTTTTTGTCTATATATCATTTACAACGGCTTTTACAGACAATCTGTGTACTGAACAACCAGGCTTGAGTGGCTGTTGAGATTAACTTATTATGATTAAGCGGACAAGGATATACCGCTACAAACCGTGTATGGAACATTTCTTTTAATAAGTACAAGACGATAATACTGTATATCAAATATAACATTTAATGAAAAAAAATAATTGTACCAGGAAGACATCGTTAAACTATTTTTACAGCATATCTACTTATCATACATGTTTTAAAGTGGTCTACGTACAATATTCTATAAATATGATATAAAAAGTAAAAAGAAACAACAACGAAAAAACAACAACAACAAAAAACAACAACAACAATGCTAGCGTACCACATTCGGATTGCATATTTCAGTTACACAATATGCCATTTTATGGAAGGCCTCAAACACATTCTGGTCTGTTTTCGCGCTCGTCTCGTAATAACCAGATGCAAGCTCGCTATCTGCTAACTGAAAAAAAACAACATTATTTTGAATAAATTAGTTTTACTATGTTACTAAATACTTTGTACTCATGATTAATCTGTAGATGATGAGTTCAAATCGCAAAATGTAACATCCATTTAAATTTCATATCCCTTCTTTGTACAAACATATGTATTATAATGCGTACTATGTATTATATTATAATAATTAGTGTATTTCGTCAAATACATCTTTGTATAGGTGGCCTTGGTACGATGTTCGTCATAAAAATGGAAGGCATTATAACGGACAAGGTTTTCTTTTAATTATTTTATGTAAAAAAACAAGATTTAAAGATGTTTCTCTATTATATAACTATGATTTGTAATGTTTAAAAATCAATTGCGCTGACTCGATGATTTTATGCAATGGACCTTAACCCGTCTTTACAGTTGTATATGCAATTGTATAACTTGTAAATTTTTACTTGTTACCACAAAACGAACATCAAATTTCTGATGACGAAGGAAACATTTATAGGTGCCGACAATGTAGTATTCAAAGCACAAGTGGGGTGTGAAATACTGTATAACCATAGGCCCATTTGTCCCATAAAGAAGTTTAATTTTACTTGCGGATTTGAACTAACATGGTTAAATTCAAAATTTAGCAATATTTTTTTTTGTTTTGAACTCCAAATTTATTTTCTTCCTAGTTATTCTTGTTGATCGAAAACTTGAACATTTTACACTTGTATAGACATTAGTTAGTGAAGCAGATATTTACAATTAAACAAGGACATTCATGGAAAAGAATTAATATAAGTGTTATGCCTGTTTTCCAATCCATATTTACATGTGTAACACATGCTTGTAAATTTGCTAAATAAAATATATTTAAACAGACCGACGAATGATAGCCCCAGAACAACTATACATGACAGTTTTTTAATTCTCAGTAAATAGAATTATTTAGATGTTTCGAAAAAAAAAACTACCTTCAACCCGTCCTTTGTCTGGACTTTTCTTTGTGTCTGGAGATCACATTTGTTTGCTAGTAGAATAATTGGAACAACTTCATATTTGTTGTGTGTCTGTGCTATATCCTAAAAGATAAACAACAACAACAACAAAACATTAATAATTAGAGAAACTAAAAAAAATTATCAACCTATGAAGTAATTTAACTTCCATTGGGTCAAATGCAAAACTTTTTTTTAAAAAATGGCGGACAGCCTGTCACTTGGGTTGGATTGAATAAATTTCTTCGCTCGGTTTCATGCATTAAGAATAATTTTTTTACGGTTATATAATGTAACTTTTTTATCTTCTAGTAGTGTTGTTTATTTATTAAAGCAAACTATCATTTTTAGTGAATATTATCATCTTCATAATTAATATCGTTCAACTTATTTTAGCTCTAGTCTTAATGTCTTTTGAGAAAGTCGTCTATATTTGGGAAACAGATTTTAAAGGCACATTATGCTTTAAAATCTATATTTTTCATTCTTTAAAATTTTATAATTAAGTTTTTTTAAATGAATTTAGAGCATGTTTCATGTTTACAACTGAAGAAATTAGCACTGAACGTGTAAAGATAGCAAAATGTAAACATCCATACAAAATACTTATTCACTATAATTATACCCACTGCCAACAGAGTAACAATAGACAAATGTTGTTCATGTACATGTTCATATGGAAACTGAGTATTTCTTGGAAACTGTAGAACGAACAATATCAAAAAATAAAAAAAGTTTTTGATAAATAAAATTTATAGCATTTCTGAGGCATTATTGGCCTTTAATTTTCAAGGTGATATTGAAGAAATGTTTTCTAACTTCATATATGTACATTCCAAAACAATTACTTCGTTAACGCTACGAATCCAATATGATAAATGGGAAAATGTTGACTTATTAGTGACGTCATACACCATAAAAACACCTTTGACGTCTTTGTACTGCCATCTGTTGACAGAATGGAATCTTTCCTGGCCAGCAGTATCCCTGGAAATACAAATATCAACAGATACACAAGATCAAGTGCTTAAATGTCAAAATACCAATAACAAAAGGTAACAAATATTTGTGAAGTGTTTAAATTAATTAGGACTTGAACTATAAATTACTGAAGATAAGTTCAGTAGAAGTCTGATGCTCCGACGTTTGATCGAAAGATTACTTTAGTCCACAGAGTTCCGTTGGGGCAAATGTTTCTTCGCAGAGATCTGCGATCTCTTATATATACTTGAAATGCCGAAACGATAAGCCATTGGAGCGACAAGACGATATACATATACCGAAGCGACTGCCAACTGCGAAATAAATGTGTTCTCGCATCGTATCGTCGGTTTTTCGCACATCATCTTTTCGTCTCTTCGCTATTTGCGACATTGACCTTGATTTTTGAGCCTAAAACCTGAGATTTGCGTGTGACACATCGGCCAAATGTTCTATGCATTTCTGCATAATTATTTCAAATTTCAATCTATAAATGACAAAGACATGGACCTATCACGACCATCTATTCACAATCATATCATGACTGGACGTTTATGCCGAGTAATTTCAAAGGAATGACAAAACTGTGAACTTGACACGACCTTAAATGCACTTTTATGAACAATTCAAATCATGATTTTGGAAGTACATGTACATGTATAAACTTATGAAACTGACTACACACGCAACACTGTCTCTGTATGTGCGCAGAGCATTTATTGAAAATTATTTTAAAATCAATCCATAAATGACCAAATCATGGACCGGACAAAAAGCAGACAAACAAATATTGTAACATATGGGTTTCATGTTGCTATATTGTTGTTCTTTTTCGCTACATTGGACCATTATTAGCCACATGAAACTTTTACAGAACAAATAACAGGCAAAAAATACTGTTACTTTAATATTTTTACAAGAGCGTCAGAAAGCCCAAATGTATGCACACACAGACGGACAGACAAATTAAAAATTTGACGACTCTCTTCGGGATGGGGACAAAAAGAGTCTTGTAAATATGTTAACAGTAACATGTATACTAAACAATATTAATTAATCAGTCGGTACACGTTTATAGATAATGTACTTACCAAATTTGGAGTTCAATTAAAGCCCCATCAACCTCAAACTTTCGTTTCACGAAGTCCGGTGCTGTAATAAAAAAACTAAAAATAGTTACAAAACTTTCCCAATGTATTGAAAGAAATAACTGAACAATATTAGTTAAAATATTTACTTATTATTGCATGGATTTATGTCCAGCTTTTTTGTTAATTAAAACCAAAACAATACCAACTAACATTTATCTTTAATTTACAAATATAAAGTGACATATCACATTGTCCGTGCTTGAAGATTCGAAGAACTTTTCACTTAGATATTCAGATGTTTATCCTGATACTATTATGTCAATAAGTAATACTTCTAAACCATAAGATTAACATGTATGACAGAATCAACTGTACAAGCTCAGAAGTACAATTCAAGTTTTAAAATATTAATCATATACATGTATATACACGATAATAGTGCAAACTGGAGTTATATAAAGTTATTTTTACCAATTGACGGCATTATTTTTACCAACTGTCGGCATTATTTTTATCAACTGTCGGCATTATTTTTACCAATTTTCGGCATTATTTTTAACAATTTTCGGCAATATTTTTACCAATTGTCGGCCTTATTTTTTCCAATTGTAGACATAATATTTGAACCAACCGTCGACATTATTTTTACCAATTGTAGACATAATTATTACTAACTGTAGACATTATATTTTAACCAACTGTCGACATTTTACCAATTGTAGACATGATTTTTACCAATTGTCGGCAGCAGTTTATCCTGAAAATCTCGACCACTCAAGCATCTCAGTAACGCTGATTTACCGACCGAGGAGTCTCCTAGCATCAGAATTTTGTAAGTTGCAACGCAATCTGCATCGCTTAAAGGCATGTCACACAAATGGTGCACTCCTACCAGAGTTTTTACTTTGTATTTGTCAACCAGTAAACTGACCCATCAAACGGGAATAGCATTGATCTACCTGAAAATATACAGATAATTATTTAGAAATATATCCAAGAAATGCACCACTAAGTTGAGGGATTCACTTATGTGGCTTTTGTAATACCAGAATTCTATATCGTATTGTTAGTATTGTATTGTAAGCCAAGAAGATATCACTGTAATGTTATGCCGTTACAACATGTCAAAAAAGGTTATTACTAAAAATAAATGCATGCTCGTATGACAGACATGCAGACAAACTGAAATTCTAACAAAGCAGAACTTAAGTTATTGCACGAGTGTACTCTCGCTTTGTGTAGTTCAATATGATATTATGGGTTTACTATACATTGTAGAGTACAATTCTGAATTTTATGAGACGAGAACCTATATTGGACGATGCTCTAGCAGCTGTGTACGAGATGAAAATGAAATATTGGAGATTCGGGGATATATGCCGCGACATCCCTTCCCCAATTTATTTGAAAGCCAAATGTCCACCTCGAAACATCAACTGAGTTGCAAACGTCTAATAAGATTTTTAATTTGGGGTCAAATGTCCTAGGTGCAGCCAGCATATTAAAATGGTGTAAGAATAAGATTTTTTTGAAAGATCCTGTAACACATTTTTTTTTGGTTTTAAATCGTAAATATGATGCTCAATATAAGATTTGTCAATATTGTAGGCTCCAAAAAGCATTATTTATAAAGATATATCCGAATTGAACATTTACAATAAGAAATGAATGCATATACAAATGTATTTTAATGATTACACATATACATTGTAATATGCACTAACATTTGCAGTACATATTTTACATATTCTTCGATGTTTGAAAACTGTTTTATTTGCATAATTTTGTACATATATATAATTTTACTAAGTGTGGTTTACCACTTTGATCACAACCTACAGGATCTTTAACAATTGAAGTATAAACTATGGATTAAAAACATTCAAGTAGAGTTAAATTAGATAAAAAATATAAATTTGTTAAGTGGTTTTCTTATATTATATTCGCGAATATTTCTATTGTAAAAGATGAAACAAAAATAATACTTTATAACCAAACTGAACTTGGAATCTAAGGATTTGTCAATTGCATACATAAAGATATCGTGAACTTTTGAGGACCCTGAAAACGAAGAATGAGGAAGAACAACTTAATAATCTAATGATATAGTCTTGTAAACAAGGATGTTATCTTTGTACTACATGTACATATTCATATGAAAAGAAAAAAAAAACAATCAGTTGTGTGTATTACGAAACACTATTAGTTTCCAAATTTTACACAAAATACCAGTTTAGATTTGAATTGAAGCACAAAGAGAACAATTTAAAGCTTACGTGACTATTCTTAAAGTTTTCATTCCAAGAATGTAGATTTCCAGTTGAATTACATAATAAAAGGGGTGGGGTACAGTTGAGGTATGACCGAGGGTGTGAGCGAGAAGGGGTCAAAATGAATTTTCTCTTTGTCATTTTCGGCATATTGTAACATCTTACACATCAACTATTTTCAGTAGTTTGTTTTGATTTTAATATTAAAACTAATTATTAAAATGACAACAGTCATTGATTTTTAAATACAATAAATTTACTAAAAGCCAAAAGTGATCAATCACTTTTCATCTTTGCATCAATATAAATGATCTGAGCATTCGTACCAAACTAACACTTGGAGAATAATAAGTCGAGAGGTTGTTAAAGTTCTGTCATGTTAACATTAAGAAGAAATATTCAAAATGATCACAAAACGTACATTGTTTTAAACGACTTATTCAACACAGTTGATGCAATATCTTCGTACACTATTCTTAAATTTGTGTATAATGTATTCAGTATAGACTTAGAAATTAGTCAGTCATACAAATAGTTAAATTCAACTAAAGAAACTCCCGAAAACAAATGATATTCAATCATATCCAACTTTCTAAGAATAAAATCCTACAAATTCCAATGATTCATCATTCACAGAGAAAAATAAGTACAAGCCATGTGCACACCGTGAGTTGATTTGTTTCTGTTTCTGCGCACGATTAGTTCCAATTATCAACAAGAAAAGCTACGTCTGTTGGCCTGGTTAACTACAAACGTATATTTTTTATCAAAGGTAAAATTGTGCTAGCCTTTTAATTTTTCTGGCTCAGAAATTTCGTGAAGAAAGTCATACTCTGGCATTTCTTTGACGTGATCAATTATATTAACAATTTTCGATCTTATTTTGTAATAATCATTAAATCTACGATTTCCATTCAATATTTCTTAAGTTTAATATATATAGCACAAACTACATAGTCCCACAAGTGGGTCACACAAGGTTTCGAACCCACAAACTGCAAATATATGTATTCCATATTTTTACTCGGTTTTACAATGCAACCATATTCAGTTTTGATATGAGAAAAAAAATCCACAGAACTTTCAAATAGATTCTTTATCGCTGGACGCGTTTTAATATCTACGGAAGAGCATTAGTGCCAGGTGTATGTTTTTTATTAACTCGAAATTTCGAGTTACTAACTCGAAATTTCGACTTACTAACTCGAAATTTCGAGTTACTTATCTCGAAATTTCGAGTTACTAACTCGAAATTTCGACTTACTAACTCGAAATTTCGACTTACTAACTCGAAATTTCGAGTTACTTATCTCGAAATTTCGAGTTACTAACTCGAAATTTCGAGTTACTAACTCGAAATTTCGACTTAGTAACTCGAAATTTCGACTTACATTGCACGACTTTCATTGGTTGCCGATGAAAGCAAGGATTGAATTCAAGATACTTTCTTTCGTGTGTAGTTGTTGCACATTGACAGAGCACCTTTAACATTTATTTAACAGAACAATTTTATAGGGTCAAATTGTCCACACATACTGAACATATCCTTCGCTTTTTTGTGGAGGGGGGGGGGGGGGGTATAAAATCACACTTTCCACATTTCCGTGTTAACACGGTGTTTCTTTTTCTTAAGCACACATACAACCATCATATGGAGAAACAACAAGTCCAAAACCCACCCTATTGTAAACTGTGCAATATCATGTGTTAAATAAGTTTTAAATGACGTGTATAGGCCAGTTAGTCTGTCACGTTTCTTTATACTAATAATGTTTTTGTAACATTATTCATTATTTACTAATACTTTGATTCATATTGTGTTGATAAAAGTTGATAAAAGTGATACTTGTTATAATATATATGTTGGGAACAATATAAAAGCATCCGATTTTACAAGAAATATAGTCAGTCCAACAAGTTTGACAACGGCCTCAGCACGCCCTATTTTGGCCACGCCGCGATACTTTCCTCAGATGTCTCACACGTAAAGTATAGGATCGGTTTTTTTACAGGGATGAGAAGAATATGATTAGTGAAAAGATATGTTCGAACAGATGGGATACAATACAACGTCTGAAGAACGCCTGAACGTACAAATTAAAGGAAGCCTTGTTTTTTTAGGTCGGGTGTGTACATGCCATTACTAAGTTTAAGTTAAATTTCAATAGTTTTTGTCCAGGCATCCGTTTCTCCATCTCCATCGTTCAAAGGCACTGCCTACTATATCTTATACCATCTAACTAATAACTTTGGCCATTCTTGTAATGTTAATAAGTCGAAATTTCGAGTTACTAAGTCGAAATTTCGAGATAAGTAACTCGAAATTTCGAGATAAATAAGTCGAAATTTCGAGTTAGTAACTCGAAATTTCGAATTAGTAAGTCGAAATTTCGAGTTAGTAACTCGAAATTTCGAGATAAGTAAGTCGAAATTTCGAGTTAGTAACTCGAAATTTCGAGTTAATAAAAAACATACACCTGGCACTAATGCTCTTCCGTAAATATCCCATCCGTCCAGGTGGTTTTTTACCCCACATTTATAAATGAAAAATGTTTTACTTTACCATAGAAACAGCTGCCGAAATGTAAACAGAATGTAACGGTTCATCTCCAATATATAAATATATATACATAAAGTTAATTTAGATGAGTTGAACTCAAGTCAGAGATAGACAGGCTGGGAATTAACACATTTCTTATTGGAACGCAATAAAAAGTTATGCTCAAAGATAAGAACATTGAATACATGACGGTCAATTATTTTTTTCAGATGAAAATATAATATACATTCCAAAATGATATGGTTCACTTGCTTAAAGGCCCAATATGACTCAGAAATGCTATCACTTTTATTTCTCAAAACCTTTTTATTTTTGGTACAGTTTTCAAAAAAAAAATACTTATTTGCCATAAAAATGAGCTATTTTTGCTTTGTTGGCAATTGCTATAATTATAGTAAATTAGTATTTTGTATGGAAGTCTTTACATTTCGCTACCTTAACGACACATTACTGCAAATTCAGCGCTACTTTCTTCAGCTATTAAACATCTTATATAAACATATTATATGCTCTAAATCCACTTTAATGCATTATTAAACACATTTATGCCATTTCTTTTTTATATAGATATGGATTTCTGAGGCATAATCTGCCGCTTCACAAAGTCGAATGGTACGAAATTAATGAATGCAGTTTTTTTTTACTTGCAAATCATAAATGTGCTGCATTTATATCCATATCTCTTTGATGAAAAAGAAAACAGCAAGCATAAACAACAATGGTGCAGTTTTGATGTTGTTTCTTTTTTCATTACAAAAATCATAAAACGCGCTACATTCATATTAATATCTCTTTGAAGAAAAAGAAAACAACAAGCATAAACAACAATGGAGCTATTGTATATTAGGTATAGACATCATTAAGAAAAAGGTGTGTGAAATAACTACTGACGTTATCTGAATTAAGATCTAAAATTCTGCTACTGCTACTAGTGTTATGAAAAGTCTGTGACAAAGAAGCAGTGTTTGTAGAAAAATGCATTCATTGGCTGAAAAAAACAACAGAAAAAAACAAATAAAAACTGTATTGTTTATATTTTGAGTGTAATTTTGTTTTGAACCAGTTTCTGTTCATTCATTCATCCGTCGGTATATTTACGAAATAATGAAATATCCAGGTGCCATAATCATGTGTCCAAATAATTCTTTTATTGTTGTCGGTTTTGTTTTTTGTTGTTGTTTGTTTTCATTTATTTATTAGTTTTTTTTGTTATTTTTGTTTTTTTTTTTGGGGGGGGGGGGTTTCAATCCATCCATCCATCAATCCATTGATTGATTGATTGATTGATTGATTGATTGAGTGATCGATTGGTTGATTGAGTGGTTGATTGATTCATTGATTCATTCATTCATTCATTCGTCCATTCATTTTGTTATTGTTTGTTTGAACTTCTGTGGGTTTTTTTCTTGTATTTTTTTTATTTTGTATGTGACAAGTTTTATTTATAATATTAAAATGATTCGTTGTATTTAGTACACGTTTAATCGTTTACAAATGCCGGAGTAAATAAAACACAAGCAATTTTTTTTCATGAAAAACTTAATATTCATTAAAGTTTATCCGGTATTCAGGAAACAGAAATATTCTTATCAAACGTTAATTAACTCTGACATAATTGACAGCTACTTGTTAAAAAATTTCCGTTAAGAAAAAGAAGGGAAAAAAAGAACCACGGATACAGGCGGGTTAACTATCGATCACAGTGAAAGCTTAAATCGTAAATGCCAACTTTGGCTATTTTAACACCATAGTCGACTTTTTTGCTATGGGCAAATAAATATATTTTTTTATCAATTTTAAAAAGACAACTAACACACATTATAACATTTAAAGAAAATATATACAGCCAAATAGATCCTAAAAATAAGCCATAAGTAGTAAGTGCAACGTAACCTCCGAAAAATCTAAGATATACACGAACAATTTATGTACATGCTGGCTGGTGAAGAATATCTTTAATATAAATTAGAGCAACTTCATTTGAGTAAATAATTCAACCGGTCGGGCTTTTTTTATTTTCTATTTCAGATCATAAATAGGTAAACATTTATCCGTTATCCAAATGGAACCGCAAATGTGATTAGCCTTTACCTCCAGTATAGAGCCAGGACAGCCTAAACAAATCCGTGCAGTCTGACCAGACTCTTTATACTACTTGCTGAACAACTTTAAATTTTCATCTTGATAAATTAAAAATTAATGATGAACGGACAGTTTAAAATATGGAAGCCGAAATAGTACCATTTAAGAAATTCTGTAAGCTGATGATTACAGATGTAATAGTACAATCTACTTCTTTAAGTTCACGCCTTGACAATTAACATGTGATGGTTGATGCATATGTTACACAAATACATGTATTCCAGAAATGCATGCTAACTCCTTATGTTGAATACTTTTCAGGAGATTAAAAAAGAGGCCATTTTTATTCTAAAATTGATTTGTGCGAAATAGCTAATAGATTTTGCATTGTGTACATTTGTATGCTGATGACCCATCGCTGTAGACCGCAAAAAACTAGCGTCCGTAAATAGGTAAATGTTAATTGCTAAATCTCTATCAAAAACTCCCATCATCTGAACGCATTAAACGGAAATATACACCTTATAATACAATGAAGATCATTATAGTATAAATGTATCTTACAGGAAAATGAAACGACAAATTAAGATGTTTTGCATGCTTCGCACGTTAAATATAAATAATCAAAATTTCATCCAACAGATACAATTAATCATTATTAGATAATTAGATAAAAAAATAATAAAAACATCGCCGGTAACAATCTCATCTAATAAAAAATGAAAGAGTATTTTTTAAAAAAAAAATTACATGCTCAGCACATAGACTTATGATAGAAGAAGGTAGATTTATGAATATTGACAGAGATCAGATGTCCATTTTATATGGAAATAAGGAAAGAACATTTACCAAAATATTATTGCTCTTGGCCTACTTTATATAAATTTATATTTTTAATAAAAATTCTAAGCATGGAACTGTTAACAGATTATCAACGCAAATGTATTACGTGATAGAGCGAATAATTGATTGTTTTCATATACTGATATTGTTATACATTACATATTATTTTTTACAAACATATATTGAAATACAATGTATATGTATTCTTTATAATATAAAAATGTTATTGTAAAAGTAATTTGTATTCAGTAACTACATAATTTTTAAATAAAACTTGGGGGTATGAAACAAAATCTTGCATCTTGAAACATACGTAGGTTAGGAATAATTCAATTCAGTAAATAATAGAGCTCTACATCGTAATTACCAAAAAAAAAATATTTTTCAAGCAATTTATATCAAATCTATATGTTATATCATAGAAAGAACGTATTACATACTCGTATTTTACGAAGTTTTTATTCCTTTTTACCGAAAGTTACCAGATGGTACTTTTGAGCTGTGTATAGTCTAATCTGATAAAAATATAATGATGAAGGTCATTTGAATGATTGCACCCGTGCAAAATTAACTGTATTTCCCAAAATTTCCTTTCATTTCCTGAAAGCAGTGCAGACTGTATTTATAAACAGTTAAATTTATGATATTATAAAGAAAACGCACATTAACATATTGTGTACTATATACAAATGTAATACACGTATCTATAAAAAAAAACCTGAAGTATTGGACTTCAAATGAATATATTATCATCGTCGTTATCAAAATGATAAATACAAATTAAGAAAAACTTACCAAATATATATTCCTTTGTTCATATGACACAAAGTTTAAGTATAGCCTAGTGTCTTTATAAAACGACGACAAATTGTAATCTTCGCTTAGTTCCGGTCAGCACATTGTCAAATAATTTATATATTATATTCTTTCTTTTATAATTTAGATAAATGTTCATTCAAACATAAAATCCATTTTTTAGACAGAATGAAAATCTTCTTTAATATAGATTAAAAGATATGTACGTAAAATATATCCCGATACGCATTTGTCATAAAAATTAACTTTCAACCAATGCACATATAATGCAGAATAAATCTTTCGGACAATACAGAATAGAATAAATCTGACAAATGATCTACGTTTAATTAACGCAACGGTTAAGGATGCTGTGTTCAGTCGAAAACGTTCACGCGTGATAAATCATTAATTACATCAGGTCGACATAGCAGTTAAATTAACTTATCAATGGAAACAAGGGGATTTGTCAGTATCGAATTATTTCTGACCTACACCTTAAATGATTTAGCGGTCACTCAATCATGATAATTATGCCTGTCACCTGACATGGTATTGTAAAATAAGCCACCATTTAACAAGTGAAAATAATTGACCATTAATTACATATCAATTTTTTAGTGTAAAAATTCACAAGTAACAAAATGGTAAATTTATCAGATACATAGTGATTTCAAAATAACATAACTTAATCCAATAAAAACGCAGCAAAATACCGTGGGGTTAATCCAATAAAATTGAGCAAAATACCATAAGTGAATCCAATAAAATTGAGCAAAATACCATAAGTTAATCCAATAAAAATTGAGCAAAATACCATAAGTTAATCCAATAAAGATTGAGTAAAATACCGTGAGTTAATCCAATAAAAATTGAGCGAAAGGGAAAGTGTAAGTTATATCAGTATAAGTATGTGCATAACTTAATCCAATAAAAATTGAGTAAAATACCATCATGCAGTTACTCCTATAAAAATTGTTTAAACCTTTAATACCTTGATATTTTACGAGCGTTTATAAAACTCTTCACAATTCACTTATTTCCTATTCTCTGATTGCCAACTTCAAGAATAATTCAGGCCAAACGTTTCGCTTTCATAAATCAGGAAATGTAAAAGAAAATCCAAGAAAGCAGATAAGAAGATCTTATGTCGAAAGTACGCATAATTGGGATTTCCGATGATGCTATGTTTTTATATTGAAATAAGTGATACTCGGAAAAGAACAATTGTGCTATATAACGTTTATACTTGTAAACCACTTGATACATAATCTTATATTATTTTTTTATATTAATCTAATTAATAAATTAAAATTAATTTATTTATTTCATCCTTAGTTACATGTTACAATGAATTATCAGCGTTCTTCAAATGAAAATCATTATTGGATCCAATCTAATCATTAAAGCCGTTTTATCATTGTCCGAATCAAAATCAAATCTATATTGTACTCCGTCTAGCGTAATTTTCATTTTCCGAGTCAACATAATCCACATTAAATCCGTATTGCATTCCGTGCCTCATTTACACTTTCCGAGTCCAAAATATCCATATCAAACCAATATTGTGCTCAATCTAGCCTCATTTCATTTTCCAATTCAAAATGAAATTATGCCATTTCCATATTGTATTCCATCTGGCCACGTTTTCAAATTCCGACTTTGAAAAAAAAAATCAAACACAGGTTATACTCCGTCTAGCCTCGATTTCATTTACTGTATCCAAAAAAATCGATATTGGTATCCGTCTAGCAACATTTTTCATTATAAAAATCCATATCAAATAAATAATGAACTCTAAGTAATTGTAGGTTCTGTCAAAATGCAAAAAAAATGTGGTGTGAATTACAGAGGCTACACATTGTTGAATACAATACTTATTAAGTTGGAATCGTTTATACGAGCGCCTCGTCCAATATAGGTTTGACATATGAGTACTCAGACAGTATTGTACTTAATAATTTTTACCTCATAATACAACTGAAAAGTGAAAGACATTGAAAAAATGTATAATCATACGTTAATTTCTCTGAAAATGCATTAAGGCCTCAACAGACGGTAGGATTTAGTTGTACAACACTAATTAGAGATAAGATGTACAATTTTCAAAGCAATACAACCAGTAATTCTGCACTGTAGGAATCATCTCAGGTTTCCCTAAAAAAAGTTCTCTCCCAATTGATCCCTTACATTCTTTACTCACTAATTTTTTTTTCTCCATGAGTAATTATTGAAACACCTCTATTTAAAAAAGTTAAATGTTATTATTTTTTTTATGTGCAGCCTGACCGAGACTCAAACCTGGGACCCTCGGATTACTGCGGCTCTACTGACTAAGCTATCCGGCCGCTTACAAACTACCTCCCCTGATTAGAGAACAGTTCAATACCGTGACATAATCATTTTCGGAACAATTTGGGATTCGAACATACCACAACTTTGGGTCTCCTGAAGGGTTTTTCAGCATCATTTTTACCCCTTCTTTCTACTATGTTTACCTTTTAGCCCTTATTGTTCTGGAATTTCATTCTATTACAGTCCCATTTTAAAAATTTCCAGGGAAAAGGAAAAAAAAAAAAAATAAATTTTGTATCTGGTGGGTCCATGTTGGGGAGTTCTTGGTTAAAAATTCTGTACGCACAAGATTTCAAAAATTTAGACATGTCAATTAGACTTAAGGTTTACAAATTCAAGAAATAGTAGCCTTCACACATTAAGATTTGCTTGTACATCTTAGTTTTTATTGGTGTTGTACTTCAAAATCCTACCGTCTGTTGAGGCCTTAAATTAGGGAGACAAAGACGTACTAACCTTATGTGTTGCAAATGATAATTTTGATAATTTTCTGCAGCATAACTAATCATCGTGACACAACTAATAGGAGCGTACTGAATTTGACCAGGTAACAACGAGATTTAATGTGGCCTAGTAGTTAAGGTCCAGGGATCATGGGTTCGAGCCCTACTTAATTAAGTAACGACCCTGTTTCTTCATATGACGCCAGTACTGGTTGGTTCCAGGAAGCGAAATAGAAAGTGATTAATGTAAGTTGTAAGAACTTGTTTCGCAATGGATCTAAAATAAATATGTTTAAAATCATATTCAACTAAATGAAGATATAGAGGTCTTGTATACCTCAAAGTTTGTGCGGTAACCCAGAATCCTCTTACATCTCCAGTTGAACCACTCGCTCATCGCCAAGAAAATTTTGAACATGTGACAGGCTAAAAATGGCCTCTGGTCGATCTTAGGGTAACTAGTAACCGACGCTCTCTATCTTAATTAATTGAGAAGTTGCAGCGCTTTAAACTCAGTTTTGATGGAAAAAAACAATGGAAAATAGTAATTTTTCGCAATTTTGAGACGTCCCCCGTTGCCATGGTAACAAAATTTACGATTGAACATGCTGTTACAGAGACTATGGTCTAGTCAACATTTGTGCCAAGTTTCATCAGTATTGAAGCATTTTTCATAGCAGTTTGAACTTGTAACAGGAGGCTTTTCAATGAAAATGGCCAATTTTCACAATAATTATGCTCATGGGGTAAAAGGTTAAGTTAAAAATTTTTTAAAAAAAATGTCACAAAACAAACAATTTTTCACCAAAATTAAGTGTAAGGGCACGTGTTAACATGGAAAACTAGTTTTTGGGTAATTCTAAGGTTTTTCATAATTTTTTGTTAACCTTTTCCCTTATATAGGCGTGTTTTGACGGCTTTTTGCCCCCCCCCCTTTTGAGGCCTCAAACAGTGAAAAAATGCCCAATTTAGATTTTCTTTTGAGAAATGTTGTTAAAAAAGTGACCACTTTTTCGGCGCCCCCCCCCCATCAAAATGGTGCATCAGGGGGTTGAAAGCGAAAAGGTTTTAACTCACTCAGGTCGATCTCAGGGTAACTAGTAACCGACGCTGAAAAGCCTTTTAATCCATCTTAATTCATTGAGAATTTGCAGCGCTTTGAAATCAGTTTTGATGGAAAAAAAACAATGCAAAATAGTGATTTTTCGCAATTTTGAGACGTCCCCAAATGCCATATTAACATGACATTTAAGATTGAGCATGTTGTTACAGCGGCTATGGTCCAGTCAACATTTGTGCCAAGTTTCATCAGTACTGAAGCATTTTTCATAGTTTCATAGTAGTTTTAACTTGTAACAGGAGGCTTTTCAGTGAAAACGGCCATTTTTCACAATATGCTCATTGGGTAAAAGATTAAGGATAAAAATCATTAAATAAAATGTGGACTGTAACCTAGTTTTTGACCTAAGGTGAACAATATTCAAACTTGACCTTGAAATCATCAATTTTTCTGACCAATGTCCAGGAAATTTGGACTGAAACAATAGTCCAAAGTGTGTCAAGGTTTTTTTCCGTGGCTGGGCTGTGTGACCTAGTTTTTTTTACCACAGATGACCTACATCCAAACTTGACCTTGTAATCACCAAAACAATCTTTCTGACCAATTTCCAAAATATTTGGATCAAAACAGTAGCCTTAACAAGGTTTTTCCATATTTGAGCTGTGACCTAGTTTTTGACCCATATAATATGATATTCGAACTTGACCTAGAAATCATCAAAATAACCTTCTGACCAACTTTAAGGATATTTGGTTCAAAAAAGTAGCCTCTTGTGTTTAAAAGGTTTTTCCATATTTAGGCTACATGACCTGGTTTTTAACTCTAGGTGATCAACATTTAAACTTAACTTAACTAGAAATGTGTCCATAGGACACGGATGCCCCCACACGCCACTGTTCTGTCAATCTTATGACTCTAGGTCAAACATTTTTTGGACTACATGTGCCACAAGTTGAAAACTAAAAATCAACAAAGGGCAATAATTCTGTTAAATTTGGTCGCAGCAAAAATTCCTTCCTTTAATACCATCTACACATTAAGATTGTTAATCCCTGGAAGTTTAAGCAAAATTTGCCAACCGGTTTAAGAGGAGTTGCATTCACAAAATTTCCACATAGTATATAGTGAAAAAATCAACAAAGGGCCATAATTCTGTTAAATTTGGTCGCAGCAAAAATTTCTTCCTTTACTACCATCTACACATTAAGGTTGTTCATCCCTGTAAGTTTAAGCAAAATCTGCCATCCGGCTTAAGAGGAGTTGCGTTCACAAAATTTCTACATAGTATATAGTGAAAAAATCAACTAAGGGCCATAATTCTGTTAAATTTGGTCGCAGCGAAAATTCCTTCCTTTACTACCATCTACACATTAAGGTTTTTCATCCCTGTAAGAAAGCAAAATCTGCCATCCAGTTTAAGAGGAATTGTGTTCAAAAGATTTTGGGACGTACGGATGGTTAAGTGCAACGCTATATGCTCCCACATTGTGGGGGCATAAAAATCATCAAAACAACCTTTCTGATCAATTTCCAGGATATTTGGATCAAAACAGTTGCCACTAGTGTAAACTAGAATTTTCCATTTTTAGCTCTGGTGACCTGCTTTTGACCTATATTCGAAACTTGACCTCGTTTCATTGAGACAAACATTCTAACAAAATTTGATTAACCAACCAAAACCGACATTTATAATGTTAACCTCCATGTTGAAGATGCCAGACTTATCACTATACTTCACCTCAACCAGACAAGCTAAAAATTGTTCGGATTTTATGTCACACTTCAGGTCATATGGTGACTTTTGAGCTTTTCCAGTGGAGCAGGTCCATGCACTGCCATTCCTGGCACCAGAGTAGAACCACCAACGTTCCAAGAGCTGGCTGGATAACTTCCTCATATGAAAGAATACAAAATCCCTGTTGTGATTCTAGCCCACAGCCGTGAGGGACGAGGTCGACCTAAACCACTCTGTCTCCTATAAAATTAAACAGGAGCCCACAAGGTGAGGAAAGCTTCTGCTTTAAGCATTGTTGTAGTGAGATTTTAGATGTCTTTATTATACAAGTCACAAGTCTATATATGCTTAGATATGCCAAATGATCCTAGGGACCACAATCCTATGTTTTGGCGTTGCAGTTTTAGAATACCATGACTTCCAGGACAATGTCATAACTTGTATTTTACTAAGGACCACAATTATTACATTAATATTGCATACCACTATTAATTGGACACTAAAGATTCTACTATGTTCACACTAAGTAGGTCATATCTGGAAAGCTCAATATGAACATTTTGCTTCTTCTCAAGCTATAATCAAAGTATCAATAATACACATTTGGTATTTTTCTCTTTATTTTTTTCATTTTTATATGTACACAGATTTAATGTTTTTACTGTCCACCAGGAGCAGGAGGAGCTCCGAAACCACCTCCACGGCCTCGGCCAAATCCACCTCGAGATGGGGCGCCACTTCCAGCACCTCCTCTCTGTAACATAAAATATTTTCAAAACATCAATGAGCAGTATTAGTAATTACATTTGTACCATAAACATTTAATGATAATTTCAGTAATGTAACAAAATAACAGCCTTCTGTATTACAGTAACCCTATACTCAAGTTTGACAAAGTGTTCCAATTTTTTGAACAATTATCTTGGTAATTTCAAGTTTTTTTAACAAACAAGTCCAGGGATTTTTTTTCCAGGATTTTGGGAACATGACACATACCCATGGAGTTGGGAATTTCAGCGGTGTTTTGTTAAAAATTGGGAAAAAATGCATGACCGAAATTTTGCAGTGATTAAAAGAATGCAAACTGTTACTGATTAGGATGGAATCTTCAAACATTTAAGAACTATTACAGTGACTGAAGAAGCCCTTATTTTCAAAGATTTTAGAATCTTTTATTCATTATTTTTATTTTGTAACTTTCAATTGGGAATTTTTTCCTGTGAATTGGGAAAATAATATACTATTTTCAATTGGGAATATGACCCAATAACGGCTATAAAATAAGCCCAAAAAAAATTCCTAAAGTCTAACTAGACATTTAAAGATAGTATCAGTGTGCTTCCCTATGTCATGATCTTGAAATTCTAAAAACTTGCGGAAACTTGCTTACAAAAATTCTTTAGCAAAAGGGACATAATGGCACATTTATCTAAGCTATAGCCTTAAGTGGTTTCAGGAGATCTTTAAAGTTTTCACTTTATACATAAGGAAAACTTGCAACAATGCCAGTTTTGATCCAAGGGCTACAATTAGAACAAACTTTCAAGTAGATGTTCACTAGAAAATGTTTTAGAAGATTTTGAAAAGTTATTCTTTCCCCAACCATGGCATTTAGAATTCTGTATAGAATGGAATTCTTTGAACAACTCAAGAGTCTCTTTGTCAAGCTTTAACATGTTAATACAGCAGTTTAGAAAAGTAAATGCTGTATAAAACAAAAGTTTATTTATACACACAACAGACAAAAGCCAATCACAATAGCTCACCTTAAGGTAACACATTGTGCTTTGGAGAACTTACAAAAAATTGGCAATTTTTGTTGTTGATAAATTGATGTTTGATTTGTTTACAACATTGTTAAAAATATACACACATTCGGTGATCAATGGCTTTAACTCTTAAGACATTGCAAACACACTGAAGTAAATTCAAAATGTCAAAAACCCTGAATTTAGCATTATTCTTATAGATTTTATACAGCAAGAGTGCTTTAAAAACCCAACTTTCAAGGAAATGTTTGAAAACATGTATCCAGAACCAATGGTTCTTTTGACAGCTCACCTATTGCAAAATATCTAAACCACAACATTTTATGATATGCTTGGGAAGGAAAACCAAAAGGGTAGTGTTATCTTTCATAACTTTCTAAATATTTAATTATTCTTTTTATAGGATGAAGTGCAGGACCCACTACTTCTAGTGAATAACCCATACATATGTTTGTTAGAAAAAAAATCTGTTTACTTTTCCTTTAAGTGGAACTATACACAAATGGAAGATCATGTGTTTTCATTTTACAAGATAAAAAAAGCCTTTCTTGCAACAGACTGTGAAGTGGGGGCATATAAACACCATAATTCACAGACTTCTGCTCTTATGGCAACCATTAAACATATATAAATCATCAACTTACAAAGCTGAATTCTCCACCACCAGCTCCAGCATCAGCCTTCTTGTCTCCACCAGCTGTAAATACATTATAAACAATAGAAATGTATTCGAAACACAACTAGAAATGTGTCTATATTAACAAAAATATAATTTATTATTTCATTATAAAGTTGTCATTTTTATACAGATATGTAAACATTAAAATATTATTATGACATTATGTAGTGTAATATTGCAATTCATTTCAAACAGCCAGGCTCTCAAGAAGCATTCTAGGTGAAACAAGAAATAAATTGTACAGAAAAACCTTCAATCAAAAGGTGATCGTCAAGAGTATATAATAATTATTGGCTAGAAATTTTGTGTCAAAGGCTGATCATTACAAGAAAATTCATATTTGAAGCTTTATATGTATAATATAGTGTTCTTACGTGGTCCTGCTGCACGCCTATATTCCTGTCTGTCTTGAGCCTGGGACCTTTGGCCCTCACCACCTACAATGTATAACAAATTAAGAATCCTTACTTTAATAATGTCACTCCTACAAAGGAAAACAATACAACAATCATAAAGAATAACTCGCCAATTCTTCAGTTTTATCAAGAGTACAGTAGTTCACAAAACGAGCACTAAAGTGGAACATTTGGAAAGATCTATTAGCAATATGAAGAGCTTACAACTGAAATTTATCTTCAATATCAACTGGATTTTTTAAGTGAAATTTACACAAAATATAAAGTTGAGCTTACAAGCTTAAGTTTGATGAACATGAACTTCCAGTATCTTTTGATACAAGTCAAGAAAAAAACAACAAAAAAGCAAGCCTATCTATTGAAAGAACACTCCACTTTTTCTAAATGCCGATTAAAATTATAGGATACATGTAATAGAAGTAGGAAAGAGGACAAAATTTTGTAACAGTGCATGGCAAGATACGACAGACGCACACACAGGTGAAGAATTGTTATATGCCACTCTATCTCAGATGCTGTGACAGCATGAAAATACTTAAGCAACAAGTGTAGTGCCTTGTCCAGTGATCTGAAATTCTTTTGAGAGCTACTCGTCCTGCAGGATGAGTGGCTTCAAATTTCTACTTTTCCTGCATGCTTTGCTACTCATCCTGCATTTTTGCCTTGATTTTCAAGATAAACTTTGCCAATCTGATGCAATAGTACCTCGCCAATGCAAAAGACCGCTAAAAATTCTCATAATCAATTTCTTTACATAAATTTAACGAACCAAAACCGGAAACAAAGCTTGTGTTTGAGGTTATGTAGAAATCCGGCACTTTATAGGGTATTATCAGGCACATACCAGTCACACCCATATCCAATTAACAATGCATTCAGAGCTTTATAAAGTGCGCAAATAATATATAACCTAAACACAAGCTGTGTTTCGGTTTTTTCATTGTTAGATGTAAACAAACGGATTTTGACAATTCTAGCTTTCTATTACATCAGTAAATTTCCTCTTGTCCTACTGGAAAAGCATACAACAATCTTGTACTTGTCCTGTATCGATGTCTACTAGTAAATATGAGTGGACGAGTGGAATTTTCAATCCATGTTGTCAAAATCAATATTCAAGTTCAACAACATACCATAGGATTCTTTAGGTCTTGGCCTGGCTGTTTCTGGCCTGGTTTGACGTTTCAATGTTGCTGGGACAATTTCTGCGGGCAGATGGAGAAAGTCACGTAGATACTGAATACCCTCATTGGTGAGGTACCAGTAAAAATGTCTCCATGCAAACTGTTCTGTTACATAACCCCTTGACTTCAAAGACTGAAAGAACAAAAGCAAAAATCATAATTATATAATCAAAATATTTTGGTTTTGATAAAGTAATATGTCCCAATATCACAGATGCCCTCAATTTTATCAGCCTTTCGCAGTGGCAAAATTACATATGCATGTATTTCATAAGGTAAAGTATATATGAAAGACGATCCAGAAATACATGGATTTTTTGTGTATCTTTTAATTACCATGGCATGTCATCATCCATCTTAACCTTCAACTGTAAATAGGTGTGGCTGGTAGAACTTATAACTCCTCAAGGTGCCTCTACATACAAAGTTTGTACTTTCTAGGACAATGCACATTGCTCAGATGGCCAGTTTTATGTTTGTCATTGCAAGTCCAGAGACCTTGACCTTTTGACCTGAAAATGGGTGTGCAGGCACTGCTAGTGTGCATCTACATATACAGATTGTAGGTCAATGCTCTTTGCTTAAATAAACAGTGGTCTTTTCTATATCAGCAATAACTATGCAACAGAGCATTGATGGCCCATCAAGATTCATCAAAAAAGTACTTACTGTCAAAGCTTTAATCACATGCAAGTTTGGAACATCTATTTCTGGATGTTTAGGTGCTGTGAAGTCTTTCTTGGCTACAAGAACTCCCTCCTTGAACAAGTACTCGTAGATAGACACTCTGTTCTTCTTTGGCATCAACATCCTGGTAAATACAGAAAAAACTTTATTACAATTTTATTGATCTTGGCAGCATGTGTTGCTGAATTTGTGTGATAGAATTGCCCAGGTTTGAATTCTGAACATCTGAAGTTTTACTCATTCAGGCGTATACAATGATTTTTCAATTCACCACTATAATGATAAATGGACAACAGATGACACACGATGGATGCCAGATAAATTGTGGTAACAATGGCGAGGATGACAATTGAGTGCTCAGGTAAGCATCAAACCTTTTATCAATCATATGAAACATTCATGACTATATTTAAAAACTCTCTAGACTATACTAGATGACACACTTCTTTAACTTCAATTGTATTTGAACCAGCTATTTATGTCTCATTATAAAACACAATTTTATAGCTATTCAAATTTTCTTTGCCATCTCTTTGCGACCACATTGTCAATATAGATACAAAATGGCTATTAATGGATGGGTATAATTTTTATCACAATTCGTATGTGATTTTTTTTCTATGGTTACCTCCAGTCTCATACTAATTTTCATGAAGTTTTTAAATTGCAATGATAAAGTAAATAAATACAGTTATCTATAATAAGGTATAAAAAATTGTTATCTAAATCATAATGATGAAAATATATAATACCACTGTCAGTTTTTATAAATTTATATAAATAATGTTGAATTTGTGGATGTTGACGATTTGAAAGATATCGATATATATTCAAATGTGGCTCCCAACTTTGCGGTATTCAAATGTGCTGTACTTTGAATATGGGAAACAATATATATCATAAAGGCTCAGACCATAGCCAGACTGGTTCTTGCATTCAAAGCGTGGAGCTTTTGAATACTGCTCAGCTGGGAGCCACATTTGAATTTATCGAAAGATTATGTAAATTGAGTAAATCATTTTTTAATGGCAATAGATTTGATGTTTATTTTCACTGTTGTGTTGTTTATATTAATGTTGAAGTTTAAACTTGACCATTATCTATTAGAAAATAATATGTACTGACTACTGTTTTGTTGGACAAAAGGATTGTGAAAATATCGGAAATGGAAAAAATATATTAAATTTTAATGATATACATGATAAGTACTGTGTGTCTGTACATGTGCTGGGATTGATATCACACAATTATGCATTTCATTTTGGATTTTAAGGTGTTTGGAGCTTCACACCCCAAGTGTCTGTGGATTGATCAGCTGTCAATTGGGACACCCAGGGTCGGCAAAATCAATTGTCCGAGTTGCCCGAGTCGTAAAATTGTAGGTCCGGGCAAGTAAAATTCTGCAGTTTACTTGTCCGTGGACAAGTAAATTTCGGCGGCTAAAAGAGGGATTCTGAAGAAAAAAATCTAGTTCTTTTCTAATAGATCTAAATTAGAAGGAAAATCACACATTTAATACGAAAACTAGCGTGTGAAGTGTGGTGTCATTCATGAGGGCATTCCGTGCATATTAGGGTGTTACTATTTTAAGTGTTTACATAAATAGCGACCAACCAGGCTTGGGGTTTTCCTTACGTCATGCAGTTACTGCATGCGCGCGGCAATTAACTAATTATTGAGGGTACATGTTTGTTTTGGTTTATGACTGCCGACTTAGCCTCTGCAATAAAATATTTTCGGTAGCAACGGGGTTCTGCCATAAAATTGAATTGGAAGCTGTGGTCTTTTCAAGCGCATTTATTGTTTAGATAGCAGACACAGCATCAATCTCGCAACAATTGTCTTTGAAATACTGCTGTGTTGTATGAAAATTGAATACATTGTACATGTATAGTTTTCCCAGGTCATTCGGGAATATTTACGCTCATATCGGCAATTTGACTGCTTGAATTTATGTGGACAAAGTTATTTTATAATTTATTTTATGTAAAGATTTCTTGTGAAAATGCCTTTGTTTTTGAATGTCTAATACTGGTGTTAATGTATACATGTCAGTTTCATCGTCGCCGATGGTAATGTCAATGATGTCAAACTTTTCACAATTCATCTGCTGCAACCAAGCGTATATACGTATATGATATTACATTCTGTGGCAATCATAATTATATCGTTAAAAAAGCCAGATGTCATCAATTTGACAAATCTAACTCAAGAGTACCAGGATTAAAATGAATATTATATAGATGAATAGAATAAGGAGTGAATAAATAAGAAATGGTACAAGAGTGCAAAAAAAATGAAGACAATATTTTAGAGCAATTTGGGTGCAAGGAAAACTGAAAAAGTGCTGGCAAAAAAAGTGCTGGCAAAAGACCAATGCTCCTTCCAGTAAAATATACACACTTTTTCCACCACTGTCGTTCTACTTTAATCTACTGCCGTTAACATTTTATAAATAAATTATATTATAAGCATAATATATTATATTATTAAACATTTGGCATAGAATGTTTAATAAAATTAAAGAAAGTTCATAATCATATTGCTCTTCTTTATTGACATTTGCAGTTAATATTAAATATAAATACGGACAAGTGAACATTGAGTACGGACAAGTAAATTTCTTAGGTTACTTGTCCGTGGACAAATACAATTTTCTGAGATTTTACCGGCCCTGACACCTACATAAGACAGCTCATCGGGTACTTGATGGCCCAGTTATGTTAGGCCCTTGCTTCGAGTCTGCCTAGTCCAATAGATTAGACGTTACAGGCTTGTTATAGTTTTATGTTGGTCAAGCCTGACGTCTAATAGTTATTGGTCAAAAACGCGTAGCATTTTGAAAAATTAAAAAAATGTCTGTTGACTTGCCTTTCAAGCTTTATTCAAAAGCTTATCTTCAGTCTTCTGTTATTTCAATTGCATGGTCTATCAGTAACAAAAAGTTTCAAACAATGTACTTATTAATTAAAAATAAAATATAAATATCAATCTATTTCGCTCATCGGCCATACTGGTTAAGGAAAGCGTTTTAAAGATTGATTCCAATTTTTTGAACGGAAAAATATTTTCGAACACACTGACGGTGCATGGGCAATTATTTCGTTGAAAAAATATTCCGTTAGAAAATTCTGGAGTCATTTAAACGCTTGCATTTTAATTAGCCAATCAGATTTCGCGCACTGTATGGCGGCCATTTGTATATCTGCTGTACATGGAATTTAATTAAATGAGAGGATTTAATCATGACTTTTCGGGTGTGACAGTTCAATTATTTTGTTGAAAGGTATTTAATTTTTAGTTTTGTTCATAAATAGTTCAAAATTTATGTAAATACACGCTGTTTTAATTGTTAAAATGCATTAGATCTAAATCGATGTCTAATGTCAATTTTTTTGCTACACGTTTTTGCAAAGATCTGTTAAGACCTAACGTAACTTGGAAAATAAAAAATGTAAAATATCAGATTAATGAATGATAAATATGAAATAGGTTACGTATAGGTCTTATAATTAGGACTAGAGTCACCGTACCAGTGCTCAACCAGTTTTTCACAAAAACACATAAAAACTCTTTCAGAACAAAAAGTTTGCTGGGAAACTTATTTTTGTTACAAAGCTGGCCCTTTCAAACTCACAATAAGCTAAAGCTTTTTAATTACACAGATCAGGATACAATTTACCACGGAGTTGTACATAGGGTATAAAACCACTATATTTTTCAGGCAACCAAACCAGTGCTCGACCAGGTGGTTTTATCTCTATCAGAACTTTTATTTTTTAAGAACAGATGTGACTTATTATGTTCAACAATTCTATTTCAAAAACATTTTGAAACATTTATGTTGTAGTGTCTATAGGTGTAAATACGAGAGTAAATATGATTCGAAGGAAATGCTATAAATTGACAAATAAAGTGTTTGTAAGAGTTTTGGAATTTACATTTAATGGGGCGTTTGAGATTTCTTATTCTCATATATATTTTACTAAAATCACTCTGCAAACGTAGTTTAGTGTGATACTTGGTGTAATATACAAATTGTCTACGCTTTTAGTGGTGTGTTCCCGATTTGTTTCCGTACAGCTGCCATATTTGTTTACATGTTCATAGCCCATGTCTTTTTATGGAAAGCAGGGTTTTGATGATTTTTGGGCACTTTTCCTATGGAAATCAATTGGAAACATAAGAGTAAAGGCAATTTAACAAAGTATTGTCCACATTTGCCCTACATCATCATTATTCCAGTGTTTTAAATAGTTTTTACTGCTACTTTTATTATAGAATTGTAGTTTTGTACTGTTTAATATTGTCTGCAAAATGGCCAATCTTCTACCAAACTTGTAGTTCTGGCTTCCATAACTTTATATGTCGCTTTTATTTTTACGTTGCGACAGTTAAGTTATGGGTCAACCCTATTTGCAAAGGCTACCAGAATTTGACAGTTCGTGCGCCGTACATAAAAACCTATTTAAATCACCCTTTTTAATCAAATTTGGGTCAAATAAAAATACCATTTGATAAACAAATCAATTTTGAACCAATTCATGTTTTGTTTTTAAATGAAACTTCAATGACATTGTGTACCCAACTATTTTTTTAGAGAAATGTGTAGAGAATGTTTACCAATAGGGAGTCTGCTTTCAAATGAGATCTCGCGGGACTTAATGTTCTGGAAATTCTAGCATCTATTTTTAGTAACGGACCGTACACTTTTTTTTAGTAAGTGTATGATTTTTTATTAAAACAAACAAATAATTCATGAATCATCACTCAAAACAATATAAATCTAACATGTTTTTGGTACAATGTCTGTTATTGAATAAATACACCGTTATTCATAATTGCAAAGCCATGTTTTCAATTAAAAATAGCATTTGGGTCACGTGTCATGCAAAGGTATCCGAACCTAAATTCTCGCTGGTCACATGATAATTAGGGCAGCAATGGCGGCGTATTTTATGAAATGTGAAGCGGCTGATAAACATTGAGGCGATATTTCATCAATCTCACATTCTGTGTTCAAAAATATAGACTGAAGGGTCCCAAATATATCAAACTACCTGTATTAAAATAGCTTTTGTCCAGATCACGCAAATTTATTGAATTACAGCATGACATAAAAATGTCATGGTTCTGGTTGACTTTCGATACGGGGTTGGCTTCAGCGAACAGGTCTAGCAATACTATAAAACCTGTTCGCTGAAGTATCTTTAGCTACCAAACTTGGAGTTCTTATACATGGTGTACAGGTTAAAGGTCAGGTACAAATAGCACACACAAACTCCAAGGGTTTTTCCACTTTAATGCATAAATCATACACAAATAGAAGTATTGGTCGAGCACTGGGCTGGTCGAGCACAGGTACTGTGACTCTACGAGTCTGCCATACATAGATTCTGTATTATTCTATTAGATTCTTTATCATTGTGATTGTTGTCATTTATTATACATATATTCTGAAAATTCTTTAGTATTCATAATTTTTCAACCTCTATTCTTGCACAATTATTTAGAAATTTATAATTTGTCCGGTCGCAACATTTCCAGGTACGTAATATGTTCCTGAACTCAGTTTACCGATTTATTCTACCACTATTTCGCAACTTCCATTAAAATATTTCAAAGAAAGGTGTTAGCATAGTGGGTAAGACTGTACGTAGACAGGACAAGAATCGATAGCTCTCTGTATTTCCATTGATTATCTAGCAATTAATCTCAATTGTGTCATGCAATAAAGCATCAAAGTACGTGACACTATATCTAGATGACTTTTCATAATTTCATGAATTAATTAATCGTTGCGTATTCATGATACTTTCAGATATTATAAGGAATAAATATCATACTTGCTGATGTTTTTCACCTAAACCGGAAAAGGAAGTTGAATTTGTATCATTCGGAAACCTTCGCTTTTCTTATCAAGGGAAGTAACCGCCGCAAGCTTATCACCCAGTCTTTACACAGTAAGCTCCCTTTAACTATTATGTATTTAAGAAATAACATCGGCCTGAGAGGTGTATATCGGCTATTTAACACCGGTTTGGAGTTTTGATGCGTAGGAATTGACCACGAAGGCCGTAGGCCTGAGTGGTTAATTTTGTCGCATCAAAACGACAAAACCGGTGTTAAATAGCCGATATACACCTCTCAGGCCGATGTTATTTCGATTCTAACACGTTAAAAGAAGGAAAATCACTAATGTTATTTTTCAAGCGGAAATAACTTCCGGTGCCGATTTTCGTATAGCGCTGTTCGATTTTCGTACCCTACTGTGGCGAAGATATAGAAATTATTAAACAAAAGAAATAATAAGAAAAAAAAACGTTATTTTATCAAGTTTTCAACAATATAAACTTACGTCGTATTGTGTTTACATCAGCGCCCCATTTGTCATGCTTGTATTATGAAATAACGTCAGCTTGTTTATGAATGAGTTGTTTACTTAGGATGACGTAATTACGCTGCTTACGGATTGGCGCCGTTTTGTCAAAATATTTATTAACTGATATGGATCTTTACGTGGCGTTAGTGTATGTGAGATATAATTTTTCGGTATTGTATGAAAAGAAAACATTATACGAACTGAAAATATAAATAAAAATGCTTTTTATTGTTGCTTTAAAATGCTTTGTAAACTATACAATCGAGGGTGAAAACATAACAGCGCATATACAAGTAGTCCCTAACCGGTGTTTATTGGCAGTTTAACACCAGTTTTTTTCCTTCTTTGTCTATAGTGACAAAATCACGTGAGTGTTAGAATTATTTATAGAAACTAATTAAAGTGACTCCACTGCGGTTTTTTGACATGACGGGACTGGAATTATTTTTTGAGATTATTACTCCATTTGATGTAGATCCATACTTATAAGGTATGTGCAAAATTTCAGATCATTAGCCCCCTTCGTTTTTCCAGAATAATTATTGTAATAGTGAAAATGACCCAAAATTGAAAAGCGTTTAAACGCTTTTCACTCAAATCGGACTGAGAATAGCACAAACATATGATTTTCAATGTATTTCTTGTATATTTCTTGGTTATATTTTATTTATATTTCTGTCTTAAGTGCTCATGTTTATCTATGTGAAAAATTAAAATTTTATGTTTTTAGGCATATAAACCTCAGTGGAGTTCCTTTAATATTATACAAATAATATTTATATACTAACTCGTACATGTACATAATATATTATGTATATATATTTATTTTGACTAAAGTGAACCGAAACGTTAACGGGAAGTTTACCCGAAATACAGGACAGTCAAAATTTAAACGTTATATGAAATCTCTAATTATTAAAACGACACGATTGGTCCATTACAAGAACCTAAAATGTTGCCACGGTCAGACAGCTGGACAAACGCCTACATTATGAGTATATTAATTACATTTTATTTAACCGACGCCGACGGTATATGTGGTTTTCTTTTTTATCCAAGAATATGGACGGAATGATAAAAGACCTTGACAGAAATGAAATAGAAAAGTATACAATTGTTTTCTGCAAATCAATTTTAAAGGCACACTATGTCCTTCTAACAAATAAATTTATCAATCTTTAGAAGGGACAAAAATGAATGAATTTAGTTATGTTTAGATAATGGTTTTAGAGTATGTTAAATGCTTTTCACCTGATGAAAGTAGCACTGCATAAGAAATTATTTGCCATAAAAGTGGCAAATTGTATACAAAGTTTTTTTGTTTTTTTAATTCCATATAAAATACTAAATTACTATAACTGCATTAATTTTCAAAGCAACAGATGCGAAACATGGTTCAAGTAATTAGCTAATGAGTAACTTTTTGGAAACTTAAACAGGACGTGAAAACCACGGATTTATATTACATGTAATAAAAATTCGTGGTGAAAACTAAAAAGCTTTTCAGATATAAAAACATTTCTGATGTTTGGAAATTTAAGATGTACATAGATCTTAAACTCTTTTAAAAATGTTCAAATAATATATAATACAATATTTGATACTATATCAACGAGGAGCTACAGTGCAGATGCTATGTCATAACTTTACATTGGTATGTTGAAAAACTTTCCTGGCAAACTCAATATTGGCCAAATTATCATAAGTGCTAATATTCTGTACCAAAATTAATTTTTAAAATGATTATAGTCAACATCGCTAATTTCGCGTCATCACTTATTTCACGATTATAGTACATGTATATTTCCACTGGGATATATCGTATGTCCCAGATTTCCATGAGACATAAAACTGGTCAGAAATGACACATTTTATTTTAGTAATACACCTAAACAACAAAGTTTTTCTGCAAAATATTTTACATCTGTAGATTTTCATTTAAAAGAACACTATTTCACTCATTTCTTCAAAAGTCACAATCGTCGTTAAATTTTATGCATATATATTCTGAAACAATCATCATTTTCTAAATGTTCTTGTTTGTTGAAAAAAAATATCGAGTTATAAAGTAAAGATAGTTTCAATATTTAAAATTGAACAATATAACATTTAATAGTATTAAACGAAACATATAAAAAGTAGATTTAAATGATGACAAATGTTCGAAGTGTTTTCAAAATAGTTGACGGTTGTGATCTGATTCTTGCCCATTAATTCAATCTGATTTTGTTTGACTTTGTTGTTATTTCCTTGTGTCATACAGCAGAAAATAACTAAATAGAATCTAATACAGCTTATAAATATCTTTGTGCCATAAGTTTATTGTTTGTTTTCCTTAATTGTTGTTTCAAATCGTTACCCAGTACTGTGAACTAAGATGACACAGTATACAACCAAAACATTTCAAATGGGGAAAACATACAGTATATATAATAATACTCTAATTATACGAATAATTATAATATTTTTAACATGTTTTAATATCTTACAATGAATATATTTTAAGTGCATTATTTATAAGTATTTATATCTTGTACAGAAGATGGGTAATAAGCTATCTTCTGTCCCAGTTTATATAAAATTATATCAACAAAAATATTTTTTCGGAGACCAACACAGACCCGGCCAGTATAAATACGAGTCGATACTAAATTATTTGCCGGTCATAACATTACCCGCGGAGAGGCGAAAAACCGGAAGCGACTGGACCGGCGAATAGTATTTCACACGAACCAGTTTCGGTACGGCAGGGAACGGGATAAATCAACATGTTAATTCAATTAAAGTTATCTCCCTTATTTATTTTACCACCATTTGCAGAAATTTATTCCTGGAGAAAACAACGTCTTTTTTATTGATTAAGCTTCAAGGTATAGCATAAGGATAGTGATGAATATGCATTTCAGTCTTTTTACTTAGTTTGTTTGTTATTTTTAATGGTTTTTTTAGTTATAGATTATTTTATTTTTATAAATTATCTATACACAGAATGACAGATGAAAACCTAACGATTTTATTTTTAAAGAGTGTTAAAAAGTCTGACCATAAATTATTTGGTAATCTGCTGGACAAGAATCAGTTTTAGGTCACATATATTTTTTTTTTTTCAAATCTTACGCAATTTTTATTTTAAAGAGAATCTATAAAAAAAATCTTGGTTAAAAAAATACATTCGCTGTAATTCTTTTTATTGATATGTTTTAGTTAAGCGCATGTGTATAGACATTTTTTTGATTATCTCCCCATCTAGGACCGAGGACCTGACTCTCAATGTCAGTTATTCGAGCCTAGATTGAGTATATGAGTCAGCTCTGTATACTTCCGGGAGATTTAAAACAGAATTGTAATGATAAACATTCTAAAAATAGAGCTATGATATTATCTTAATACATAATCCAATATGGCCACCGGGCATGCAAAGTCATAATGTTAAAGAGACGTGTGTACTTATTTGTAGCACTACAATAATAATCAACCATTCGGTACAAGCTACACCATCTTAGACATTGCATCATCTCATGATCTGTCGATGCCCTTTGGATGACAGAGAAATCAACCAAAACAGAATGAACCTTACATACTCTTGGTTTAGACCTTTCGGTCTAATCCATGATGTATCCAATTTAAGAAATGGAATTTCACTTTGAATCTGGGAATATTGCACTGTTTTCATACTGTGAAATTTTAGCTGTTAAAATCTAAATCTATAGAGAAAAGATTTAATGTGTTGGTAATAGCTTTGAAACATTCCATTTTTAAATAAAGGTTCATGGTTAAATGTCTCTATTTCTCATGTTTTTAAGTCATTGACAATTTTATCAATGACTAAAATTTGACAATATATGTGAATTTTCATTGACTGGCATTGACTGGAAAATGACCTTGACCCATCAGGGTTAAATTTATGAAAAATTTAAGTTAGTCTGTCAACAGTATATAGATTGGTCAGATACTGATTGTATAGATGTGCAGGCTGGCCTGGCTGTATACTGGTCTTAAATACTATAAATTACTTTCAGTTCCAGGCGGTTGTAGGTTAATAATAATAATATTTTTTACTTTTATTTTCAGGTTAACATTTATCATGACCCGGCATTCACGTAATTGTACTGCAGGAACTGTGTATTCCTATCATGAGAGACAAAAAGATCAGTCACAGTCAGGATATGGCAGTAAACAATTGAGACTTGGTAAAGATTCTGTTAAGGTAATGTTGTCTCCCTGGTAACCACATCTACACAGTTTTAAAATTGTTAATATAAATCAAAGGGCTGCAAGCTCTGTGGTATTTTCTGATCTTTGCAATCTAAATCGTACTGTATATCTGTATGTATTTTCCTGTATAAGTTTATTTTTATGTACTATAATTCATCTTGCAAGGCACTAGAGTTTGATACATACGGAATTTTGCATAACTACAGTAATGTTGCATCAAAAAATCATTTATGTTCATTTTTTATGACAGCCACACTTTATCCTTGCATATGATGGCTACTTCCTTAACAAAGACACTTAAAAAAGAATTAAAAAAAAAGAAAATACAAAAAATGATGCCATTAGACACCACTAATTAAACAAATGCTTGGACAAATGATTCTGTGGCAGGGAGTTACAAAAATACTTATTGTTTATGCCCTCCAAAGGTGGCATAATGTTTTTTAATTGTCCTTTAATCAGTCTGTCTGTTTGTTATTTGTCCAGGCCATAAATGTTTTTATTCATACATATTTGAATTTAAAATTATTTTGTAACTGATGAGTGTCATGAAAATCCAGGTTTGTAGGTCAAAAGTCAAGGTAACTCTTAGATTTGAACAGAATTTTTCATAAAAATGTTTGGTTTACAAATTTGTCATCCCTGGATGGGTCTTAAAATAATTTGGAATAAATGGTTTGGATCTAGTTATGAATCGATGTATCTTGAACAAGAATCAGGTCACAAGCTGAAAGGTCAAGGTCACGATTTTACATCTGGAGTTTTAATAAGAATTTTTTCGTATAAGTGCATTGATGTAAGTGTCCATCAACAGACATTGAAAATTTGAATTCTTGGAATATATATGAAGATTAATAGAGAGAGTAAAAGTGACATATCAAAATCTAGATTCTGCATACCTTGTTCATTTTAATGCCTCCTCTACTTAGGGAGGAGCATAGGGAGGAGTAATAGATTTACACTTGTCTGTCAGTTACACTGGCATGCTGTCTGTCCTTCTATTACAAAACAGTTGAGTTTTATGTACATATTTTTTGTGTAAATGTACATTCTTGTATTCTCTATGCACAAATACAGATGTATGTCTATAATTTCAGGAGTTTGACTGCTGTTGTCTAACACTGCAACCATGCCGAAACCCTGTTGTCACGTAAGTACATTAAAAAAAGCCATAGAATAACAGTAAGTAAAATAAAAGGTGAAAAGGATTGACAGTAGGGAGAATTTACAGCTGTCACAACTTTACATGCAAAATACAGAAAACATTGGTCAGTAGAATTTGATTTTTGATTCAAGTCAGGGTGGGGGGGGGGGAACATGCAGCTCTAACAGAAATTTAAAGAATATACTGTTCATTAAAAATGGTTGAAAACAATTGGCTTTATGACTTATAGTTTATTGTAATTTAAAGTGAGGGCAATGCAAATTTTAGAGAATTGGTCAAACTTGTGTTCTTAAATACAGTCGAAACTGTCTTTAGCAGCCAGCCAATGGATGCAGTCATTTTGGCTGCTTAAGACAGGTGGCTGCTAAATGGAGGATCCAGTTTTTATCAAAATAAATTATTCATTTCTTTGTAAAATAAATCTGATTTAAGTATAAATAAACCGGTCTGATTCATCATCATCATCATCAGTTTTTAACCATTTACAAACATATGCTTTTAATGGTTTGACATGTACACAATCCTTCCAACATATAAAGCTTTACATGAATGTTACACAGATAAACAAATGCACTCACCATTTATTATGCCAATAATTGAAACTATTTATCCCATAAGAATATCTTCTTGCACAATAATTTAAAATGCGTAATATTTTTTTCACAAAAAAAGTATGACAGTTTCTTTTTCTAACTTTTGATCAATAGAATATTGTGTACACGTCATCTAAATGTCGGCACTTCCTTTGATGTTTCGGATTGAAACAGCAGGGCTACAGGTTTGTAAACATCACAGATTCCTTTGAAGAGACCGCTAGTTACCTCTTAGAGGTCATCTAGTGTGTAAACAGTGACCTCATTATATTTATGCAATTTTATTTTCACACATGGAGCAAGTGTTTTTATGAATTTATTACTGAAAAATTTAGACAATCCGCGATGTAATTCATTTTCATTTCTTTGGTAAGTACCATGTACGCACAAAATTTATCTGAATCGGGATAAACTGAAATTTCTTTCTGCCATCGACAATGCATTTTTTTCTTAAAATCGGTAAATTGAAAAATAAAAAAACTAGCGTACAGTAACTCAAAAGAACGAATTGCAAGTGCGTAAAGACGTTCCAAACGTTTGTAATTACGACACGGATGAGCAATTATGCAAACTTCTTGAAATGTTGTGGTTTGTGTTAATATCTAGCACCTGACAAGTAGCTTTTGTTAATCCGTGACACGTGTCATCTTTAAAAATAAAAGGCAGAAGATTGCCTGGCCGTTTCACCTGGCTGACCGCAGAAGATTGCCTGGCCGTTTCATCTGGCTGACCGCTTAAGATGACCGACTTTAAAGTTCGGGAAGCATTTTAGGTGACCGTTGACCGCGGACAGCAGGTGACCGTTGAACAGATGTATAAAATAGAGTGGTTTCCGTCGGGAGCGTCACAAAATGGCCGTTTAGGTCAGGTGACCGCCGATAAGAGGTGACCGTTAGTACAGTTTCGACTGTACCAAGAAAGCTCTGTGTTTATCTTAAATGTTGTATTAATTTTGTGCAGGAAAGATGGATACTTATATGACAAAGAAGCAATCATCAGTTATATTCTACAAAAGAAGAAGGAAATTGCCAGGAAACTAAAAGAATTTGAAAAGCAGAAACAGAGAGCTAAGGTATTTTGAAACATAAATATCATAATAATACTTTACTAAACCTTTTCATGCTGAACTTTTATGAATGGACTTGCCCAGTTTATGTATTGGGAGCTGCCCATTGTCAGGTTTAGGGTGTGAATAATGAAAAGCTGACATTGGTCCGTCATCAGTATAGCTGAAGTGATTAGCCTTTGCAACCAGTATAAAGTCTGGCCAGCCTGTACTTTCATACAGTCTGACCAGGCTCTATATTGTTGGCTGACCAACTTAAAATTTTAATCTTGATATACCTTAAAATGTTAATTTCCAAAAATGGAAACTTGACAAGTCCATTTAAGATATATAGCAGGCCGAAGGTAACAAAGTGGTAAGACTGCAAAGGTGTTCCAGATGTATAGTATAATACTGACAGCAAAAGGCTATAATCTTTGGTAGAAGAGTATTCTAAGGGCTGAAAAACAACTGACCACACACTGTGTGACTGACTTGTCTGTTTAAAAATGAATTATATCTTTTTTATGTTATGAAAAGTCTCAGCAGAGAATATTTTAGCATAAAATTCAAGCAATTTCTTTACAATAATTTTTAAATTTATAGTATACTTTGGCAGTTTTAGCCTAACACTGTTTTAAGTATAAATATTTGTTACTTAAGACTGAAGCTGAAGAAATACAGAAGTTAGAAGAGCAAGAAAAAGTGAAGAAATTTTCCAGTCGAACACTTGAAGCTCCATCCCTCAAAACAAATCAACCAGGTAACCTGTCACTTTCAAAAATTATTGTATTGAAACATGTCAACCAAGGGTGTAAGCGATCCGTAAGCCATGGCAGCGATCTTTTACAGCTAAAGAAAATCAGTTCAAATAATTATTTTAGACTAATTGAACGTCTCCTAAACATTGTGAAAGTGTAATTTGTACGGATTATAAAGGGACTATAATCAAATAAAGGTACGAATTTTCGTCAAACATTGCTAAAATTGATTGAGAATGAGTATTAACAACTCGGATATTGCATCTATTTCGGATGACCATGACCATGACGAACAACGCGAGGCTCCAGTTGGGGTTCCAACTGTTTATTTAAAAGAGTATGATGTGTTTGGATGGCGCAAACCTGGCAAACCATTACAATGGTTAGAACCATCTGAGATTTACACTGAACTAATCAAAGTGGTGGAACCATGTAATATAAAAGGATTGCAAAGGGTTCGAGGTATGTGGCGGATCCACTTTGCAACCCTCAATGACAAAGTTAAAGTAATGGCCAGTGGGGTACACCTTAGGGGAAGGAAATAAGTGTTTTTGAGTACTTTCCCCACGCGCCTAGACGGAGAACGTACCGTGCGGATACGAATAAAAAACATTCCGTTGACGATAGACGACGAAGAAGTGATCAAACACAACTTGACGCTAAAAGGGATCGAAGTCATATCCATGTATCGTGAGAGACTAACCGTAAACGGGAATCTTACTATAACTGAAAACGGTGACAGGATTGTCACAGTATCTGCTCTATCCCTAAAGTGATTCATGCCGGTCAGTCTGGAGAGTCCAGTAATGAAAAAAGGCCGCGCAAATGTAGCAAGTGTTTATTAGACGGACATACATTCTCCAGCTGCCCAAATGACTGGGTGTGTAGAAAATGCAATCGGTCTGGACACAAAGCTTCGGATTGTCTTTATAATAACGACATAGAATCAGAACACGACGCCGATTCTGAAACTGGTTCCGAACAATCCAGCGACTCTACATGCATCTCTGAAGTACATGTTAAAAGCTTTACTTCCGTCGTTCAAGCGCAAGGCCCCAGACCGGGAGCAACAATATCAACATCTCCATTAGCATCATCGGGAATAGGTCGTGGCTCTATATTACAGAAGTCTATGGGGGAAAGTATACTTTCTCATACTACCCCAAACAAGGACAAACCTCAACTTGTTAAAGAGCGCTCACCGCCAACACCCGCTGACGAGTACAGGGAGAAATGTAACGTTAAATCCACTAAGAAACATCACAGAAAAAAATGAATTCTGTATCATTTAATGTCACTTGGAACATTGTTTGTTTTACAAACGTGCTATGTTTTTTGGACATGAAACAGAACAACGATTATAACTGGAACACATTTGGACTTTCATGTAATAAAGAGATTATTACAAGATTGTACATTAATTACGTGGGCAGTAGGCCTTCAAATCATTATTTTTTCAGTATTCTGAATGCATAAATTTTGATACATCATTTATAATGATATATAGTTTATTTAAAAATGTATCATGTTATATTACTGGTGCACAAGAAACAAATTTGACATGGCCTTATAAATTTGTAAGCGTTGTGTTAAATTTTGTAAATAACATACTTATAACTATTGACGCTTTACTATGTAAGCCAAAATGTAGTACGCGCAAAGAAATCATGGAAAACACGAGAAATATTCAAAATAGTTTAGATAATTTCATAGACACCCCTCGCAAAATTCACCGATTTCGTAATTGCGACATTCGGGTGTTCCGATCAACAAAACATACTTATTACTCAATGTAATACCGGTCATGTATTTGTCTGCATCTGTATAGTATATTTTCTACATAGAATTCAACTTAATTTATATTTTGATTTTATCAAGCATTCATATACCGAGGCAGTGTACTTACATGTTGCGGTGCATAGGAAATTGATTTTTGAAAAATATACATGTATGTTTAATTTATATAAAGTTAATACAATTGATGTTAATTTGTATAGCAAATCTCTGATACTTAAAACAAATATTCTAAGATGTTATCAATATGTTAATGTTTGTTCATTAATCTTAATGTTTTTGATATATTCTATTCATATGTTAACGAAACCACTTTTTTTCACAATTTATACATGTACTTTGGAAATTTACTTTCGTTCTATGCTCCAGTACAATTGCTTCCAAATCCGAAGCTTTTATAAAATATCGGGCATTACAAGAAAGCTACATTTTGATATTGCATTTTCGAAACCTTTTGTTTCGCGATTTCGTCAAGGCTTCAAGAATAATGCGTTTATCACAAGCGTGCACATTGTACATGTCAAGTTACAAGATATATTTTACGTGTTTTAATTTAATAAGTCATCAATCTCTCAATATGTCTATTTAATATAACTTCATATAGGTTCCCTTAAATGTACAGGGATTACGTGCGAAGCCAAACGTTTACGGTTTTTAGAATGGGTAAATCAACAAAAATTAGATATATCCTTTCTCCAAGAAACCCACTTTACAAATGATATTTTGGAAGATGTTAAAACAGATTTTAAAGATTATCACATTTACAATGCATTTGGACCTACGACTCACTCAAAAGGTTGCACTATATTAGTTCGCAAAAATATGTGCATTGAATATAATGTCATAAATGATATAATTGACGAAGAATCTGGGAGATTTGTGCTTTTAAATATTGACTTCTCGGGAACAGTTTTCACTTTTGTTAACATATACGCACCAAATGACAAACGTTGTAGAAATAACTTTTTTGAACTTGTTAACAATAAGATTGAAGAGGAGACTTTAATGATGTACTCAACGAAACAGACAGGTATACTCATTCCAACTCGCGCACTAAAACATCTGAAAAGCTTAAAAATCTAATACATTCACATAGTCTATGCGATATCTGGAAACTTAAAAATATAAATAAAATTCAATTTACTTGGAAACGGACTAATGGCGCGTTATTGGAAGTTGAATAATTCTCATTTAGAAGATATTGAATATAAAAATCTTATCATAAATACCATTAGTACCGTTCAAAATGAATTCAAATCTCATGACATTGATCATAGAACAATGTGGGAAATATTGAAATACAGCATTAAAGAAAAAAGTATCTATTTCTCAAAACTGAAAGCTAAACATAATAGAAACCGATTAACGAGTTTAGAAAAAAGACTTTCGCAGCTATACGAAGAATTTCATTCGCATAATTCAGATACATTACTTAAAAAAATAAAAGATTTAGAAATCGAAATCGAGACGATATATATAAATAAAGCAAACGGTGCAAAAATACGCTCTCGTGTACAGCTCATCGATGAAGGTGAGAAAAATACAAATTATTTCCATTCGACGGAAAACAAATAACCAACTTTGAGGTAAAATTTTACCAAAATCTATATACAAAAAAGGCAGACAGAATGTTTAATAAATATAAATGAATGCGAAAGCGCACTACTCAGCATGAAAACCAACAAAAGTCCAGGTAATGACGGACTTACAGTCGAATTCTATCGTTATAACGAAATACACAAAGAAAACGAACTTTCAGTGTTATTTCACTATTGTACAAAAAAGGTACTCGCGATTAGGTTACAAAAAGTACTTCCGAAAATTATAGACAGCGATCAACAAGGTTACATAAAAAATCGTTTTATTGGTAATAACATACGACAAATATCAGATGTTATTGACTATTGCGGAAAACATAACATTGATGGAAATCTTTTGTTTTTAGATTTTAGAAAGGCTTTCGATACGATCGAGTTTGACTTTCTAGTTAAAACCCTTGAAAAGTTTAACTTTAAACCAATGTTTATTCGTTGGATAACGTCCCTTTACAATAATATTTCGTCATGTATATTAAACAATGGTTGAAACTTTTAATCTTAAAATGACACAACTAGCCGACGATACTACAATGTTCTTAAAAAGCACAGAAGACATACAAAAAGCATTATCAACTATTGAATTTTTTGGAAAACATTCTGGTCTACAACTAAATTTGCACAAGACAGAATGTGTTAGATTAGGGAATAACTTTGATAATTTAAAATTAACCGACATAAAATGGAGCGAAAAAAGTGTAAAAGCTTTAGGCGTCTTTTTTGGCACAAATAAAAAAGAATGCGAACAACTAAACTGGGAAACGAAATTCAAAACTGTAAAATCTTAATTAATTCATGGAAGAAAAGAAAACTTACTATTTATGGACGACTCACTGTTATAAAATCAATTTTACTTCCAAAATTTACTTACTTAATGCAGTCACTGTACTTTCCAGAAGAGATACAGAAAAAACTCAACTCATTATTATATACATACCTCTGGGACGATAAACGTGAAAAGGTTAAAAGAAATATAATTGATAAACGATCTCGAAAAGGCGGTTTAAACATGATCGACATTGAAAGTTTTGTTACTATGCTGCAAGTTAAATGGGTAAAATCCCTTCTTTTCAAATGAATTTGCAAACTGGAAAGTCATTCCAAGTTTATTTCTTAAACAAATTCGGCAAAAATTTCCTTGTTTTTTACCATGAACTTTAAAATCTGTCTCAAGTTTACCAAAAGACTATTATACTTTACCTGATTTCTATAAAGAACTTATTAAAAAAATGGATTTTTATTTAAAAATATTAATAAGAAGCAGCCAAAACACTTCTTTGATATTCGTAAGAAATAATTTGGGGTAATGAACACATTTTATGGAATAAAAAAATCTTTATATTTTCATAATTGGATAAACTCTGACATAATTTTTGTAAATGATATTATCGATACAAATGGCGATATCTGTGAACATCTTATTCTTTCAAAACTCAGAAATAAATCAAATTGGCTATCCGAAATTTATACGCTACGTAAAGCTTTTACCGCAACTCTGGAAATTCATCTTAAAATCGGACGAATCAATCAAAACTAGGGTTAAAACTGACTTTTCTCCTTTACTTACAAAGAATCGAACAAAGAGATTTATAACATACTTAGAAACAATAAAGCGGAAAAACCATACATTCATCGCCTATGGGAAATTTTATTTGAACATGAAATTCCGTGGAATAAAGTATACCTGAATATAAAGTCAAGCATTGACAATAGATATAAACAGTTCCGTTATAAACTCATTCATAATATAATACCGACAGGGGATAACTTATACAAATGGAAATTGAAAAATAGTCCGAAATGCGTTTTATGCAATTGTACTGATAGCACAGAACATTTCTTTATTCATTGTGAATCACTTAATGCTTTCTGGAAAAGAATTATTGAAACTTTTAAGTCACTAGGAATCTGTAAACATATTTTCAATCTCAAAAATATTGTACTAGGTTATAGTTTCGAAAATACGCAGCATTCAAATCTTTGGCAAATTAATTTGATCTTTACAATCATTGGCTTTAGTATATACAAAGCTTATATGATGAATCTTTCTACACGAACTTAACAATATGAAACTATACCTCGTCCATAAGAAATATAATTCTCATTTTATTAAACGCTTTACAACAAACTTTTAATATTGTCAGATATTTTAAAGGGTGAGAAAAATTATGTTATAATATTTTATTACAGCTATGTATACCTTTTTCTCTACTAAAATTGTAAAATGATATCATACATTATTTGATATGCACTAACTGTATAAGTATGCTTTGTGTACATGTTCTTTGTGTAAATGTTCTTAAAGTTTTTAAATAAAAGCATAAAAAAAAAAAAAAAAAAAAAAAAAAGAAACATGTCAACCAGGTTAGCAGGATAAATTACTTGTTTAAGTTATCATATCTCATAAAAAACACACATTTATTTAAATATGTTTGTATTTTTTTTTTACACAGATTTTATCACAATTTTTGTCACAGGTTGTCTTGATAACTTACTAGTAATTACTATTTTTTTGGCAAGTAAATGACATCTACTTCCAAATGATTTCAATGATCTTTAGACTCAGTGTCCAAGATTAATTGTCACAGAGAGATTAAGCAATACCCGAGGATCGAACCAGTGCCCCTTGGTTTAATAATCCGATGCTCTCCCTATTGAGCTTAAGAGTGGACTGCTTAAACCTGAAAGTTTTCATTCTACTTTATTCTAAATGAAAGCATATGACCATAATAGTATTGTTATGACTAAAAACTCACAAAGAAAGAAAGAAAATATCAGATCTATGACATATAATATATGGCCATGAAGCTGAAATAATCCATATGACTTAAATCACACCAAGACTGTACCTTAAAACCCATCTAAATAAATTCAATTGTTTGTTCGATCAGAGCAACATGTCTTACATAACAGCATTTTTCAACATTCGATAGTTCACAGATTTGTATATTAATTTAGGTACCAGTAATCAAGCATCTGTGTCTAACATGAAGGATGGAAAACATAAAGAATTACCAAGTTTCTGGGTACCCAATCTCACCCCTGATGCTGGGCCAAAAATCGAGAAGAAACCAGTACGATTTAATTTTATATTTTAAAAAAAGACATATTTTTGAAAGACCTATGCTGTAAAATCATTGGGCAAGAATTTTCGTGGTTTTCAAGGGTAGGTCAATCCAAGAATTTAAGATCCATACTTCTTGCCATGTCTTTATTCTATATATTACAAACATGCATCGACGCTTTTCTGCCGATTTTTGTGTAATGAATGCCCTGAAGCAAGGATTAAATTTATTACCAAGCACTGTGTGACACATAAAGATCGTATGTACATGCGGTAAGTAAACTATGCGGCGATTTAATGTAAGATTACTTTGCATTAGGTTATTTATTTTATTATTTTTAAAAGAAATTGAAAATCCACTAATTTAAGAACCCAAGAAAATGCCCATTTTGATAAAACCACGAATTTTCATGCCCACGAAAATAAGTGAATTCGCAGTATTTCAAAAGGTTGACTGTTATAGTGGTGACTCACCAACTGTTGATATTGGAAAATGTTTAGGATAAAATGTAAATCTGCCTTAAATATAAAAAGACTGCCCTACTCTTTTTATAAATTGAACTATACAGGGAATTTCTGATAGATACTTACAGAAATTTCCTTGGTCCAAGTGCATTATTTATTGTTCATGCGAAGTAAATTAAAAAATTGAAAGTAATTATGTCAAATAACTAACTTCTTGTGAATTTGGCTTGTTCACTCACTACATTGTTTATACCTTTTGGATGGGCATAATGATGATAATGTCACTTAACTTATGTTGTTATTTTTTTAGGATGAGAAGGTACGGTGTCCAATGAGTGGCAAACCAATCAAGCTGAAAGATCTGATAGACGTTAACTTCACAGATATTAAAGACAGAGATACCAAAACAGCCCTTATAAACAAACAGGTAAATTTAATATAAAATCATTTTGAATTACCTCCCTTCGTTGGAATTTTAAAATTCTTGTTTTATAGATAATCATCAGGCTAACTCCTACCATGCTAAATATCTTAAATGGACTTGTCCATCAATGTGGAGTATCTGTTTGTTTACAGATAATCATGTTTTAATAATGAATTATATCTTTTAGTAAATTACTGAAATGCTGTAGAAAACAGGTGTTGAATTAAATGAATGACTTTCTAAATGACTTGATTTTATATATGCTGTAGGCAAGATATGTGTGTGCAGTGACCAATGATGTTCTTGGTAATTCAGTTCCAGCTGCCGTGTTACGTACATCGTAAGTTTTTAGCTCACCTGTCACAAAGTGACAGGGTGAGCTTTTGTGATCGCTTTTCGTCCGGCGTCCGTCCGTCCGGCGTCCGTCCGTCCGTCGTCCGTCTGTCGTCCGTCGTCCGTCCGTAAACTTTTACTTTAAATGACATCTCCTCATAAACCACTAAGCCAATTTCATCCAAACTTCACAGGAATGTTCCTTTGGTGGTCACCTTTAAAAATTGTTCAAAGAATTTAATTCCATGCAGAACTCTGGTTGCCATGGCAACCAAAAGAAAAAACTTTAAATATCTTCTTTTAAAAAACCATAAGAGCTAGAGCTTAGATATTTGGAAAAACATGAAACATCTTCTAGTGAGTGTCTACCAAGTTTGTTCAAAAAAAAAGCCCTGGGGTCAAAATTGGCCCCGCCCCAGGGGGGGTCAATTGATTTTCCCTATATGCATATAGTAAAAACTTACAAAATCTTCTTTTAAAGAACCCAAAGAGCTAGAGCTAAGATATTTAGCATGAAACATCTTCTAATGGATGTCTACCAAGTTTGTTTCAATAAAAGCCCTGGGTAAAATTGGCCCCGCCCCTGGGTCATTGATTTTCCCTAAATGCATATAGTAAAAACTTAAAAATCTTCTTTTTAAAAGAACCAAAAGAGTTAAAGCTAAGATATTAAGCACGAAACATGTTCTAAAAGTGTCTACCAAGTTTGTTCAAATAAAAGCCCTGGGGTCAAAATTGGCCCCGCCCCAGGGGGTCATTGATTATCCCTAAATGCGTATAGTAAAAACTTAAAAATCTTCTTTTCAAGAACTCAAAGAGCTATGGCTAAGATATTTAGCATCAACATGTTCTAATAGGTGTCTACCAAGTTTGTTCAAATAAAAGCCCTGGGGTCAAAATTGGCACCGCCCCGGGGGTCATTGATTTTCCTTATATGTGTATAGCAAAAACTTAAAAAATCTTCTTTGAAAAAACCCAAATAGCTAGAGTTAAGATATTAAGCATGAAACATCTTTTAGTGAGTGTCTACAAAGTTTGTTCAATTAAAGACCTGGGGTCAAAATTGGCCCCGCCCCGGGGGGGTCATTGATTTTCCCTATATGCATATAGTAAAAACTTAAAAAATCTTCTTTTAAAGAACCAAAAGAGCTAGAGCTAAGATATTTAGCATGAAACATGTTCTAATGGGTGTCTACCAAGTTTGTTCAAATAAAAGACCTGGGGTCAAAATTGGCCCTGCCCCGGGGGGTCATTGATTTTCCCTATATGCATATAGTAAAAACTTAAAAAATCTTCTTTTAAAGAACCAAAAGAGTTAAAGCTAAGATATTTAGCATGAAACATGTTCTAATAAGTGTCTACCAAGTTTGTTCAAATTAAAGCCCTTGGGTCAAAATTGGCCCCGCCCAGGGGGGTCATTGATTTCCCTAAATGCATATAGTAAAAACTTAAAAATCTTCTTTTCAAGAACTCAAAGAGCTATGGCTAAGATATTTATCATCAAACATGTTCTAATAGGTGTCTACCAAGTTTGTTCAAATAAAAGCCCTGGGGTAAAAATTGGCACCGCTCGGGGGTCATTGATTTTCTTAATATGTGTATAGCAAAAAACTTAAAATCTTCTTTGAAAAAACCCATATAGCTAGAGTTAAGATATTAAGCATGAAACATCTTTTAGTGAGTGTCTACAAAGTTTTGTTCAAATAAAAGACCTGGGGTCAAAATTGGCCCTGCCCCGGGGGTCATTGATTTTCTTTATATGTGTATAGCAAAATGAAAAAACCCAAATAGCTAGAGTTTAGATATTAAGCATGAAACATCTTCTAGTAAGTGTATACAAAATTTGTTCAAATAAAAGCCCTGGGGTCAAAACTGGCGTGGCCCCAGGGGTGTCATTGTTTTTAACTATATGTGTATAGTAAAAACTTTAAAAAAATCTTCTTTTAAAAAGCCCAATGAGCTAGAGCTTAGATGTTTAGCATGAAACATCTTCTTATGGGTGTCTACCAAGTTTGTGCAATTAAAAGCCCTTGGGTTAAATTGGCCCTGCAACGTTGGGGGGGGGATGATGGTTTGGGGGTCCCCCTTTATACAGGTGAGCGACCTCAGGGCCATCATGGCCCTCTTGTTTATTATTTACCATTACATATATCCATTGCCCTAAAGAGAGCCCTCTGACAGACAGAGCATTTTATTAGAAATTACCTTAAAATGGACAATTGAAAGCAATTGTACAAATTTTGTAGGTTAATAGGTATTGGACTTTGAGTATCTTAATTCTCACCTTCACTACTCCAAGTTTGATGCTCACCAGAGACTTTGGCTTCTGTCATGTAAGGAAGCTATTCAGTTAGCTTACTGATGAATGGTGGTCTTACTGCCACCAAGTTTCAGAAATAATGCATTGAGGCCTTCCTTCACCAGTCCAGCTACATCATTGTTACATGAAGAAAGACATAATTTTGACACTGTTGTTGTGACTTACAGAAAGTTCCTTTAGCCACATGAGTTATTTATCATTTATGCGAAGTAAATTATAAAATTGAAAGGAATTTTGTCAAAATGTAAACTTATTTTGACATTCAACTGTTTACTCATTATTTACCCTTAGATGGGCATAATAATTATTCACTTTTAAACTGAACCAAAGGAAAAAAAATCATGAGAATCTTTGTTTTCAGTGGATGTGTAGTGACCATGGATTGTGTGGAGAAACTCATCAAGAAAGACATGTTGGATCCTATAAATAGTAAAAAAATGACAGAAAAAGATATCATTGTACTACAGAGGGTAAGTTACCTTAGCTACCGTAAAGATAGAAATTTTGAATTAAGATACCATTTAGATTAGAAACAAATTTATTTCTTAATGGGTTGTTGAATGCTGGAATGCAAGTGGTTTAAATGTCTGACCCATTTCACAAGAAATTAGCTAGACAAGGCAGGTTTTTTTCCCCCAGGATTTTGGGAACATGACCCATGCCCATGGAATTGGGAATTTCAGCAAAGTTTTGTTAAAAATTGGGAAAAAATGCAGACTTGAATTTTGCAGTGATTAAATGAATGCAAAGAATCACTTTCTAGGATGGCATCTTCAAACATTTAAGCACCATAAGAATGAAGAAACCTTTTAATTTCAAAGATTTTAGAATTTTTTATTCAAAATTTTAATTTTGTAACTTTCAATTGGGATTTTTTTCCTGTGGTTTGGATAAAATAAGCCAAAACAAATCACTGCAATGTTAGTCTGCAAATGTTCATTCTGACCAGACTTGACCTCTTTATCCCAGTTAATCTGTTAAAATGATGATGAACTGTTTCAAATTCAAAACAAGGCAAGTCCAATATACATAATTTAGCATTTATAAAGCTTTTTATCCTATAGAAATATGAATACCAATATTTCTAAGAGAGAATGTCTTATCGGATGAAATAAGTACAATGATAGGTGTCACTAGAATAAGAACAAAACAAAATGATGCTTTATTCTGGGACTTTATTGTATGATGTTTCCTTATGAAATAATATCTTATACCTGTGCAATCTGGCCAGTCTCTACTTTTGGCTGCTCAATTTAAATTCTTTTATATTGAAACCTGTAAAATAACATTGGACTGTTGCAATTTAATGTTATATTGCAAACAACCATTTCCACAGAAATCTTTATAATAAATTTATAATACAGCATATTAACCTTTGAGCAAAAAAAAAATTACTTCATATATTGACACCAGATGTGCTTATAAATTATGTACAATGTATATGTCATGATTATTCAATGAACAGCGAAGTTACAAACATGCAGTACATTGTATTATAAATGGCCATATATGTATGGTCTTTAACATTTACAGTATTTGTCATTAACGTAAAATAAAAAATCGCTTTATGATATGTTGATACAAAAAATAAGTGTCATTGTTTAGCGAAAACCGAGTTATTAGGCTTATTTGTAAACACATTGTCATTTTTGATTTATGTACTTTTTGTGAAATTTTTAAGTTTTCATTGGTTAAGGTTTTATCTTCAATAGATATTTTCCTATTGACTGCATTGAATCTTATGACAGATAAAAATGAGTATATAATTATTATTTTATTTTTAATGAATATGTTATTTGTCTGATTCATGCTAATATATAATTTGTGTAGTGGATTTGCCCTGCTTTGAATTTGGAACAGTCCATTTGATGTTTAAGGGATGTTGATGCCAAGATGATACAAAAATTGAGCTACCTACAGTATAGAGCCTGTCCTGACTGCTCTGAATTGCCTTGCTTTATATTCTATACAAAGGCTAATTATGTTTAGTTCAGGCAAATAATGGGGTTAAAGCAAGCGAATAATAAGTGAGACCAGAATATTAAACAAGAGAAAAGTACATTTGATTTATAAGCTCGTTAATTCATATTCTTTAGGTGGTCTTATTTAAGATTCCTACAAAATCATATCAAATTGCAGAAGAATTTAGTGGTAAGTGCCTAAAGCTTCTTTTGAAATAAGTTCACTGACATTATTGGTCCTGGTTGTGATTTCTCTACATAATTGACTCCTATTATCTGGATATCCATCATTAGGCCATTCTTCGAAAAATTTTAGTTTGCAGTTTCATCACTAGATACCTTTTAAGAATGGAGAATCCAATCAATATTTTTTTAAGATTTGGACCAAATTTCTTCCCATTTCTTCCAGTGTAAGTGTTAGGTTATTGTCTATAGACCAGCACAATGTCTACTCAAAAATACCTTGCCTATTAACATAAACACTGTCCTCTTCTAAAGTTTAAGTTGGCTATCATGCCTTTATACTAGTATGTTACAAGTGAGTATCCAAACAAAAAATATTTGGAGAAGATATTAAAAAAATTATATGTTTACTTTTCATTTACTAGGGAGCATCAGGATTCTCAGGGTCAGGTCTTTCATTGGAGGCTAAGAAAGAGGGTGCGGCAATGCAGGCATAATGCAGGGGATGAAAGAACAGAGGCAGGAATTGTTTCTTAAAGACATCATGGTTTTATATATTTAACTGACTTACTGAACCATGAGAATTAAATGGTACAGAAGATTTAGTCTTAAAGTTATTATTCAAGAAAAATACTAAACTATCTTACTGATAAAGTTTTAAGACTATAAACCCCGATTGGATTTTAAGTATTATACGCCAAGAAATGATACTTAAACTTCATAATCAGGAGGCAGATTTTATTGTTCATACAGAGATTTATTTTTGGAATAAAGGTACATGTATTTTATCACATCATTTTGATACAATGTGAAGCTATTTTTTCAGAGACTTATAAATGGAAGCACTGTGGTCATACATAAACTACATGTATTTTTGTTTGTTTTCTTTTAGTCACGGTGAATTTGTAGTATATGTAAATCCACTTCTTCAGTTATTAGTTAGTAATCAAGTAAATTGATTAAAGATTTTAAAAGATCTCCTGATGACAACTGAGTAACTATAAAGACCCAGTTCTTCTTATGCATGCTGTTTCAAGTGTCTTGGTTGACAAAGACTTCTATACATACATATTCTAATACATGTAGTTATGATCTTTTCAAGGGTACCTTAAAATAAGGGAACAAAGTTTTTAAAAAAAAAAAAAAATTAGTAAGAATTTATGAATATTGACAGTCCATAATTTGTGTGTTGCATAATTATTATCTAATTAATGCTTAGCCTGCCAGTGGTAACAGATTCTACCAATGCAGACCAAGATCAAGGAAAAATAAGAATAAAAGCATTTCTGGCACAAAATGGGTCTTTAAGTTAATAGAATTTTTTTTGTATGAAAATTAAAAACAAAAAAAACCCTGATAATCTGTAAAAAAATCTATAAAAGATGTACAATGTATCAAAATATTTCCATGTTTTTAGCTGCAGTTTTCAACAATATTGTACAAAGTTAAAAGTTAAAAATTTATTCATATTTTCAGGTCATTGTACATACATGTATATTTTATTGATATGTAATATCAACTTTATGCATTACATTTTTAAACAAACAAAATTTCAATAAAATATGACACAATAAAGATGACTTTGTTTTCTAATATGTTCAAGCTATATATTTTTGATGTCTTGTATCAATTTTATTCATAGAAGTAATGATCCAACATTTCGGGTAGGTTAGGGGATGTAACTCGGTACACATTTTGCGACCATTAATTTACTTCCCTTTCAAAGATTCGTATAATAATGATATAATGTAGATTTTGAATAATTATTATTTTCATTTCTAGTTAGAGCTTAAGGCATACTTAAAACGAAAATGGATTGTAAAAACTTATACATGCAAATTATGGAAGCTACTCAAAATATTCAAAATTTTGGCGGGAAGATTTTACGTTTCCATGCAATCACCATGCTTTGTAAGGAATGCCTGATTTGCGTATTTGTTAAAGCATATATTATTGGGTTAATCCAGTTTAAATTTGACCCAATGTATATCACCAGCGTATGAATTAATGGATCTACTTTCACCATCGATGGGTCGTAGATGTACAGTGTGATAAAAGGCAGACGACACATTCCAAAGAAAAGGATTATGGCTAGAATTATAAATGCCATTTTTATTTCCGCTTTTTTGCGGTGTGTCATGTACTTGCTGCCATGCCCGCTTTTCCTTTCAATTGACGTCTGCGAACCTGATCCCGTGCTATTTTTAGAATTATCTCTACTGGAAGCAATCTTCCGTTGGAGTTTCACGTACACCAATATTATTTGTAGGTAACAAAATCCTATAACAGGTACCGTCGTCAAAATAGCGAAAAGAAACACAAAAAGACAGTATCCGGTACAGTCTACTCCAAGAAAAGGATGGCAGACGAGTTTCATAGGGGCGTATTCATAATGGCTGAATATTCCAAATAGCGGGAAAGCTAGTATCACGGGATATATCGACCACGATATTATCCATTCGATAATAAGTAAATATGGACTTCCGTACAGTTTATTGTATAGTTTTTGGTTGATTATACATGCGTATCTGTTAAACGAAATACAAACGTATCCGAACAACTCCGTACCTAGGTTGCAGAACAGTCCATATGAAATCAAGCTGCAGACGATATTTTCCGTTATCAGACGTCCTGTAAACGCTTGGATAGCTATAAGAGGTAGAAATATGGCACAGTGGATGAGATTACAAACAAGAAGATTGAGAATTTTCACATATATCGAGAACTTGTAAAGTTTTCCATATAATATAGCGGAAATCATAATGGTGTTTCCAAAAGTTCCCAATATTGCTATGGTAACAGTACAAGTTTTGATGACAACGAGCTGGGTATCTGTAGCCCCTATGGTTACGTCGTATGACGTATTGTGTGTTGCGTTTTCCATTCTGAAAAGTAGAATAGAAAAAAAAGATTAGGTAATGAAAAAAGAAACTCGGACAAGATAGAAAACTTATCAGCTATTGGTTAATTAGCCAAAAGTATAGAACCTGTTCATACTTCACGGATGCACAGGCTAGCCTTGGCAGAGGCAAATCAAATTCGGTTCCAGCAAGTTAAGGGAACATTATGCCGCAGAAATTATTCCTTTTTTTATGTACCAACGCCACAAAAAGTATTTTTTTTATTATGATAATGGACTTTGAATATGTGAGTTGCTCATCACGTGAAGGAAATAGCGTTGAATGCGAAATAAGTTATGATACTTTGAAAGGTAGCAAAATGAAAACAAAGTGGTATTTTGACTTCCATACAAAATACTTATTCAGTACAACTGTACTATAACTGCCAAAGAGGGCTATGGTATATTGCCAATGTGTAAGTTTTGGGAAACTGTAAAAGGACATCAAAAATAAACAGGTTTTTTGAAAAATAAAAATAATGTTATTCTAGGCTTAATTGGTCTAAATCATTAACAGTAGCAAAATAATTACAGATTTAATCGATTAAATTTATTCAGTAAAATTGTTTTAAAGCAAACCCACCTGAATGTTATGTCGAGCAAATTTTTACTTCTTAAACATTATCCTTAAAAAAAGCTAATTTGACGAAACTAGCCAGCACACTACTGTTTGATTAGTAACACTTCTAGTAATTATATGAGTAGATTATTCTCATTGTTTTCTTGTTTATACCATTGTAACTACCTTTTTAGCATAAATCTTGCTTTGTTGTCACTTTTACGAGCCCATATGTCGATTGACACATAAATGATAAAATGCGTCAGAAAGTTCGCATATTTAGTTTATCACCATATAAATCACCGATATTGGTCTTTCTCGTTTAATGATATTGATTATGATTACAAAAATAAGAAAGAAAAAAATGAGTTTGTGCAAAATCAAAGAAACCAAATGACAGTTCGTATTTTCAAGTAAAGTTCTATCCGTAATAGTGCGGTCTATATTTGCGATTTTCAAGTGTTAAGGATTGGATAAGATTGGGTGTTCTGACCAAAAGTATCCACAATCCTTAAAGCAGCATGCCTCAAGATTTATGCTAGTTTTCATGAAAATTTTGAAAATGTATTTAATTTAAAAGTAAAATAGTGTGGAATGAACAAAAAAGTAATTAACACATTTCAAACAGCACTTACAATCGTAAAACGTAAATCACCAAAATGAGGTCAAATTATGCAAATATAGTCCTAAATTTGATGATAAATACTGTAAAATCAGTCATGAATCGCACATAATATGTAAATTATTACTTTAATATTTTTTCCTTTTCTTAAAATTGTGTACCTGTTCTCAAATTTAATTTTCTTGAAATTGTTTGACTCATCCGGAGGCAACAGTTGTAAATACCGAGCTAAAACGGTTTACAATGTTTGCCATATTTTTTTCTAGTCTTAATGACTTTCAACAAACTAGTAACCTTTGAAAAACCCTCGCCATTTTTGGAGGGATTATTTGCATGAAACATCTTATTCCTTTTCGGTCAATTCCAGCGCATCAAAACTACATGTATAAACTGGCGTTAAATAGCCGAAAAGCATATCTTAAATTAAGTAAAGGTGCACGACGAAATAAGTCATGTCTCTCAAAAAAGTATAATCCTAAATTTTTATTTTGTGTCTTAGTAATATATTTTAACCATTTTAATTGTATCATCTTTCGAGCCAATGTACATACGGTGGCAATCAGATCAACATAAGTAAAGATTGAACACGAAGATAACATGCTGTTGCCACGAGTTGTAACTCAAGCAATCAATTAAAGTCATAGGCTGCTAGTTCTATGTAAAATGAAAGGCAAAAAACTTAATGTTTTTCAGTTCATACTTAACGAAGATAAGTAAATGTTAAGCAGGGCAGTTAAAACAATGGGTTGAACATGTGTGTATATCTTGATCTACAAGTTTTATTGGCGTCCGCGCCGAAGCGCGGCGCCTATTGGAATGAAATGAGATTTTGTGAAAGGGCGACAGCAACTTCTCGAGCCTTTTATAGTTGCCAATAATAAAAGCCGATCATTCCGATCGGTATGAGGGTGCTTGATTATTAATTAGTCGCGATGTGTACAATGAATGGCGAACTGGAGAATTCGCAATGCAAACATTTTCAAATGAAATAACCTTTTCCGTCAATAAATCGCGCTCTTCGGGGTATTTTTTGCTTATCATTTTGTAGTACACAGTGGGTTATTATGGTATGTTATTCCGAAAGCTGTTAATAGAATGATGAGTTGATGACCTAAATATTCCGAAAATCTATTTATAGAGGGATGTACTCCTATCGGTAATTCCCGGTCTCTCCCGGGATTTACTAATGACCGGCGAATAGTACCACACGTTTATTGTCCGGTCTCTCCCGGTTTTGGAGTAGATATCGTTACAGAACAGAACAAATATTTTACAGATAAATAAGCTTTTTTTCAAAATGAATGTTTGTCACTTAGTTTGGTTACAATAATTAATAAACACAGATCAACTCTCGAATTGATTGATTATCATTATACATAAACATACAATTCGAAAAAAAACCAACAACACAAATCGCATGTTATATTTTATCTATATGAGATAAAAACAATAAATATGTACAATAATTGAGAAAAAATGTACGTTTTTATGGCATTAATATGACACTATCAACTTTAAAACATTTTATATAATTTGTTATTCGTGTTTAGTAAAGATTCCGAGGAATTATTCAAAGTTACAAATCAGATTTTATGAATTATTCAATTGATTGATAATTTAAAAAATGATAAAGAAAAATACAAATGTACATGTATATGGTTTAAGAATAAACAATATTATAAATTGAAAGATTAACCATGATTTACTGACTTTTTCCTGTTAAGTTGACTTATAATCGTCGATCATTATGACAATTGAATTCTTAAAATAGTAGTAAACGTAAAAACTCAGTATTAAAATAGCGCATAAAACACACACAAAAAAGAAAAGAAAACAATATTCATAAAATCTGTATTTTTTATTAAAATAGAAATTACATTTATTGTATAATAAACAATTATGCTCAACATGATCAACATGGTAATATAACAAGTGTCATATTGTTACTTAGTGTGAACAGATACCTTAAGAGGGGGTCCTCGTTAATAGCAATAACATAATAAGGGACAATTACACAAGTATGGTGTTGATCATGCGTTACACATATGGATTATAAATGATTGTATACATGTATATCCGTTGCTATTAATAACCACGATCATAAAGAAATAACAAGTAATATTTTAATTTCTAGCATGCCGATCAAAGTTATAAATAATGAACAATGTCTTTCGTCCGTTCATTCAAAAGTGATATACAATTCTGGTAAAACCCAATGAACCATTGAAAAGTTTATAAGAATATCTTGTCATCATATATCTACTAGTTCATCTGCACCTGCTGTTTGGACGCCCTTTGATGCTTTGCATCAATGCTTTTCTTGTATTTTATTATGATATAGGATCTCACGAGGCGATGAAGCGCCAAATGTGATTTTTGTGTCGCCTCTACGGAGTAGTGGCGACATATAGGGATCACTTCTCCGTCGTCTGTCTGTCCGTCTGTCCGTCCGTCACAAGACTTGTCCGGAGTACTCCTCATAAACTACGGGTGCAATTTCATCCAAACTTTACAGGAATGATCAGTACTAAGTCTAGATGTGTATAGTGTCAGCATTTTCTGGTTCAATGATTTTTGTCAGAGTTATGGCCCTTTAATAATTTTTATTTTTAAAGTTTGTCCGGCCTACTTCTCTTATACCACTAATGCAATTTCAATGAAACTTTACAGGATTGATCTGTAGCTCAAGTCCTTGCGCATATTGCACGGGTTTTCCGGTTGAAAGATTTTTGGCCGAGTAATGGCCCTTTGATAAAAATGTGTTTTTAGATACACAAAAGCTTGTCCGGACTACTCCTCATATACTACTGGTGCAATTTTATCCAAACTTTACAGAAATGATCAGTACCAAGTCTAGTTGTGCATATTGTCAGCATTTTCCGGTTTAGGGATTTTTGTCAGAGTTATGGCCCTTTAATAATTTTTATTTTTAAAGTTTGTCCGGACTACTTCTCTTATACCACTAATGCAATTTCAATGAAACTTTAGAGGATTGATCTGTAGCTGAAGTCCTTGCGCATATTGCACGGGTTTTCCGGTTGAATGATTTTTGGCCGAGTTATGGCCCTTTGATAAAAAATATGTTTTTTTTCTGTGTGTTGCCAGATACACAAAAGCTTGTCCGGACTACTCCTCATAAACTACTGGTGCAATTTTATCCAAACTTTACAGGAATGATCAGTACCAAGTCTAGTTGTGCACTGTCCGTCTGTCTGTCCGTCTGTCACAAAACTTGTCCCAACATGAAATTGGCCATCATCAGGCGACACATGTGATCACTGATCGCTCTTGTTTATAGTATAATCCACCAGTGTCAAATACATATACGTAATATATCAAGATATTTTTAAAATATAATGTATGAATGTTACACAGGTGTATAATGTAATATACATGGAGCCAATTCCAGGAAAAGCGGCCGTTTGAAGATCAATGTCGTATTCCTATTTCAATTTCAAACTTTTATATGACAACACTACAATATGACACCTATATCAGATAAAGCAATAGTGTTCATTAATTTTTTTACACAAAATTGAAATTGCCAAACAGAGTTGTCGTTCATATCTCAAAACAGTATTATGGAAAAAAAGAAGAAATAAAACGACATCACTGCATATAGATTGGCAACCCGAAAGCAAGCTGGTATACACAAGACAAATTAATCGCAGTCCTTCTTGAGTGCGTCATAGAAACTAGCTTGCAAAATATCTACTCTTACTTATTTAGTAAAATATCTTTATTTAAGTTCTAATTGAGCAATTCCCGAGTCCGTCTCCTGGAACTATGTCGAGCTGTGTCTTTTGAGGAAACATTATGGATATATAATCAATCATGTATTTAGATATAATTATACTTTAATTGAAGCTAAAAATTCGTTTCTGTTCCCTTTGTTCCATTTGCGCCAATACGATATAATATTAGTGACTGTATAGTCGTAGTTAGCTAGGAAAAAGTTCATCAGTATTTTGTTCGGCTGTACGGCAGGAAAAAGGTATGTAAGATTAAATTTTAATTTAGTTATGCTAGTATGAAAAATCTTTTTTGATCCAGATTTCAGTAGAATTTTTAGTCTAAGTCACTCCAAGTATTTATTCGGTGACTGTATAAAAGTCATAGCTTAAGACGGTGTTATCATCTAGTCCAATTGTTCCTTTAGATGTATATATAAATTTATGTAAATAGTTATTCCCTTCTCGTTTTGACAGCTTTTAAAAAATAATACATTATCATAGCCAATTTCTATGACTTTGTTGTGTACATTTAAAATAAGTTAGTAACACTTCGGCAGTTCACTGAAGTTGTTACTGACCATGTCCTTGTGTAAGAGGCCTGACCATTGTATACACACCGGTCTCACAGTAAGACCTTTGTACACAATGAGGCCTGACACAAACTAAATTTAGTACTTCATGACCTAGACGAAAATAATTTAGTGGTATTTTGCCTTTATAGCCGGTGATCGTAAAGACATTGAACTTGTAAAATTTACCACCGGTCGAAAATCTGAACTTGTCAAAATTTTAGACATTTAAAAATATGACAAAATCATGCGCATTTATTCGTTGACATGTTGACATTGTATGGAAAACTGCAAAACTTAGCATCAGCCAGTAGAAGAATAACTGTCATCAAAAATCATTTTTGTTCAGGAGCGCAAGCCGTGAATAAAATGTCTGATTCTGAGAAAGATGAAACTGCTAAAGATTATTCAGCAGGGATCATTGGTAGTTCTAATTAATTTTCATACATTTGTCACAGGGTGAGAAAAATGTGCAACCTTACTGGGACCCTCGAACCAGGGACCCTTGAAATATAGTTTCGGCCGCGGCTCTACTGACAGCTATCCGGTCGCTTTATATAATAGACATCTCCCCTAGTCCCTCATTGAAAGAATTTCGCAATGTAATTTAAACTTTGAGCTATATGCAATCACCGTCTCCTGTTGGGTGCCAAATGTCACAGGGTGAGAAAAATTTGCAGCCTGACTGGGACTCAAACAGGCTTAAAGGGACCCTTGGAATACCGTTCCACGGCTCTACCAATGTTCAGAGCTTTCTGGTCGCTTGTACATCTTCTCCCCTATTTAATGAACAGTTCTCAACCGTGGCATGTGCTTTATGTCTAAATATTTCGACTAACATCTCCCCCAGTAAGTGAACAGTGTAGAACTGGGACATACTCCCCCCGCAATATTGAAATTCATCCTACAGAGCAATATGCTAATTGAATCCCTGAGCTATATGATCTATGTTGTTGCTAAAATAAAATAAATAAAAAAAATAAAATATGCAGTCATGGATCATGATGGGCACCAAATGTCACAGGGTTAGAAAAATGTGCATCCTGACAGGGTCTTAGCTTTGAAACCTCTGAATACCGTTCAGGTGGCTCTATTGGCTGAGCTTTCGGCCGCTTACACATCTATTATCCTTGTTGGAGAACAGTTCTGAACCGTGACACATTTTAATTAAAGCATTACTTTTTGACGTGCACCACATACTGTTACTTTCAGAATCATGTTTACTTTATATTAACAAGGTAAACAACAAGGTTGAAGACAGGAGTTTCGAGTGATGTATATAGACATTATAGCTATTATGTAATTTATCTGTACCAGTTCAACCCTCCCGATCTCACATCAGGGAATTCCCCAGGCGCTTTTAGCATCGGCTAAAATTTCAGAACAAGAAATCCCGATGCGCTTAAAATTATCATAGCGCTTTAAAAACAAAAACGACCGATATTCCTTTCTATTGTGTCTATAAGTTAACCCCAATTAGCCAAATAAACAAGCCAATATACATGTCCTGTGTAGATAATTACCCGAGGCGTATACACAACCCGATACACTGATTGCCTTTAGACTGTGTGACGTCACAGACACCTGTCATCGATGTCTGCAGACGACTGTTGGTGCACTTTCAGGTGTTGTCAATTACCGTGTATTGAGATGGGTGCAATTTAACCGCGGCATGTGTGATATTTACATGTTTCAGGTAGGTGTAATAACTTTTATTGTTTTGATAAAATAATTGGCATTAATTGACATGCGATATAACAGTTTGATATTTAGGGATGATTGGGTTAATTGTCTTGATATAAGTGTAATGTTCAATTTTATCTTTCACTTTCTTACGATCGTTACGTCTAAGCAGTACTGTAGTATTAAGATTTAAAAAAATAATATGTCTAACATGAATAAGGGAAGCCTAGTTCACTATCAATTTTAAGAGTTTTTTTGTGAGCAATGTCGTTGAAACTGTCTCCGGATCATTTTGCTTTTTAATATATACATGATAATCGTATTTTACTTGGATTAAACTGCATAGATATTCAGAAATAAAATTGGTTGATGGTTACTTTAACATTGAAAACATTTACGACTGTTCATTATCAACTTGCAACTGAGTGAAAACAACAACAAAATCTTTACATCAACAATCCCACATAGTGACAGCCAATTGGTCATTTTCTTTTTTAATTAAAAATATCTTGTAATCTGTTTCTGTTAACTGAATCACCAAAATGAAAAAAAATATTAATTTTGCAGGCCCTCTTTAATCGAGCCTGTTCATAGACAGCTTTGTGAAGTGCAATCTACTGTCCTACCCCTTAGCATTGGTTTGTCAGGACATACAGGAGCTGGCCAGGCACTTTGGTGTAGATATGGAGCAGTGCCGCAGCCACTGGCACCAGGTACATGCCAGTCTAGAGGGGACTGATCAGTCAGCCGACCAGACCATGACCTGGATTACTGGCAACCTTTCTACCAGTCATCCAGCTCTTTACAGAATTGCTCCTCCCAACCTCTACTGCAGGTAATTATTATTAGATTCATTCATTCTTGAACATTAATGAAATTCCAATGAAAGTTGCATGTGTAACACTTTGCTAGAAGTTTTTCAACATTTCAAATATAATTTTTTTTACTAAGTTAAACAGGCTGGAAGTTTTAAATTTTCAAAAATTCACAGCAAACAAACAATATAAATAAAAGACATGAGGTTAACATAAATAATTACTTTCATTTATTAATTTCAGATTGTGAGCGAGGATTGAGCTGCCTGAAGAGAGTTAAGACTGAAAACAGGAATTGTCTCTCTGTTAAAGTTCTAAACTATCTTCTTGCCGTCTCCCTTCAAGGACCCCCATTAGAATCTTTCAACTTTGAGAAGGCAGTCAAGGCATGGAAGGACAACAAACCTAGAAGACAGGCCCACTTTTAATGATGTTAATGAAGAAAAAACAACTGAAATATACTCATTTAAATGGGACACACACACTTATAAATGTTGATCACATGTTGTGAACTTGTGTTTATATATAATTGTTTATTTATTTGAATTGTTGGAAAAAGTAAATAATAAAAAAGAAAATGTTTATCAAGTGAAAAGCTTTCATTATTTGTTTTAAAACAGCCCACAGCAGTATCTTGACACCTAAAATGGCAAAATTTTTCGACACGCGGTATGGGGGTCAAGACCCCCTCCCGCACCCACCCCGTCTAATTAAAAAAATGTAGCGCTTAAAAAAAATCCTGGGGAATTCCCTGCACATGATAGAATATGAGAAAACAAACAGATAAACGAGGGCCCTATATATAAGCTTTAGTATTAAATATTATCCTAGATTTATACATTAGATTGCTGTAAATGAGTACAAGAGCATTGTCTGTCTGGATTAAGTGCTCTAATGATAGTAGGAATATCAAGTCAAGGTTCTGGTTGTCTGGACCATTGGATAAGGCGACTCATAAATCAGGACTGTACATACAGACTGTGTAGTTTGATACAGCTCAAACTATATTATTGGACAATGTTAATCATTTTGCAAAAATGTAACAAAATAATCATTAAAGCAAAATACTAGCTATATATATAATAATTGCAGCAATTGAAATTAGTTATGATTCTGCCTTTTCTTTGTACATAATGCCAATCACTATTCTTTTCTTCAGTCATTGGTGATGAAATATTGAAAGGTCAAGTGGCCGATACAAACACACATTTTATGACCAAGCATTTATTTTCCTGGGGCGTGAAAGTTAAAAAGGTTTGTTTAATATTCATTTTACAATAAGCCTTTAACAGAATATTTTGACGGATATTGAATAGTTTCAAGTGACATTATATCCACCTGCGTCTCAGTGTTGAGTTCACAGGTAAAAGTCATAATAAGTTTACTTTTTGCCATAATTGTGATCAATTTTATATCTTACTGTACAAAAAATGATCAATAATCCATGTGACCTTTGGACATTTCTGTTATAAATATTGCTGCTTTAAACTGCCCTTTTTTCAGAACAGAGAATATTTTCTCATATTTTGTGCTATGATATTTTGTTTCTTGCAGATCTCTGTCGTACCTGATGATATTGATACAATTGCTAAAGAAATAGTTGAGTTTTCATCCAAGTATACATATGTAATTACATCAGGGGGCATTGGACCAACTCACGATGATCTCACATTTGAAAGTATGTTGTTATTACATTTTTAATAGAATCTATCTATGACAGAGCTCTTTTCTTTCTATAGCAGGCTCTGTTTAAGAGCTGCTTACTACCTGGAAAATTCTTTTCATCTTTTGACTACAGTTTCCCAAGCCCTAAACTTCAATTAACATCAATTTTCTAAAAAAACACTGTTATTTTCTGCTAAATGAAATGGAAGAACCCCTTTCGCTAACTATGGAAAAAAAAGCCATGCATGAATAGATAGGCTGTATCATTATCAGTGAATTTTTTAAAATTTAAAATACCGCCTCCGTGGTCGAGGGGTTAGAGTCGATGACTTCTAATCCAGTTACCTCTCTGGCTTGGGATCGATCCCCGGGAGATGCTTTGGTAGTTTAGCGCAGAGGAAGGTAGTCTAGTACTGGTGTAACTCTCCAGGAATGATGGTTAGGAAACTTCCCGCCTATATGACTGAAATACTGTTGGAAAAAGGCATAAAATGAAACAAACAAACAAAAATAAAAAACCCTTGAAGAGAAATGTATTCGGGGAGTGGAGAAACAGAATTTCTACATTTATTTATTTATTCATTTATTTTATGTTTGTATTACTGATAAGCATTGCAGTTTGTACACCTTGTCTCATAGATTTGTAGTTTGCATTTCATGTGATAATGAAGTATGGATTTCTCATGCACATTCCTGTGTATATTTATGATATACATTGAGATGTATATTCCAAAACATTACAGTTTGTTTTATTCATAAGTATTACACTTAAACTGTCAAACTTGTAAACATAACAACATTTATTTCTTGTAAACATTTCAGCAGTTTGTATTGACTTTCAATGTTTTACTGTATTATTTAATAACAATTAAGAAAACACAACTTCTCTCAATAATCCCAGATCTATATTTAGCTCCATGCTTTAATCTAAGATCAGTGTTCAGCTGTTTTATATTGTTTTCTTTAGTGTTTAGATGAACAGTTTAGAGAAAAATTAAGTTTTTGTTTTATTTTGATTTAATAAATCACAAAATACATGTATTTTTAAAACTTTGAAATAAAGGTCAATTATAAGTGCTAATTATTAATACTGCAGGTGTTGGAAAGGCATTTGGCGAGCCAGTGGAGCCTAACCCCCATCTTGTTGAACTGTGTAAGAAATACTTTGGCACTGATGATCTGAATTCTCCAAAGCTGAAAATGGCTAAGGTATGTTAATATTATTCTGGTAATACTATATACCAGTAATGCTTGCTTGTTGCTGGATTTTATCTAGATGTCACATTTTCATATGTGGTGTGTCAAGCTATTTTGATAGTGATGTCAGCAAAATGATGTCATTCAACTACATTGTATCAGAAATAAGAAAAATAAACACAAAAAACACTTGCATTGTCCTAAAATTTGCATCAGTTTTCTTAAATGCCAGTTCTTCTGAAAAAGTAAAGGGTTGAACAAAATGATTCCTTGATAAAAGAAAAAAATCTATTTTTTAGCCCATCGGCTATCAATTTCTCATCCTCTTGTCTGCATAACAATAGGTTATGGTTTTTGTGTATAACAAGGTAACTCATTAACTTAAAACTTTAAAACAAGTGAGATTCTACAGTTCTGTTTTAACAACTCTAGAGTGAATTTTGAGTGAATTATACCCCATTATGAGAGGGAAATAAAAACTTAGTATAAGGTCAATCTTTTCAATGTTAGAGATAGTTTTCATTTGAATTTTTTACACATGTCATTAAGGTCATTATTTTAGATCACTGACCAAGAATCATAGCTCAAGTATGCATTTTTACATTTTTTTCCCATTTTGAACTTTCAAATTTCTTGTATTGCTCTTGTTTTCTGTCAGCGACAGAGAAAGGTTGATTATGCATATTGTGCTAATTTAACATAAAGTAATTGTAAACATTTCATTGCAGGTGCCAAAATCGGCAAAATTATTATATGGCGAGGATGAATCCACAGGAAGAAGGACAAAATACCCACTAGTCAATGTTAGAAATACCTACCTATTCCCTGGAGTGCCTTCAATACTTGAACATGCTTTTCCTTTGCTCAAAGTAAGTGTTTTCTCTTTGTGTTTAAAGTAACACACCTGCAGGTCCAGTCTAAATTTACAAAAAATTTAGAATATGTTTTAAGTCATTACATTCTTTTTATGAGAAATTAATCATGAATTGATTAATCTTTAACCTGCTAAATTTGTGTAATGATTTGCCCTGCTTTGGTTTAAGCTTATCTATTTAAGCTCAATTGCTTAATCAATTTTTAGTGTGTTTCCTGGCACCAACCAGTACTGGTGTCATATGAAGAAACATGGTCATGACACAAGTAGGGCTTGAACCCATGATCCCTGGGTTGAGAGGCAGACACGTTAACTACAAGGCCACCACACCCCCTTTATTTCCCTGCTTGGAATTCGGAACAGTCCATATATTTAAAAATTAAAGAATTTTATTATCAAAATACACGTACAATAATTTAACTACCAACAGTATAGGGGCGTCCATGGTCAAGTGGTTAAGGTTGTTGACTTCAAACCACTTGCCCCTCACCACTGTGGGTTCTAATCCCGATAGGGACTTTCGATTCTTTCATGAGAGGAAGCTATCAAGCTAGCTTACAGAATGTCAGTGGTTCTTCTCAGGTGCCCGTAAGTGCCTGAAATAATGCACGGAAGGGCACCTGAGGTCTTCTCCACAAGTAAAGCTGGAACATCACCATATGACAAATACTGTGTAATACAAACAAAGAAACAAAACAAACAATATAGAGCCTAGATAGATCATGGATGGCATGGCTCTATACTGGTGGCAAAGCCTAATCACTTTTGGTTTTGGCATAGTACCAGTTAATTATTCATCTCTTTATATATTTTAGGATCATTTTAAGAATCCTGATATAGAGATACACACGAAGGAGATATATATTCATCTAGATGAGATATCTATCACCCCAGTGCTTAATGAAGCTGACTCGTTGTTCAAGAAACACGTCACTCTAGGGTCGTACCCGGACTTTATTAACAGGTAAATATACACAGAATAAACAAGAGTGTCCGTCTTCTTTGCCAAGCTATTAAGTCTGCTGGCTTTGGATCATTTGCCTTTCATTACTATGATTTCAATCCTGATTGAAAATTTAGAATCCTTCTTGTGAGGAAGCTATCCAGGTTATTTATGGTAGGTTGGCAATTCTTCATCAGATTCTATGCATGTATTTTCTGTTTTTACCTGCTATACTGCTGGTAGGGGGATGCTTTCATGTACACTATTTCAGAAGGAAAGAAAAGACCAAAATAGATTTTAAAAAGCTTAAGAATATAAGTTTTACCTATGTTTTTAAATTGTTTTAAGAGTGCCCTCCCTTATACATTATACAGAAAAGTAATATAGTAGTTCCCCCCCCCCCCCCCCCTCTATAGAAGATTGCTATAAAAGTTCATTATGTTGAACCACAACTTTAATATTTTTTAGAATAATATCTGACTTTTTAAGTGAACATAATTATGAATTATATGAATATGAATTAAAAAAAGCATTTAAACGCAAATAAATAGCTTTTTAGCACAGGATATTACAGCCAAAGTCCTTCAAGGCAATGTATAAAACATGAACTTTGATGTTTTTTGATATTTGTGAATGATTATTCATTTATTTGGATTTCAGCTATTACAAGGTGAAGCTAACTCTAGAGTCAGAAGACAAAGAGCAGCTAGAATCTGCCTATAGATATCTGCAGGAAAATCTACCTGAAAGTGAGTTTCCTATCTCTTTGTTTTACTTGCTTACACTGTATTTAGTTAAGTGTTAAGATATTTAGTTGAGCCCTATTTTTTTATGAAAGTTGGAAGCTTATTTGAACATACTTCGAGTTTTCTACATTGAACTTACCAGTACTGTGTCATGTGTATGGTAAAACCTGTATTGAGGTGACCTGAATTGGAAGGGTCAACTATGGCTGAGTGGTTAAGGTTGTTCTCTTCCAACCACTTGCCTCTCACTGCTGTAGGTTCAAGCCACGCCAGCGTCTTTGGCTTCTTCGTGTGAGAAAGCTATCCAGCTAGCTAATAGAGCCTCAGTGGTTCTATTCAAGTACCCGCTTGTAAGGCCCCCACCATTACACGTTTAAACGGATTCGTTTCGATTTTCATTCATAAACCTTTACGATATTGTTTACCATTTAATCGAAATGACCATATTGTCTTACAAAATTTCTTAATCATTGACTGTAATCATGGATTTTATCAATTCTAGTGGTTTATTCCAAAGTAAACAAACGGAAAATGGGTGTTTACAACCCTCCACACAGCATTACCGTGCAAAATTGCTTGTGACATAATACATTTTTGGTAAAAAATGGGGTTACAATGCAAAAAATGTGTGCTGACTCGATCGTGATGAGCCTTGCACATTCTTTATTTGTACATGTATTAAAAATAGAAAGAAAGACTCCATTTGGCGACTCAAATACATTGGGAGCCTTACCCGCTTGTGCTTGAAATAATGTACAGAGGGGCACCTGAGGTCTTTCTTCACCACTAAAGCTTGAAAGTCTCCATATGACCTATACTGTGTTTGTTCGACGTTAAACCCAACCAAAAAAAGAATCACCAAATTTATTAACCCTGGGTTGAGAGTTTAACTCTATTGCCTATTAGGCATATGGTTTGTAATATTGGGTTTGAATTTCCCACTTACATGAGCAGTATTATATACTATAATCATGATAAAAGGTGAAGAAAATGTTGAGAACATAGTAATTATAATAGAGAGGGCTATTGTTCTTATAAAGGCATTGTTATCATGCTTTATTTAAGTTTTTGGGTGCATGTATGGATATATTGAAGGGAATAAGTTGAAACTTTAAATGCTGAAACTATCTTAGAATATCTAAGATGATTGGCACAAGTCCTATAACTCTGATATGACATTTTTGCAAATTTTTGCCCCTTTTTTGACTTTGAAATTCTTGTTTAAGTTTTTGCATGTAAGCTTTTATCTCCTTAACTATTAAAGGGAATGAATTGAAACTTCACACACTTGTTCTCTATGTTTATCTAACATGATTTGAAAAGCAGCTGCCATATAAAAAGAAATTTTCAAAGTGCATATTAAGTATAGTGGGACTGCTTATTTAACCCTAACAACTTATTGAAGCTTTGAAGAAAATGGTCACAATAACTATACATTATTTTTTCCTACTTTGAAGCATTTTTTGATTGGATGTTGCTTGTTTCACAACAATTGTTATGATAAAACGGTATTAGAATGTTTTGCTTTCCAATGACTGTTAAGGAAGGAACATACCATACCTCAGGTTGTCCTGTAAGTTTGGGTGGAGTTTAGGGTCACTGGAATCTAGGTCAAGGTCTTGTTTTAATATATATTTAATACACATTTATTGGTCAGTGGAATACATTGTACTTTCAACTTCATCAAATACATTTTAGTAATGATATGCGAACTTACATTTTTTTACAATAACAAAACATCATGACTGTATCTGTGTTTTTTTTTTGTTGGCAATTTTTCCGTCCATAACTGTGTGAATGGGTAAACGTACTGTGTGAATGGCTAAACTTTTTTAGCTCACTTGTCACGAAGTGACATGGTGAGCTTTTGTAATCGCTTTTCATCTGGCGTCCTTCTGTCGTCTGTCAGTTAACTTTTACTATAAACAACATCTCATAAACTGCTAAGCCAATTTCATCCAAACTTCACAGGATTGTTACTTTGGTAGTCAACTTTAAATATTGTTCAAAGAATTTAATTCCGTGCAGAACTCTGGTTGCCATGGCAACCAAAAGAAAGAACTTAAAAAATCTTCTTTTAAAAAAACGAAAGAGCTAGAGCTTAAATAGTTTGCATGAAAAATTGTCTAGTCAGTGTCTACCAAGTTTGTTTAAATAAAAGCTTAATAGATTTTATATCTGCTTTTGTTTATAGTTTACAATATTACTTGTTCCTTGTCATGGAGAGTTTTTATATGCAGGTGAGCGATTTCAGGGCCATCATGGCCCTCTTGTTTGAAAATATGTTACTGACAAGAATATGGGCCGAGGGCATTTATGTTAACCAGACACGTTCTTCTTTATTCAGCAATCGTTTTAAAATAATCTTGAAATACCCAGAAACTTAAATAATCACCACAGGCCAGGCATCTCAATATGACATAAATGATAAATTATTACTAGCTCTTGTTACAAATTTTTTATTTGGCCTAACAGTTTGCCTTACTAATGTGCTTTTATTCCATTGTTTTATGCAGCTTTGTACTTTGTTTTTCCAATAATAAGACTGTTGACACAAGTATGCTAATTTTGCTACTTGATAATAATAACGAATAATAAAACTGTTTTTAATAGGAATTGCTAGCTTGCAAATTTGTTGTTCATGTTCTTATGATTGCAATTTTCTTTTGAAGGATTTTTAGTATAAGGAAAAATTACCATGTATTTGAATGCCAAGTGTTATACTTTATAGAAATTGCATCATTAGTATTTAAAGTAGATGTAGAAAGAAGTGAATGAATGATATTATAAAAACAACTTTTGAAAGTCAATGAAATGAAATACTCTTCAATTACAAGAAATTTTCCTGTACAGGGGAACCCTTCTAAACAATGCAGTTTCCAGAGCAAGTTTTGAGTTTGAAATAAGTATTTTGATTTTTTTTAAAATATTTTCGCTAAAGATTACAATCGAAGTTCTGAATTATTAAGAATTTGGTTTGCTTCTGACTTTTCCTGATATTAGTATATTAGGTAAGGTAAGACCCTGGTTCAGGAACTGTGTGAGGTCTAGGGTTCAAATTCTGATTTAACATCAAGCAATTATTAGTATCTTGTTTTTAAGTGTTGCTGATATTTTTTCTCAAGAAATTAAGTTTTTTTTTTTTTTTTAAATGTTGGGTGTGTTTGAAAAATTGATAAAAAAAACCGTGAATAAATGATGTTTTAATGCAAGTTGGAAACTCGAGCCGAGCAAAAGTAGCAGATGATTTTTTAATTAAAGTTTGTTCATAACACTAAACTGGCCAAATTAAACACACATTTAAATCAGTTCTTAAATTGTGTAAAAAAAAATCTTTCACAAATAATGAAAGTAAGTAAAGATGGACAAAGTTCTCTTAATCTTTATGAAACATGTGTACAGACCAATTTTCTCTCAATGTTGGTATTAATACATGTAAAGTTATATTTAATGAGATGGTTTTTTTAATCTATCAAAGGTAAAGAAATGTTATTTCCGTAACCTTATACATGTAGTAAATTCTTGTAAGATTTGTCACATAGAATGTCTCCATGAATTCTGTATATGTGACCAGTATAAAATGAACCCAAACAGGAAGAATATGCTGCTGTTTTAAGTAGGATTAAAACCATTTAACAATGATTTTGTGCATTTTCCATTGGCTAACATATTTTTTAAATATAGGTAAAGGTTTTTTGGAAGTATACTTTTTTCAAAACACAAATATACTGTACATAGCTAAATATACACTTTAAAGGGACATTGTGCCTCAGAAATCCATATTTTTAAGTCTTTAGAAATTTCAGACTTGTGTTTAGTAATGCTTGAATTATTTGATTCAAAGATAGTTTGATGTTTAACAACTGAAGAAAATAGCGCAGAATGTGCAGTAATGTGTAGTAAAAAAAGCAAAAAAAGTAAAATATAAACAAAGTAGAATTTAACTTCCATACAAAATACTTATTCACTACAATTAAACTGATTGCTAACAGTGCTAAAGTAGCAAAAGATAGTTCATGTATATGGCAAATAAGTGTTTTATTGAAGATGTAACAAGATACCAAAAATGATATTTTTTTTAGAAATAAAATTTTTTGAGGCATAATGGGCCTTTAATAGATGTTCAGGCTATAAAAGTCAAATCAAGTTTTGCAAAATGAAGGGGTATCCAAATAAGAGAAATTAAATATAATGACAGACTGAGGAAAACATGGAAAAATTGCAAAATTTAGACAGAGGAGGGTAAATTTTTCATAGGGTTCCACAGTAGATTTTTGTTCGGTAAGAGTTCTGTCCCTTTATCATTATGAAATAAGAGTGTTGCCAGTTGTTCTGTCTGTACATTTGATAAACAGAGAGGTAGTAGTGTATAAGGTAGACGTCATAGTTTATGAGGAAACATCAATCGCTAAGTGTTACTGCTGTAATCTTGATACTTTAAACTTGATTTTATATCATACCAAATTATGACATCGGGTGAGTTTTTCAAATTTTCTGTCATAATTTTTTCCCACAGTGATAATATTATCACTTTAAAAGCTTTGTTATCTGGCTAAGTTATGTTTGAAGTTTCAGGAGAAAAGAAGTTTAATTTCGATAAAAAAGAAATCTTTAATTTTATTTGTGATGTAAATTTTTGCTTTAAAGTTACGATACAATTTATGAAAATGCTAAATTAGATATAAGTTTATGTAAAGTAGGGCTTAAATGTTTCGAATTTGAATTAAGTTGTTAACATTATATTTTTTGTTTGTAATTTAATAATAATAATTAAAAAAAAGTAAAATGTAATGTTATTTTATAACTACATGACAGTCACTCTATAATTTATGCAGATTTTATAATAACTTAATTATAACTTAAATTGATGAAAATAGGAGACAGTAAATAATATGTGTGTCAATTTTACAACTTGTTGATTTACTTTTTTACACATTAAAACAGCAAAATCAGTCATTAATATAAGTGCACATAACATGTAAATTATTTCTTGAATTGTGAATACATGTATTTGATACTTTTGTGAGGCCAATGTTTTGCAAAATTCTTATATTCACATAGGGTTAATCGGCCAGGTTACATTTTTACCAAGTGCTTCTCTCATTTCTTTTAAAATATCATGATAATTATGAAATTGGGGAACATTTATTTTATAAAAACAATCTTCAATTTGAAGTTTGAAGTAAAATTTTATCCCGAAAACTTCTGATTTCATGTAGAATATATTGTTTGGGTTTTGTGATTCATTGATTTTTGGCAGAAGATCTGGTTTGTCACAATTTTCTGTCACATCATTTAACATTCTTTATTGAAATTATTTTAATTTCTTATGGTAAAATAGGCAACTTAAAGTCTATGGAAAAAATAAGGATAATTAAAGGAATAAAGTTTTAGTGCATGACATACCACACTTTAGTTCAATAATGGGAATAAAAGTAGAGTTGAGTTGTCATAATACATTGTTATAATGTGATTTTTTAGCTTGTCTGTTTGAAGAACAGGGAGAGCTATTGTACTCACCCAGGTGAGTTGGTTTCTCCAAAACTACTGAAAGAAATGTGTAAAAACTCTACAAACTTTTTTGTGAGGAGGGCACTATCCAAGGCACATAACTCTTACTTGGATTTTGACAAAGTTTTGGCCCTTTTTGAACTTTCTACATTATCCAGGCTTTTGGTTTTACGATAAGTCTAGCATGCTGTCCTTCTGACAGATCTTGTTTTTTATTGCTCTTAAAAAATTCAACAGTTTTCATCATCCAATCATATTTGTTATAACATATTATGTAGGACTAGGTACAAGGGCTTTCTACTTTTTACTGTATAAAATATTGTATATTTATTACTTTTGAATTATGTAATAAATTCTTACTGTATAACAACATGCATGTGTAAACAGTAGACAAATGATCAAGTGTATATGTTTTGTATATCTATATAATTGAGTCGTATGCAATACCGGTAGACATACAAGTATGTCTTTTAAATATTTAAATTATAATAGAGGATACCTCTTAATATCATGTGCAAAAAATAATTATATGAGTTTGAGAAATGTTTTCAGTGGCAGTCGCCGTCTGGCTCATTTATTCTTCTTATTTGCTTAAATTAATAGAAGTAATCAAAATGAACCCATTTATTTGGTATAAAGGCCTTGATACTTAAGATCTTGTCAAATATAGACTTTTCTTTTGTGTCTTTCTGATTAAATATTAAATGAACATATTTATTTAAGCTTGATTATAAAACATGTTCTAATGACTTAATATATATAAATCAGGTTCGAGAACTCAGACAAATACAATATGACATTTTGGACAGGTACAATATGACTTTAAATAAGTACAATAAGATGCAATAAATGAGTACAATATGGCATTTTAAACTAATACAATATGACATTTTAAGCTTGTTCAGTACAACTTGACGTTTAAACTTGTACAATATGACTTTTTGAACCAGTACACTTTGACTTTTTAAACAACTACAAGATAATGTTTTAGAAAAGTACAGTATGACATTTTGATCTATTATAATAAGACATTTTAAACTACAATGTAGTACAATGTGACTTTTCAAACAAGTACAATATGACATTCTAAAAGTAGTATCATATGACATTTGTGACAAATTGAGAATGATATTGTAATAATAATATGTTATATTACAGATGCTATAGTGCAATATGAGAAGAATCCAGTGCTAAATGCTGTGGACCAGCTGTATGGCATATTAAGTAATGAGGAGTCATCATCATTTACAAATCAAGTGAAAAATTCTGTCAATGTATTAGAAGATGCATTAGATAAATATAAGTAAGTAAAGATTTAATTTAGGATATAATCTTTAGAGGTTTGGATGCAGAAGTAAGTGACTCCCGAGGAGGGGCTTGAAATTGATGTTTTGGCTCTCAAAGTTTTGAAATGAATGGGATATAACCCTTAGAGGGTAGGTTGGAAAGGAAGTGGAAGCAGGGTTTGATATGTTTTGGCTACCAAAATAGTCCAAATGAATTGGATATAACCCTTAGAGGGTGGGTTGGAGAAGTATGTGGAGGAGGTGGGGTTTGATCTACTGAAAGTTTCAAAATGAATTGGATATAGCCCTTAGAGGGTGGTTTTGATGGAGGTGGGATTTAAAATTGATATGTTTTGGCTCCCAAAGTTTCGAAGATGTATTATTGATCAATGTAATGTCTGCAGAGTGGCTGGCCATGTATAGCAATTAATTCTTTACAACAACTGAATCAAATCTTCTAACACTAAGTTTGAACACTGTCCCTCCGAGGATTTAATACTACATTGGTTATGTAGGGCAAGTGATTAAACCCAGCAACAAAAATTTCGATCTCCTCATGATTAAAAAAGCTATAAAAATAAACTTTAACCGTATATATAGTTAGATATTTTTTCATGTCAAAATGTTTGTGAAATCACAAAATTTCAGAAATTTGTAGACATTTAGCATTTAGAAATGTTACATGTGTTAATGAAACTCAAATTCTTCTTTTTGTTTGATTTACACTTATCCAAAAAATGTATTCATATGGTATCAGAGTTGTGTTTCCTTTGTTTTTTGTGGGTTTTTTTTATACAAGTGTAATATAAGTGTAATATTGAAGCAAAAAACATAATTTTTATTAGTACAAAAAATTGTATATACAAGTGGGGGAAAAGAAATTAACAATTGCAATATAATTTTAGGTTAGATGAGATTTGTGTTGGTTTCAATGGTGGGAAAGACTGTACTGTGTTGTTACATCTAGTACATGCTGTAGTGAAAAAGTAAGTTTATTGTAGAGAACTCTCTCAATTTGTTGATAAATTCTATCTTGATGTGAAGTTAATTAAAACTTATGTATGGTTTATCGTTCAAATGCTTTGTAATTAGTATCAGTTATATTCCTGCACATTTGAACTCAAACTGTGCATTATTCTAAAACAATACACTCAAATAAATACATTTGTATGCACATATATGTCAAGAAAAATAAATATGTATGTATATGTTCCGAAAAATTAATATGCACATATATGTTAAGAAAAATAAATATGCACATATATGTAAAGAACAATGTAGATATATCTCATATAATTTTATGTAATATAAAGTAATGTATTTTAGGAAGTATCCAGATTATGATGGGAAGATCAAGGCTCTGTATATTCGAAGTAAATTACCATTTCCTGAAGTGGAAAAGTTTATACAAATATCTCGAGATAGGTAAGATTCTAACACTATATAAATCCACTATTTCGACATTTTCTCAAAAGAAAAACTGCAGGTAGGTATATGCCTTTTTGTAAGCAGAGCTAAAGGTTTTAAGGACATGACTGTTACAAATGTTACCACTAGAAGGTTTTCTTTCAACAATTGGCAAACACTTTTTTTGTTTGTTTGGTCACCTTGTAGTACTGTAGGTAAAAGAAGCCCTTTCAGGTGTAAATTGATCGAGGCATGCAGTAGCAACCTTTGGACTGTACTGAAATTTTCACAAAGGATAATATGCCGCTTATTATACCCCCAAAAACGAAGTTTGGGGGGGGGGTGTATATAGGAGTCACCCGGTGGTCGGTCCGTCGGTTGGTTGGTGTTGGGCGGTTGGTTGGTCAGTCCAGACGTCCGTTGCATTTTCCTTGTCCAGAGCATAACTTGAAAACTAATGGTTGGAATTCAATATAACTACATACAATGGTCAAGCACATTGAGAGGAAGTGCAGTGCACAAGAACCATAACTCTATCTTGACTAATTACAGAGTTATTGCCCTTTGTTACTTTTCCTTGTCCGGGGCATAACTTGAAAACTACTGGTTGGAATTCAAAACAACTTCATACAATTGTCAAACACAATAAGGGGAAGTGCAGTGCACAAGAACCATAACTCTATCTAAAGTAATTACAGAGTTATTGCCCTTTGTTGCTTTTCCATTGCTTTTTTTTTGTCCGTTGCATTTTCCTTGTCCGGAGCATAACTTGAAGACTAATGGTTGGAATTCAAAATAACTACATACAATGGTCAAGCACATTGAGTGCAGTGCATAAGAAACATAACTCTATCTTGACTAATTACAGAGTTATTGCCCTGTGTTTCTTTTCCTTGTCCGTGGCATAACTTGAAAACTACTGGTTGGAATTCAAAACAACTTCCTACAATTGTCAAACACAATAAGGGGAAGTGCAGTGCACAAGAACCATAACTCTATCTAAAGTAATTACAGAGTTATTGCCCTTTATTACTTTTCCATTGCTTTCTTTTGTCCGGACCATAACCTGAAGACTAATTGTTGGAATTCATTATAACTTCATACAATGGTCCAGCACATTGAGAGGAAGTGCAGTGCACAAGAACCATAACTCCATTTTGACTTATTACAGAGTTACTGCCCTTTTTTTCTTTTCCTTTTCCAGAGCATGACAGAGCATAAAACTACTGGTTGGAATTCAAAACAACTTCATACAATGGTCAAGCACAATAAGGGGAAGTGCAGTGCACAAGAACCATAACTCCATATTGACTAATTACAGAGTCATTGCCCTTTGTTACTTTTCCATTGCTTTCTTTTGTCCGGACCATAACTTGAAGACTTATTGTTGGAATTCATTATAACTTCATACAATGGTCAAGCACATTGAGAGGAAGTGCAGTGCATAAGAACCATAACACCATCTTGACTAATTACAGAGTTACTGCCCTTTGTTACTTTTCCTTGTCCAGAGCATGACTTGAAAACTACTGGTTGGAATTCAAAACAACTTCATACAATGGTCAAGCACAATAAGGGGAAGTGCAGTGCACAAGAACCATAACTTCATCTTGACTAATTACAGAGTTACTGCCCTTTGTTACTTTTCCTTGTCCAGAGCATAACTTGAAAACTACTGTTTGGAATTCAGTACAACTTCATACAGTTGTCAATGACATTCAAAGGAAGTGCAGTGCACAAGAGCCATAACTTCATTTCGACAAAATACAGAGTTACTGCCCTTTGATACTTTTCCTTGTCTGGAGCATAACTTAAAACGTACTGGTTGGAATTCAAAACAACTTCATACAATGGTCAAGCACAATAAGAGGAAGTGCAGTGCACAAGAACTATAACTCTATCTTCAGTATTTATAGAGTGTTTGCCCTTTGTTCTTTTTCTTTGTCTTTCTGGACTTGTTACAGAGTAATTCAATTAAACTTCATCAATGGCCAACCACATTGAAAGGAAATGCAACATACATGAACCACAATTATCTTTAATTGCCCACAACCATAAATCTATGTTTCAATTCTTTTACAAGGTATTCTGTTACTAGTAACATCCTCATTTCCGAAGCAGACTTTAGGGGGTATTAATCACATTTAGTGATAGTTCTAGTTTAACTTATTGAAGATTTTGTTGACATTGTATCATTTAAAGTTAACAGAACAGAAGGTAGAAATTTGTGAATATTTAGCCTTGCAAATAAATGGGAAATGATGATTTTGAAAAATTTTGGTCTTGCAAATATATGTGAATTTACAATATTCTGCAATGAAGTGATGGATGTGTTGTTTTTTTTTTTTAATGTGCACCCCTTCTCCACACAGTGTGATTACTTTTTAGCTCGACTATTCGATAAGAATAAGTAGAGCTATTGTAGTCACCCGAGCGTTGGCATCCGTGTCGGCGTCTGCGTCGGCGTAACCACTTATGTTAAAGTTTTTGTAATAGTTTAAATATTTTCAAAGTCAATTGACATATGGCTTTGAAACTTTGCACACTTGTTCACCATCATTACCCCAACCTGTAAACAGGAGAGGTTAATTGTATCAAGCATTTTTTTTTACTATCAAGCACTAAGAATAGTCGAGCATTGCTGTCCTACCGACAGCTTTTGTTTAGATCACTGTCATATATTTTGCTGCTTTGAACCATTATTTTGATGCAGAATTACTGTACATGATTTAGAGTCATTGATTACAACATTTTATTGGTACAAGGTTTGACTTAAAAAATGTTGCAAATAAGTTTTCTTTAAATGTTTGAAATATGTTAGACTATTAATGTTGGTTTTATTAGAAATACTGTAACCATGTTAATGAAGAAATATTGAAAACACGTTTTACTGAAATCATTGATATATTTCAGGTATAAGTTAGAGATGTTACAGTTTAATGGCCGTATAAAGGACAGTTTAGGAGATCTACAGGCCCAGCATCCAGAGATAAAAGCTGTTGTTATGGGAACAAGGGAAACTGATCCTTATTCTAGTAAATATCCTTTAGAGTTTTTTTTGTTTTTTTTATTACCAACACAAATTTTGATTTCACAAGCTTGAAATATTATTAAGTTTAGTGAAGGGAAAACTGGTTTAACAACTTTTTGTGAAAAGAAAAAAAAATTATTTCACTAGTCATACCAAGAAATTTGTTCATTTCATTGAAAGTTGATGTTTAGCTCAATTGATCTTGGACATTTATTCTAAATGTCATTAGCCTCTCACCACTGATCTAGAAATCATGTGGGTTAAACAGATAAGCTGTTAATTAGTGGAAGTATTATAGGAAAGCTGGATAAATGGATTGACGGCCAAGGTATGACCAAAAAAGTGTTAAAATTAACATATAAACCAAACAAACAAAATGCAATTTTAGGAAACTGACAAGAAAATTTTTATACATATTAATTTATTTGATATTTTCAGGTCATCTTAACGCGTTTGCAATGACAGATAGCGATTGGCCACAGTTCATGAGAATCAATCCATTGTTAAACTGGTCTTATACTGATATATGGACGTTTTTAAGATCATTTTGTCTACCATATTGTAGTCTTTATGACAGAGGGTAAGGCATTTTCTATCCTTGTTTATTGAGCTTTCTGTTCTAATTGACATAAAAGTCTCCAAATTTTTTGTCATTTGCAACTCTCTATTTTCCTTTACTAAGTTCTCAAACTTTAAACCAGTTGGTTTCTCAAAAACTAGTGTAGAGAATATGTTGAAACTTATTACACTTACTTGAGGGCAAAATAGGAAATCACTGTTCAAGGCTAAACAACTAAACAGTGAGTTCAATTGAATGATAGCCCTTTTTGAAGTTTGAAATTTCTACATTATCCAGGCTTTTGTTTAATATCAAGCACTGAGAAATTTAGTTGAGCACACTACCCACAGCTCTTGTCTTTCCTAGATAATAAATTTAAACCACTGACCCCTAACCTTTCTTCACTGAGTGGTTGGAGGTCACAAAATTTTCTGTCTGTGATGAGTTGTTTATGAAAACCACTTACCTCTCAATTTCTTACGTTGAGTGGTTTTGGTACTGTATGTACATTTCAATCACCCCTCACTTTTGGTACTAATTTTAAATGTTCACATAATTTTAAACGACTTAACCAAGTGAATATGGTCACCAATTTTAAATGAACTGCCTTTCTCTTTATTTTCTTAAGAATATCATGTTGCCAAATTTAAAACACTCAATCAATCACAATACTGTGAGGTAATGTTATTGGTAGCATACGAAATTGTTATATATATTGGCACGAAAATGTCACATTGAATGTTTTATGATCAGTGTTGTATGAATTCATTCTGAAGTTCACCATTGTCGTGTATAAATGTTGGATACTGCTTGACATGAACGACTTGGACGGTACTTTGCATTTACAATTAGTACATAAACAGGCTATATTAAAAAAAAAAACAAGCCTGCAACGGTTTCAATTTTGGGACTCCTGTTTTTTCTTTTTTTAACATGAGTTTTTTTGTTTCTGTTTTAAGATGAGGTCTTGTAAATTTTATTTCACAAATATAGCTGAATTTGCCATAGTTTGAGACAACGAAAGAGGAAATAGTTTCCAAAACTGGTCTTTTGTAAGAAAGAAAAAAGTATGTAAAATTACTACTTGAAAGTACTTGCAGATAGAGATGGAAATCACAGATCGGTTTTAAACTTTTTAAATACCAATTTATTGCCTTATTAATTTATAGCTTAATAATAAGTTTACCTTTATTTTTAAATTTCAGGTACACATCACTCGGCAGCATGAACAATACTCATCCGAATCCTGCGTTACAATATGTTGATGAGAACGGCATCGTAAAGTATAAGCCGGCTTACAAACTAGAGACAGACTCGCAGGAAAGAGCCGGGCGCAATACTTGATGATCGTAAAATTCTAGGAATATGTTTTCATAAATTTGTATTTATAGATTTCTTTGAAAAGGGGCTGTTTGTAAAGACCTTAGCCTACTGAAATTTGTTAAAAGAACTTGTGAAGATTGGATTTCACGTCTGTGAGTTGTTAAATTAAGGGCTTTCAATATTATAATACTATTTTATGTAATGAAATTAATTTAAACTTTACTAAACTACTTAGTTGTTGAGCAGCCAACAGTATGGCATGGGTTTTTCTTTTTATATTACAGCCACCATTGGCCTTCAAATGGATTAAACAATAATTTCTTACAAAATAAACCTTACTGTTAAAATGTTACGGTATGTGCTAAACTCTGGAACCTTCTTTTTCATTAGATACATATGATTATTTTTTATATACACTGTTGCTGAATTTTATGAATTAATTGTTATTTTAATCTAGAAAAGCAATTTATGCAGCATTATGAATTTGTTTAAATGATTATAAATGCTTCATTTGGTTATATGGCTTTGCATAAATGGTTGTTTGTTATATAACTCTTGCAAGTCAGCTCTGTTTATATCACCTTAAAAATCTTTGATCCTAAGCCATATAACCTGTCTTATGAAATCTTTGCAAATGATCAAAACTGGCATATTACACAAAAAAGCCTGCTTAGCTCAATAGGGTGAGCATTGGATTAGTAATCCAAGGTTTGCTGATTCAATGCTCTGGCGAGCTGTAATTTCTCAGAGACAATTGATCTGCGACATTGAGTCTAATGGTTGCTTGTCACTCGCTACTGATTCAAAAATTACATGGGATTAGTAGTAGGTTACTTGAGGAGAAATTGGTAATTATTGGTAAGATTTCCAAGATAGCTACTTCAGTTGATTGACCATTGAAATATGACAAATTAAGTGTTAAAATGGGTGTAAAAATCCAAATAGACAAACAGACTTCAGATCCTTGAAATTTTATTCCAATCAGTTATTAATGACCCTTAACTTATTTACACTTGATTGTCTTACGAAATTAAATATTTGTATGCAATGTGATGGTATATGTCGAATTCATTTTGCACTAACTCTTATTAAAATTAAAATAAACAAAAAACAAAAAAAAACATGCTCAATGGTGCTTTGTTGTGATATTTTGTAAAAATTATTGATACATGTATTTTATGGTTATACAAATGTAAATTTATTTAACAATTTTAAAAAAGATTTGTTGCAAAGTCGATTTTTACTGCAAAAAGGAAGGATATAACCAATTTTGATTTTTTTGTCCCTATGAGGTAGTATTTGTTGTTGTGTTTAATTTTATTTTTATTTTATGTTATATCATATACAGCTTATAAACAGGTCTCAACTAAATTTCACAAAGATTTTATGTTTAAGGTTTGTTTTGTCTTTGTTTAATTAAACAAATATTTATCCCCAGTATGTACCTGAAGTTTTACAAAACAGCATTTTCTTTCCAGTACAGATCCATGTTTTATAAATAACTTTATGAATTGTCATTTTGGTTGCAATTTGAATGCATACCGTGTTGAATATATACAATGTAATTTGCATCTCTTAGAACTTCTTTGAATTTCGACCGTATCATAAGGTATTATAGTTTTAAGTAATTCCAAAATCAAGGAACAAGATTGAATTGCCAACAGTATAGAGTCTGGTAAGACTGCACAGTTTTTTGATGTTTTGGTAACAATTTTAAACCCTTAAAATGCTGAGCTTTTCGTGCCCCTCCTCCCTCCTAAAAAAGGTGGCATAAAGTGCTTGAATTGATAGGTATATGCACTTTTTTGTGCTATCAATAATTTCCTTACTTATGGAATTTAATTTTACTTATCTGTGTAGCACATTTTGATGATGTGTCACTAGCAAGGCCCCTGCTTGTAGGTTAAAGGTCAACACTTGGACTTTAAAACGTATAAATGAAAGTGCATTGATGTGCATATCTGGCTATCAGTTCTGTCATTCATTTAATGGATTTTAAAATAACTTTGTATAAATATGTTTGACATGATGACATCCTTCACACAAGAATTGGGTCTGCAGCTCAAAGGTCAAGGTCACACTTGTTTGCATTGTAGCTTGCCCTGTTTTGAATTTGTAATGGATACCCTTGTGCCTTTAAGGGTTGAGGTATCAGAATCATTTATCCTTGTGTGATCATTAAGAGGTGATTAAATGGGTTCGAATTACAAGAATCTATGCATTTCTTAGCTTCAGCAGGTTAGGTGGTTTTGACCCCTGGTGTTGCTTTAAGTTTGTAGCACTTAAGGTTAACCAATATCATATTTCCTGTTTTGGCACCATATGACCTGGCTCTATTCTTCTGGCATCAGTCTGTTAAACCAGCCACAAGATGTTTTTTTAAGCAAAATTTTTTTTTCTATAACATAGTATTGAATCTACTTTCTTTTTAACATAGTATTATATGAGGAAAATACATACTTTATACAATTTCATATCTAAGCAGTGAAAAGGCATGAAAATTATCTTGAAAATCATTAGCGTGAAATGTTAGTTTGTTTATGCACATTTATATTTTGAATCCACCCTTTTTTAACTGTATTTAAATTCTTTGCTATCTGAAAATTTAAAAATTTGATACCAAGTTATCATTTGAAAATTTTATTGTAATTTTTAAAAACATTATAAAATATTTATTTTTACTTTCCTAGCAAACATAAAATAAATAATTTAATCTTGATCGATGATCTATTTCTTGAAGAAGTGCTACTATAATTTTAAAACATGCTGTCTCTCGAATTACATTCAGAGATATTGAACATTCTCCGAAGTAAGGCTATATTAATATTTTGTACTCGGAACATGTTGTTTGATAACAGGACATGTATCATGTTCCTTAGATGTCGCGTAAATTTGAATAAAATCTACTGTATTTACATGCCTTTGCCACAGCATCTGCATTTTCAAAGTACTTCATACACTTTTGTTTCGTTAAAATTTTAGTAATATTGTTGTACATTCCTTTGAATGTAATCAAACTAAATTTACATGAAATATACATGGAATAAATTTATACTCGTTTGTTGTGTTGCACATTGTAAAACAAGAAATATGCCTTGAAGCAGTTTAAATAACAGCTGTCCAAGGAGCAGCAGGCCCCACATTTCTAGGTACTTGATACATGAAGTATGATGACAGCAAAGTAGACAAAGGGGCATAACTTCGATAAACTGTTTGACACAATGTTGTGCCTCGATATTCAACAAGTATTATTAGTTCAAAGTGAATATCTGTGATGTATTTTGTAAATATATCAGAAAATAATACGATTGTTTAGCAAAAATACCCTTCAGGGTTATCTGTCCTTTAGTAGAAATGCATTCACATTTTATAGTGAAAAAGTATTCCAAGTTTTAAGTAAATATCTTTGAAAGTTTTTGAGAGATTAACCTTAACAAGAACCGACTGAACCAGGTGATGCTCCCAGAGAAGGTTTTGGACACAGGAAAGTTTAGAAATAAATGAACAAAGGGCAAAAACTCCAAAATTAGGCAAGGCAGAGTTATGTTTTTTATTCAATGTCTGGCCTTCAAAGGTCAAACTACTTGTGGGATTTCAACCAAACTTTACATGGGTGAGCAGTACCATCCCTAGTTGTGCATATTGCTGGCTGCACAAAATGGCCGTCAGAGATATAAGATAATTAGAAAAATCTTGTCCGGTTTCAAAGGTCGACTGCTGGCAGGAATTTGACCAAAAATTCACAGGAGTACCGAACCATGTCTTGGGAGACAAATATTTTGACATAAACCTTCTGTCATTAATGACTATTAATTTATTTACATTTGACTTGATTGTCATACAATATTAAATATTTGTATCTGATGTGACGTGGTGTATGTTAAATAAATTTTGCACTTATTTATAAAACAAAAACAAAACATGTGCAATGGTGCTTGGTTGTGATATTTTGTGACATTTATTGATATGTTATGGTAATTTTAATGTAAATTTATATTACATTTTTAGCTCGACTATTCGATAAGAATAAGTAGAGCTATTGCAGTCACCCGAGCGTCGGCGTCGGCGTCGGCGTAACCACTTATGTTAAAGTTTTTGTAATAGTTCAAATATTTTCAAAGTCCATAGACATATGGCTTTGAAACTTTGCACACTTGTTCACCATCATGACCCCAACCTGTAGACAGAAGGAGGTAACTCTATCAAGCATTTTGACAGAATTATGCCCCTTTTTCGACTTAGACTTTACGTTAAAGTTTTTGTAATAGTTCAAATATTTTCAAAGTCCATTGACATATGGCTTTGAAACTTTGCACACTTGTTCACCATAATGACCCCAACCTGTAATCAGGAGGAGGTAACTCTATCAAGCATTTTGACAGAATTATGCCCCTTTTTCGACTTAGAATTTACTTTAAAGTTTTTGTAATAGTTCAAATATTTTCAAAGTCCATTGACATATGGCTTTGAAACTTTGCACACTTGTTCACCATCATGACCCCAACCTGGAAACAGGTGGAGGTAACTCTATCAAGCATTTTGACAGAATTATGCCCCTTTTTCGACTTAGAATTTACGTTAAAGTTTTTGTAATAGTTCATATATTTTCAAAGTCCATTGACATATGGCTTTGAAACTTTGCACACTTGTTCACCATCATGACCCCAACCTGGAAACAGGTGGAGGTAACTCTATCAAGCATTTTGACAGAATTATGCCCCTTTTTCGACTTAGAATTTACGTTAAAGTTTTTGTAATAGTTCATATATTTTCAAAGTCCATTGACATATGGCTTTGAAACTTCTCACACTTGTTCACCATCATGACCCCAACCTGTAAACAGGAGGAGGTAACTCTATCAAGCATTTTGACAGAATTATGCCCCTTTTTCGACTTAAAATTTACGTTAAAGTTTTTGTAATAGTTCAAATATTTTCAAAGTCCATTGACATATGGCTTTGAAACTTTGCACACTTGTTCACCATCATGACCCCAACCTGGAAACAGGAGGAGGTAACTCTATCAAGCATTTTGACAGAATTATGCCCCTTTTTCGACTTAGAATTTACGTTAAAGTTTTTGTAATAGTTCAAATATTTTCAAAGTCTATTGACATATGGCTTTGAAACTTTGCACACTTGTTCAACATCATGACCCCAACCTGTAAACAGGAGGAGGTAACTCTATCAAGCATTTTTTTTACTATCAAGCACTAAGAATAGTCGAGCGTTGCTGTCCTACCGACAGCTCTTGTTATATATTGTTTTAATGTCGATGTTTACTGCGAAAATGAAAGATATTAACCATTTTGATTTTCTCACCTGAGGTTGCTCAGGTCGAGCTTTTAGGAGGTTAACACTCTAGCGGTCACATTTTTGCCTCAATCATCATCAAACTTTGTCTAAATGCTTGTCTAGGTATTTGCTCGGATGAGTTCGAATATTGGTCATCTCAGATTAAAATTTAGGTCACAGGAGATAAAAATAGAAAAATCTTTTTCACACTCTAGTGGCTACTGTTTTGATCTAAATATCCTGGAAATTAGTCTGAAAGTTTGTTTTAATGATTTCTAGGTCAAGTTCGAATATAGATTATCTGGGATAAAAAACTAGGTTACACAGCCAAATATGGAAAAATCTTGTTAACACTCTAGTGGTAACATTTTTTCTCAGTTATCTTCAAACTTGGTGACGATGCTTGTCTAGGTAATTGCTCAGATGAGTTTGAATAAGGGTCATCTCAGATGAAAAACTAGCTCACTCGAGCTAAAAATAGGAAAATCTTGTTCACACTCTAGTGGCTACTGTTTTGATCCAAATATCCTGGAAATTGATCTACAAGTTTATTTTGATGATTTCTAGGTCAAGTTTGAATATGGGTCACCTGGTTATTAAAACTATGTCACAATGCTCAAATAAAAAAAATCTTGTCAACACTCGAGTGGCTACAGTTTTTTTCAAATATCCTGGAAATTGGTCTGAAAGTTTGTTTTGATGATCTCTAGGTCAAGTTTGAATATGGGTCATCTGGGGTCAAAAACTAGGTCACACTGCTCAAATATAGAAAAACCTTGT